GCACTTCGGAGTTTTGGCCAGCTTCCCGTCTTGACTAGCGTTGTGCATATGATGCGAACGGCCTGAATTTTCCATTATTTTAAAAGAATTATTGAACGTAAATATATTGACAATAATTACATGTAAGGTAGGTTTTATTCACTTTTCGTGGCCATTTTGTGTATAGCTTTTGTAGTGCAATGGAAATAGTTCAGGCTAAAACTTCGCATATAATTGAATACCCCATTCAATCTACATAAAAAATATTGGCCCCCCCCCAAAAAAAAATTCAGACCGACGGACCCTATTTTTGAAAGGCATGTAATCGGAAGCAGAACTATTTTTTTTCTTCGGCCTTACCATGACGGGACTGACTTGTAAGAGCAACCAATCAGACTCAAAGGAACTAACACGTGTCACAAGCAGTCATGGCAAGTACACATGTACAGATATACATGTAGTGTGTTTATACATGTACATTGTACAGTATGTAGCAAGTACAATGTAGCAAACAATGAGATCTCTGAAGCTAGGAGTAGGAGTAAAACAATCAGTCTAAATACAGTCTACAGTCAGTTGCATTCACTGTCCTTCCAAACTTCTAAATGGAGTTGTATTGGCTGTGATGATCATCTTGACTAGTCAGGTATTTTCTAGTTATCTGACTGCTGCTGGGTTATGTTGTACATGTACAGTACATATGATGCACTTCTACACAGTACATCACTGCTGTACATGTACATGTACTTCATAGCATGAAGGGTGTACATGTTCACCAGTTGCTTAAAATGCAAATTAGGCCACTACAGTTGATCCCCCATGAAGCGAGGACTCACTGGTGAAGCGGGCCACTTGTGGGTGCCTGGCGGCGAAGCCGTCTCCCCATGTAACGGGTGAGGTGAAGCCTCATGTACTTTAAAGGCTCACTTTTGTTTGGAGGTTACCAGAATTCAAAAATAGGGTAGATAGGTAGAGAATTTTTGGATTTTTTTGGCAATTTTTTTTGTGTACGATCATATGGAGGCGTCTGCGTGTAGTCAAGGGTAAAAGGTAGTAATTGATGGTTTTGGGTGTTTTTCTCATTTTTCCCATAAAAAAATTAGGGTAGGGGCTGTCAGAATAGGGTAGGTAGGGTAACAAGAAGCAGAACTATTTTTGGGGGCCTTATTTCAAAGGTGTGGGTCACAGGAAATCCACATGTCTCGCAAAGAAAACTGTAAACAAAAATAGGGCTGTCCCAATCATACCGAATACATGTACTCGAATAGTCCATCATCAAATAGCTTTTCGCCATTTGGATTTAAATGAAAAAAAAAACTACGCCCATTATATACACGATGACTGTGATGTTATTTTATCTTAAAGTTGCGGCAATTTATTGTGAAGTGCCACTTTTCCTGTCGATGGTAATTGTTTTTCATTGTTAACATACATGTACTTTTAGCAGGTTAAAACCTTTTATAAAATACTGCGAAACACTCCAGCACCACATATCGATCGCTGCAAGTAAATTGTAACTGGTGCACTCGTTGTGCAACTTTTTATCAGCGCAGCACGCAGTTGCAGCTGGCAGTTTTGAATACCGAATAATCGGTCAAAGGCAGTTTCGAGTGATCGAATACTAAATTATTCGGAAATGGACAGCCCTTAACAAACTAGACAAACCCTGTTGATTTACAAGTGATGCTGCAGCAAGTGCATACTCCCAGCAGTGAATATCAATCAAGTTACACACATGTACATGTACATTGTAATGTACATACACTACCCGTATTACTTAGCCGAAGCTTCCAACATGAGACAGGTGCTGCATAGAATTAATGTACATGTAGTAGTGGTTATTCAGTGTGGAAAATTAGATTTCACACCAGTGAGACTTGAGAGCACATTGTGCTTGAAGCAGCCTCTTTAAAATGAAATGTGTGACAGGAATCAAGACCAGCACAGCAATGGCTTGATTTTTGAGGACCACAATTTTGCACTCTAAAAGTCTTCAGTGTGATTATTATAACACACACACAAATTCAAAATTTCAACGTACAGTTGTGTGCAGTTTTATATTCTACATGTACCTGTTCTGTTTAATACTGATCTTTCAAACTTTGCCCATACATGTATGTACGTGTGTACATGTTGGCCCTATAATGTTTCATGGGAAGCAAATACCCAATGCCTTGGAAGGTGTGACATCGTTACAGATTATCTCGTTCAGGTATGATAAGAGTGCATGAGGGTTTAAGTCTGGATTGTAAAAGGATCGTTACATGCATTCCAATGGGTATTACTTGGTATTGTAGGAAAATGGAAGGTCTGCATTTGTGAGGAATTTGATTTTCAACACGGAAGGGAATATGACTTTCAACACGGAAGGGAATATGACAAGTAGGCCTATAGCTTTGAGGATATATTACAGTGATTGCATTAAGAAAGTTACTTTTAAACATACGGTATTCATAACTGGCTTACAACTTCATGCATACAATGTACATGTACCGTACATGTATGTATACATCAATTCATGTGTTATCCTGAAAAGGCGATGGTCCTGATAGGTACATCTATACACATACATTAATTTAATGCTAACATGCCACCTGACTTGTGTACACCAGCAAATACCAGTGTAAGCTCAGCAAGAGTCCCAGTGACGGATATTTCCAATGAGCTGTGGTTGATGACATCATAGAATGCCCCCTTAGCAAACCAGTCCCTACAGGAAATGGTTGCTCTAGTGATTAGGATCAGGACTATTATTAGCTACCGGTAGTCTGGGATATGAAGTAGACCTTCTGATGACAATACTCACACTGCCATGCATCCAAGGAACAAAACATACATGTACCCAATAGTGGTAACTATAAACTGCTGAATTAAAGACTACATTGTACTATACCTTGCAAAGACACTCTTAAGCCAATTTATGTAATATGTTGCAAGTTATGTAAATGCTGTGTATTTATACCGGTAGGTACGGTAATTTGGGAGTCAAGTTACCCCCAAATTCTCCTGTGTGAGTACCTGGCTGCACACCACAGAGACAAGGGATGCTTGTTCCTCTTCCAAATTTGATTTCATGTGCATGCATGACGTTTGTACACGTACAGTACAAATGTACACCATGATGCATCAATATTTTGTTCTGATGTTAACTTATGATTCATTCATCACCTTCATCTAAAGTTTGTTCACTGGTAAGCCACACCTGCACATGTATACAAACATGTGCATTAGTTGGTTAGCCATACAGGCAGGTGTGGTTTTACATTATGCATGACCATATTTCCACACCGCCCTTTTTTGTCCCCCTCTCTCCTTGACACTTTTGCAGCATACAGATCTACAGTGTACAGTACATGTACATGTACCGGTATGCAGTGTTTACAAAATATTGAAATTCTTTACATTTATTTACACTTTGTGTTGACAAAATATGTTCATTTCATTGTTGTTTCATGTGGGCATAATAAATTGTTTCCTGAAAAGTGTATTACGGTACATAGTTAGCCACAATTGTAAGGTGTTACAAATACCATATTGGTCACTACATAACATGTAGCATGGCCTTAGACAGTAGTCTACATGTACATGTAGTTGGTTGTATTCCACTCTGATTCAACCTGTTGTGCATATATTGAAATGCAAAACCTTATTGTACTGCCATAAGGCAGAAATGACCTTCAAGTGTGAAGTGTCCTTCAATATTAGGGCTCTTTGACATTGTAAAGGTCAGTGACATAAAAGTTATTTTTATTGGCAAAACCATGTAAAAGAAATCCCTTTTGTGTGTTTTTGAGAGGAATCAGTGGAAAGTCAATTGTTTGGTCAGTAAATTCTGCTCATTGTCAGAGGGAAACTATGGCATTCTAAGCGTGCCATTCATGTGAGTGTGTTCATATGAAAGATACATTTACATGAAATATATTGCATTTTTATCTGCATTGAGTGTTTTTGTCATTTTTGAATAACCAATTACAGAAAGTTAACGAAATTGCAAATATGAACCTTTTTTTTCAACAAAAATTATACTGGCAAATTTATTCACATACAAACAGAGGTTTTGATTGTTTTGTGTATTTTGTAATGTCAAAATGCTGCACAGAAACCAGGGTTTTTATTTTTGATCAATGCCACGCATCTTGCATTCTACAATGTAACCCTGCACTTGTGATATTATTGCTTCACCCTTTTTTGAGTCGTTGAGTAACACTTACATTACACTGTCCCTGCTAGCATTTGCCTAACCGCATCCTGAGAAATACAACACGAGCCTGACCTTTACAAAATTACATTCCGTCACAGAGTTTCCAGGGAAATTCAACCTGAAACATTATTAATATTATAAAACCAGGGAACGTTTGAGCCTTTGGGGGAGCATTTGTTAAGACATGTAGGACGCCATCCGTACCTTGCTACAGGATCGTGTACACATGCCACTCCTGTTTCTTCACTAGTTTTTTTCCTTTCCCTGCAGAGTTTCCTGTGTAAGTGAGTTATTCAATGTCCTTGGGCAAAGTGTGGAAGATAATCAGCGCAGTCACTTGCAATTTGTCAGCCTAAATCCTAGATTGTGTTGTTTGTGATAGGATCTACATGTACATTACATGTACTGTACATGTACATGTACTGGAAGTGACATGTATGCATGTACATGTACATGCAGAACATGTCGTTTTCATGTATTCACTATGTATACAGTTGTCAATGTCATGGATGAATGCAAATGTTGGATTGGGTTAGACAAGGTTTTTGCTTTATGCATTACACGTACATACATATATACCGTACGTGTACCGGTACATTTGCGTGCATGTACATTTGTATAACCTTAGGGACAAGGTTGAAAACCTGTTTTTATCTCTTGTAATCAAATGAATGTACATGTACATAATGACAGTTTTGCTTACCAACAAGTAGACATTTCAAACTGCTTGGTATCACAGTAAACATATTTTCTTAAAAATTTGATAAAGAGCTTTGACCCTTGAAATAATGAATCCATGTATGTTGTATTATTCTTGCAGATATAATAGAAATTCCAGACAATATCAAGTACTGCAAGGCGTTGACCGTTATTGACTTCAGTGGCAATCCACTGTCCAGGTAAGTACATGTATGCAATTTTAACATAGGTGACCATAGTCTTGAATTATGGGTTCAATAAAATGGATGAATTACATGTACTGTACATGTAGTTCCTCTAGCTTGACTGCTGGGAGACACAGATTGGATAAATCATTTTTGGCCGTTATGCTTTCAAGTAATCTTTCTACAAGTATGCATTGCTACAGTATGTATGTTTGGGGTTTCCAAATTTCAATATTGGGTTTTTACCCTTCACAGGCATAAATTCACATGCACTGTACATACTCAATTCTGTCCGAGTGCACTGAGGAAAAAATCAGGAGCTAATACTGTGGTAGGCCAGGACTTGAACCCTTGACCTCCTGCTCACTAGCACAGATGTCTTAACCACTCAATTATGGAGCTTGCCGGGGTCAAATTCAATGTAGCAGTTGGTACCGCAATCAATCACTATTTTCAAATTTCCTTTCAAAATGGCCATCATAAAGACTGGAACCCATTGTTGTTAGCTCTTTAGTCAGGAATGTTTCACCATGCTAAATGTATTCAGTAAGTCTGATAAAAGTGCAGTGCTTCTCAAAATAAAACGTGTGGCACATCCATAGAACTCTCCAGGTCTGCTCAATAGTGATGAATATTACAGTGTCACATATTCTGCATTTAACATCTGTCATTGTTTGAAGGTATTGGACACACAAGAACCTTCAGGTTTGCTGTTGTATCTGATGTATTCATGAACAGTTTTGGAAATTCATGATTTCAAAAAAATGAAGTACATATGTGTATGATGGAATAGACCTTCCTCAGGGAACGCCATCTTGAAAATCATTGCTAGGCAAATAATGAAAACAAACAACAACTGAATTTCCGTGTAGTACTCACTAGTAGTTAATGCCACAGCACCGCCATCAACGTCACACTTTCTATTCTCACTTTTCCATCTGTGGCATTCTCGGAGCTGAAATTGCATTTATTTGGCAGGAACTACTTACATTATAAAGCTATCCGCAAATTGTCATTCGCACAGGACCCGCACTGGAGCCCAATACAAACATGAACAATTTGTCTTACATGTATATGGAGGAATTTCTCAACGGTCGTGCACTGTACCCTGACTCATTTACACGTGTGCAAAATGATACGGGCCTTTTAGACAACTGTCTTTTAGTAGAGCAGACGGGTGTCTCGAAAGTCTGTATCATTTTGCACATTTAAACAAGTGAAGGTACAGTGCATGACCATTGAGAAATGTCTGCATGAAAGGAACCTTTTTCATGTTCGTATTGGGCTCCAGTTCCTCTTATTTCTGGGAAACGACAGGTTCTGTGCAAAAGACAATTCAGGGATAGCCTTATAATGTAAACTTGACTACATGTTGTTCCTACCAAATAAATGCAATTTCAGCTCAGAAAAAGCCATGGATGGAAAAGTGGAAATCGAAAGTCTGACGTAGACGGCGGTGCTGTGGCATTTACTGCTACACGGAAACTTCAGTTCCGCCCCTGTTTTAGGCTAATATTCTTAGATCCTTCTTCAAAATGCAATGAGACATGACCTACATTGATGTTTCGGGGGAATTTGACCTATCCATCCATTTATAAGATTGTCAATCTGCTGTAACTTTTGCGAGAGTCACTTGTTCACCGCACACATAAAGTTGTACCATTTACGCTGCCATGTTTGTTTGGGTTATTTTTTTTTGAGTTTCTTTGATTTTCAAGATGGCGTACCCTGAAAAGGGGCTATAGAGGAATACCGTGCAAATCAGCATTGAAACCAAGGGCCTCAAGCAAAAGCAGCTGACACTTACCGTACAGATGTTTATCTGGTCTTACTGTGCTGTACATGTGAAATGAACATCTACATGTTCATGGACGTTGGTGTACATGTACATACTATGTGCATAAATGTAGCAAATGGCTTTATTTCACAAGTATTTGATGTTATTCTCAATTACAAAGGTACAGCGCAATCTACTGGTATACACATTGTACATACATACTATGTACATGTACATGTACATGAAAGAAACATGTTCAGTCACTTCTCAGCCTACTCTGCACCGTCAACACACTCTACTACAATGTATAAAATTGATAATGGATTGAATTTTTGGTAATTGATACATTTATGCAAAGTATATATTTCATAAGCTGAGAGCATTACACTGCAGAAACATGTACATGTACTGTACTTCAGTGGAACAGTTCAAATATTTACAGTTTGGAGACTAATATTTACTGTAATAGTCTTCAGTTTATTTCCTGTCCATCTACAATGCATGAGACTATTGAGTTTTACCACCCATTCCAAATCAATCCAATTACTGCTCAAATCTGTGAAGACTACACTCCTACTTACAACCTTTATCACTCCACTCTAATCCTACCAGTAAGAAATGCAGCAATTAAAGCAAAGATCTGCCGCGGTAGGGAGTGTGATTTGCATTATAATTGCATGCATGGCTTACCCATCATGTACATGTACATTGTACTTGTACCAGTACATCATACCAGTACTTGTACTCACTCAACACTGTACAGTCGACTCTCGTTAATACAAACTCTGGTTACAACAAATATAAAGCCTTGGTCCGGACTGTGCATTTATGTGCACAATGAATGGGACTGATATTCCTCTTAATACAAAATTCTGATAAAACAAACAATTTGGCTAGGTCTGAACGAGTTTGTTATAACGAGACTCAACTGTACATATATATGTGTACATGTACATGCACATGTATGTGCCGGTTGACATACTTTAAAAAGAATCTGTAATAGGCATATTCCTCAAAAGATAAACCAAGACACAACTCCACATGCTATTTTTCAATACTGCTAAAAGCATGACTTTGGTCATTTAAAACACCAACTTGCACCTTCAACTTAATAAAAAATGATCGATGGGGATAATTGGCTGGATTGTGTACATTTTGTGTCCACACATTTTGTCAGCTACCAGTGCAAATCAAAGAGAGTCGGACTCGTTGGAATTTGGAAATAAAATGTTTGTTCCCAGATGACTTGAAACCAAAACTTCTCTCCACAACAAAGACCATTTAGTATAGTTTTCAACAGATGTACCGGGTAATTTAAAGACCCGCAAAAACACCCTTTAAATAAAATGAGCCTTAAAGGAAAGGGTATGGAATTGATGAAAATGATTAAGAAGATTTACCTCTCTTCATTTTTGTAGTTGTCTGGCTGCATCAAGAACATATAATGCATGTAATGTGTCTAACATGTTATCTTGAACATCATAGTTGATGGAATTTTGATACGTTCAAGAATATTGACGGAAAGTGCATGATTTTCGACATGTTTGAGAACGCTGTCGCGTGTAGCGCTAAAAAATTGCATGCGCGATGTTGGATCTATAGGCTGTTAGTTGTGAAGATGCACAAAATTACATTTAAATTTAAGCTTCGCCGCATTTCGATTTTTATCGAATTTATATCTCGAATTTTCTCGGATTTTCAAAGTTCAGTTGACAAAACGCGATTGAATGGAAAATATCCCGGAGTGTTGCACTTCCATGATGAGGCTCATGGACGCCACATGAAAAAGAGGGCGCACTAACTGGGCTGATGTCAAAGGTCAAACAGCACAAGAAGCAGCTGCACGTTGCTGAACGTCTCATAGTAAAAAATGGATGGACTTCCGGAAGTCATCGTCGTTGAAATATGTCAGACCGGGGTTTACAGAAATATATGTGAAGAAAATATGATACATGTACATGTACATGTAGTTAAGAAATTCATAAAAACAAATACATGTACATTGTACATGTAGCTCATGTTTTTTAGAACATGCCATAATATGGTTCAGTAAACACATGTACGGGGGTGTACATGTATATTGTACGTTCCGTTAGTGTGGACAGACCCACATGTTACATGTTACATGTAGGCCCATTAATTAGTGCATACGATACTAATGATGCATACAGTACCATGTACATGTATGTACAGGTACATGTACATGTACATGTGCATGTACTCATGTACTAAACATTTGTCTCCCCCAGATTTAACGTAATCAATTCTCAATTAAGCCCAATGAATAATTACATATAATACCATGGCCTGTGCTGATACAGTATTGATTACTACGTACAGTTGTACAGTGTACTATCGTATACACGTAGGGGAACATCCGGCTATCAATATAGATTTTCAGCACATTAGTGAGGCACCGGTAAGATAGTGGAGTTTTGATTTGTACTGAATGGATAGAGCTATTGAGAACCTGAGTAGAATTTAAATTCATTATTGAATTTGATTTAATCAAAGTTAAATTATATTTTACAATTTGTAATTTTTAAAAATAAATTTCTGTGAACACATACCAGTACATGAACCGGTACATGTATGTTAACCTGAATCCTTTTGGACGTTTAAAATGAACAAGATTGTAATTTGGATGAATCGTGTATGATGTCTGACATTTACAGATGGAAGTGTCATGCTACATTGGCATCCAAGCTACATGTACATGTAACACCTCATGTCATGGCCACAGTATTTCACTGTCAATAATATCAGTGCTTGTCTGATTCAATAAAGCATTGTCACGTCATACAGTCAGAATAGAAGGATATTGAAAAAAAAAAAAGTCATTTGTTATGCTGTGCAGAACGACAGACATGTACACGTTATGCACTGTACATGTACCTGTTCGTGTACTGTACAGTGTGTTGCTGTACATGTGTGTATGCAAACATGTTTATGTACATTATACAGTAGTAATGTCAGTATATTCAGTAATTTTGAATTCCTTGAGGCCATTGTAAAGAATTGACCCAAATCAAGTGCATTGCAGTTTCTCTTTCATGCAAAGTGATATTGCATGTGTGTACATCAGATACTGTACATGTACATGATGTGTATTTTTATACAAATTCTACATACATATTTGTCTATTTGAACAAGCTTCAAATTAAATCAAAGGCAATAAACCAATGCTCGTTGGCAATGATGTCATCTATTGCGATACTAAGAGAATAATGGTAAATGACAGTCATAAATCATACATCAGATTTCTAGCTAATAGACCGTTATCATGCTAATAGACCGTTATCATGCTGCCACCATTTCAGTCATGTTCCCTGTATCCAATAACAGAGCTGAATGATAATTTTTGTGTATGCAAAAAGGAACCAGACTATTTTTCCTTTCAGCCTCGCTTTGGTTACGTTGATTTGAATGGCAAAAATTATGATGGCCGCATCATGATAATGATCTATTGTGATTCATTGTGTCCATAGTTGACAACGCTTTTCTAACATTGAACAGACAATGAGTCCCAGTATAATGTGTGTAACACTAGAATTGCCCATTTAGAATGACAGTAGAAATGCAGTTTTGGCTATTAAATTATAGTCAAATTGACAAAATTGATATACCGGTAGTTATTTTTATACGTGTAATGGTACCATTAAGGAGACACGTTATCGTAATTTCTTCGCACGATGGGAGACATTGGTCATTAGTTTTCATGTCTCCCTAATGTCACAGCCCCCCTTTAGAGGCAAAATTGTATTGTCGCAATTAGATTATATTTTTTGCTCGTGGTCTAATTAGTGAACATACCGAAATTCGTGGAAAAAGGAAAAGGGAATATTGGGTTAGGGCACATTTCAGTTTGAAAATTTTTGTGCACAAGTCTATGGGGATGTCTCCCAAATGTCCAATCCAGGGTAATATATATTGATATTATTATTATTATTATTATTGGTGTCATGAATTTATTTGCTCGACAAAGACTGTTTTTAAGTGAATTTAAAATGTTAGTTTTTCCATGGAAAACCAAATCATTTTACCAGCTGTACCGGGACCTTTGAGGTCTTATGACATTGCCATTGTAAAAAAAAATGTAGGATATGTTATACATGTACATGTAGCTTTGAGCAAATTTGGCCGAGAACCATTAGTGGTTTATTCATGATGTAAGTTACGCCTATGGATTGATAGCAACGTGCGAACGCTTCTAGTCAAATGATGGTCAAAACGTCCTCACAAAACTCCTTTGTCCTGGCAACCCCCCCCCCCCCACCTCATGTGCATTATGATGCACGCTGCTTTTGGTATTAAACCAGTGATGCAATTGTGCCCCAGGCTGTGGTTTCAAATAGTTGACCAGTGTGGTCCAACCATCCTGCGTTCAAGTGCTCATAGTTGCTCATAGTTGGAACCCTGATTTTGTTTTTAAAATGGTTGGTAATTGTTAGGCTTATTTTTCACTATGCATGCCTGTCTGAAAAACAACTCAGGACTGTTATTGCTAACTGTTTTTCTAACTTATCATGTATGTATTCATAACCATTTCATTTTTCTATATTCTCCCCTGTAGATTACCAACCGGTTTCACACAACTACACCATCTTGCCCACCTAACACTGAATGATGTAACCCTAGAAAACCTACCTACAGACATAGGAAAGTAAGTATCAGCAGGCAGGTTGCACCATTTCGATTGGAGGGGTGATTAGAACAGTAAGGAAAAAGAGATGTTACATGTACATGTACATGGACACACCAGAATTGAAGCATGATCAATGTAATTACTTGTCACCAAGAAAAACATTATTTCACATAAATTCGTCTTTCCAATAGGCCTGTTTGACAAACTTACGCTGTAGGAGGGTAAAATACGTGTACGTCGGTACTCAGAATACCGTAGTTAAGAAATCAGTGTTCTGGAGAAGATGTTATTGCTTGCCACGAGACTGTGGATTCCGGTTGTCAGCCCGTCAGGTCCACACAGGATGTCCCTGTAGAAGCGTAGTCGGAAACGATCATTTAGGCAGCGACTGACAAGGATTTGTCATACTACATGAGCGAGTTATTTGTGTCTTACAGAAATACTTTGGGAATGAAAAGAGTACATGTATACGTATATATGTACTTGAACTGAGAATAGTGCAGAATCTGGACTCCGTCCATTGATAGGAATATGGACACATTCACTCACATGGACATGAACCCTACATGATGCATGCACGTGAACATACGTACACTGCACATTGTACATGTTGCCTAGGTGTACATGTACAGTAAAAGTGCAATAACTTCACCAAGACTTCAATGGCTTTGTAGTGCTAAATTTTTCAAAAAACACACAGCAGTCACTGCTGTGTGTTTTTTGAAAAATTTAGTTTTCAATTATTGGAATTTGGATTTGATCGAAAATTCAAATATTTGAATATTGACATTAAGTTTTGAATGGACTGCAAGCATCGATATATATTTTTGTAGCTGACTAGCTGATAATTGAGATATTTTAAAGATGAAAATAACGAGTAATATTTTTCACAAAAGTAAAGTGGCTGTCCACAAAAATGTGGTCTTTGACAAACTTTTTGACATATAACATTACATCATGGACATTTTTTGTCATCTTCTCGAGACATTTGAGTATTCTATTTGGTACGTTGCTATGCAGATCGATTTTCAGTGGCTGATCAAATATTCAGATGTGTACATGTATTCGGTATATTCAGCGCAGCCCTAGGGCTTTGAAGCCTCAGGCAAGGTCTGTGATTTCTATCAGTGATATTGGGGGAACCGTAATCTCCAAAAAACAAAATAGAGAAAAAAAGGCATCCCCTGGCATGGCTGAGGTAGATTAGCAACGGGAAGCAGGGGTGGCAATATGAGTCACAGGTGCAATGTGATCATGTACCTGGCTATGTCAATTCATGCCCTTTAAAGGGAAAATACAACATTTGCAAACATCGAAAAATAAAACTTTTTAATAAAGTTTTTACAAAATACCTTACAGGATGTTGGTAAATGACAGTCTAAAGTATCCTGTAAAATTATGGCACCTGGTGTGAAGTCATTTTGAAGAAAATTGTATTTTTGTATACATTTCCAACGGTGGTCGGCCGACCACCATAGGAAAAACCTAACTATTTTTCAAGTACTGCTTCAAATTTACCATTTTCTTCAGTCCAAATTTTGTTTGCTATTGGTTTCATGTTCATGAATGGGTGCAGGCCAGCTAGACTGGTTCCCTTACTGTACAATTTTCCGGCATCTTTAAACTGATCCATTTCATCTTCAGTGGAGTCAGGGAACCAGACTACTTGAACTTTTTTTGTTTTTCTTGGTTTTTCCAGCATTTTCGAAAACAAAACTTCAAACATGTCAGTGTAACAATAATTTGATCTATTATACTAACCCCTCAAATAGTTCATTTTTGAAAATTAACGCAAAAGCCAATGATGTACATTCCCTTTAATACATTGATGGGCATTTTTAGGGCTAAACAGCTTCAGGGATTTTGAATTTGTACATAATGTACAAAATGTACATGTACATGTACCTTCAGGTACAATAACATGTGTACGGTATTTGAATGTTAGCAAGCCAACATCTTTGAGAAGTTCCCTGGTGCTGATGCTCCCCCAAAAAGGTATGAAATAGCCATGGAAAGTCATGCTAATGTACATGTATGCTGTGTGACAAATACATATACATTGTATGTTTTAGTGTTATGAATATGAGCTTAGTCTCAGTGTCAAGACCATGGGTGGTGATTTTTTTTGGGGGGGGGGGGGGAGGACATATTTCCCCCCCCCCTTCCCAATAATGGCTGGAGATGGCATGGTGCTGTTTCCCCAATACTGTATATTGCCAGGCACTTACTGCTATGCGAATGCATATAGATTTTTAACCAAATGTACATAAATGTGGATTATTTATTGTAAGTACATGTAACAAGAAATCTTGACATACTGTACATGTAAGGCCAGCAGAACATGTACATTAATGAGTTTTTTTTTTTTTTTTTTTTTTACAGCCAAACGATAATATGCATGTAGTTTACATGTATGCCTTTTTTAAAAACCTGCTGAAAAAAGTGCAAGTTTGGGCATTAAGGTTAGGGTCAGTCGGTTTACTTGAAACAGAGGTAATTTGTTTTAACCTTGTTTCAATGGGGCTTAACATTGGTACCCCGGTACATGTATGTCCAATGATGTAGAAATATGATACACATACATCAGGGGTGTGAAATCTCAGCTTTAAAGCTGATTTTAGCTTTTTTTGTTTTGAAATTCAGCTTTTTTCCGTCACTTGCTGTGTACAAAGGTATAAGTATAGGAGATTTCCGAAGTCCAGCTTTTTTACACCTTTTCCAGGCGTTTACAGCTCTTTTGATCAGTGGTCACTGACACCCCTGATACATGTAAAGTGCCCAGTGCGAGCGCAGGTGTTGCCAGCATAGTTCACATTACATGTGTACCACACATTGACATTTGGGGCCATAAAATCTGTCAGCAGAATTTAATGACCACTGTGCTTTGTCTCATATGGTACAAGTACATGTACACATGTACATGTAACAATCACAAAATGTCAGGCAGTTTAAACATTTTCCTATAGGCTGCCAAATGATGCAAAAACAAATCAGGAATTAATGAAAGTTGAAAGAATATGAAAATACAATTTTCACTCTCCAAGTTATAAATTTCAAATTGCCAACTTAAAACCTCAATTTTGTTGGAAAAATGTAAAATGAAATGTACATGTAAATGTACATGATCATGTAAAGTATTTGGAACTGTTCAACTAACACTCTCCTTATAATACCGGTACAATGAACTTATGTCATTTTGAATGACTGAGTCCTGAAACACACAATCAGTAAAACTACATGTATACATGTACACACGACATACCTACATGTACAGTACAATGTACATGTGCATGTACATGTACAGGTATTAATCCGTCATCAATGACTTCCAACTTGATGCTTATTGCACATACATCACAATTCATGAAGTGTAAGTACTGGTACTATGATCGTAAAATGATTGTTGTTAAAGCACATGACTTAATACTGTATGTTGATGTTAGAAGTGCACATGAGTTCATGTTCAACATACTGAATAATTGACGTACAACATCAGGTACCGGTAGGTATTTTGTTCATGTTTGCATATTTTCAGTTTAGCATGCAAGTTGAATATTATTACACACTACATCCTGTCAACTGCCTAGCTACATTACCATACCTGTACACCCACATCATATTTCAATTCACCCATATATCATGCCCAAATGTCAGCATTAGTGTGTAGGCACAGGGCTGTCTGCCATCCACGTTTGCTAGTTCAGGCATGGAGGAATATCACGGTTTGCACATGAAAGGTCAGGGAAGTTTTGCGCATTGTAATTTGTATTGCATGATTCAAAACAGAATACATCAAATATAAAGGAACAAGCACAGAATGAGGATGTCACTAGCAGTCGTATGTTATTTGATTAGCATACATGTATGGAGATGTGAATAGCATGGTATTGATACTCTTACTATAGTACACATACAATTTATTTTTGATGTAAATGTAGGTACAATGTACATGTACATGTACAGTGTATGTACATTAAATGCCTTTCTAATAAAAGCAATGTAATGTTTGTGCTCATGTACTGCATGTTTTATGTGTACATAATGTACCTGCATACCGGTACGTGCATGTACATGGGGCATTGTCTGCAAAGCTTGAGTCAGTTCAGTGCAACATACATGTACTTCATAGGCCTACTAGTGGGAGACTGAATAAATATATTTATCCAAATAAACAACTCAACCATTTCGAGAGTACAGAATACCATAAATCACAACATGTATTGCCAACAGATTCTAGCTTTGTGCCTGTAAATCATGTACTCCACCACTCTCAACCACAGGAACATTCATACATGAACACATACGTATTGTTTATGTGTATCTTTTCATCTGTTTGTGTCATGTGGGTTTGATAGATTTCAAATCCTAAGCATGTTGTTGATGTATAATGCCACTGTGTAAAGTTGAGAAAGTGAAAGTGCAGGTGTGCAGAATATCATATCTAATCATGGTTTCAGCAGATATCCTTGCCACTAGAAAGTATTGTCTAAATTAATGGTGCATTGGGAGGGCGGAGGTGTCTTAGTAAATTCCATCACAGAAACTGACGGAAGGGGGCTGAAATGTATCTACATGTATGTACAGCATAATATGGGGTGTTTGGCTTAAGGTAGCTTCATATAATTTGTTCTTGCAAAATTGAAATGTTTGAATAGTGAAAACCTTCCACACAGGTATTGGTGTGTCTTGATTCAGTTCAAATTTCATCCACGTATTGGATGCATACTAATGTGTTTACCCTTGCCTGGGTAAAAATACTCCATGTTTGATCTCAGGAAATGAAAGGAGAATGCTGTGTACTTGGAAATGTCAACCACAATGAAACTAACACACAGGGCCGACATGACAGCTCATAATGGATGTGTTTGAGTGGCTCACACGGATCGACTTGGGTAAAGGCAGACAGGTTAGCCATGAGAGCCAGGCTAATCGAACGCTCAAACACAGGCCATCAGGATCCTCACGTGATGTCTGTAGCTGCAGTTATTATAGCTACTGACAAATCGTCCGTTTCGGAGTGCAAGTCATACTTTGAGATGTACTGTTTTCCGTCAATTGCAAAAAGTAACAACGTCAGGCTAGAATTCTCCTCTAAAGTTGCAATGAGATCAATAAATAATTGATCTATAGTCGTTTGCGAGTTAGCCACGCCCCTTAGTTAACCCAATGGAGTTTTTTACACTAAGTTTTCTTTGTCTCAGATTGTGCGCGTTCCGCGTCCATTTGTCTATCATGTAATTGGACAATATGTCACAAGCTGCGTTGACGCGATCCTAACGCGATTCTACTGTAATAGGTCAGCTATGTTTAAACTTCAAATAAATTGATTTTTAGGGTCCACTTGATCTTTTCTGCCGTCCGGCCGCCTTATTTAAATCTGTTTCTTGGAATGAATAACGCATGCGTGTGACGTATTTCCACCACTGACTCTGCTCCATGAGCAGGGTCTGTGGTGGCTGACCCGGTGGAATGACATCATCTGGAGTTTATGGAATGGCACAGGCATAACCCGAGTCGATCTGATCCGGGTGAGCTAATCGAACGCGCACAATTTCTCTGTGAGTGTGTGTGTTGACAGGACAGCCTTGTTGTCTAGCATGTGTTAGTTAGATCATTCAGCCTGATTCCAATCACGATGCATTTGAAGCCAGAGCTAGAATTGAATACATGTGGTTGGCTAGAAAGAACAGTCACACCACATGCTTCATGTCCCCTGTGATGGTCAGTCCAATGCACCTACAGTCTGAGCTTAGATTGGAAACAGGGCATTTATCATATATTCACTGCAATATCTTAGTGTAGAAACCCAAAAGCCAAGTCAAAAAAGGTGACATGCATGAGACCTGATTTGCACGAAGGATCAGCCTGGAGGCCTACAGATAAACAGTGTTGTGTTGAACTCTGGCAAAGAATAACTTGATTATCTATTAAAAAAACACCAAAACAAAAAGAAAATAATGTTGTGTTCATTGTATAAATGTATGTACAAGTGGGCTGTTGCTTATACAACCAACACCATATTTTGAACAATTATCACAACATTGGAAATTCTGGAATAGCACAAGTGCACAAACATATGGACTCCGTGTGCAAGTACCGGTAGCTCTCAATAGTTACAAAATGGAGAATTGGGGGGAGACCACTGGGAAGGACATTCAAACACATTGCTGCGGACACATGACACACATTCAGAATCAAATAAGTTGTGCATATATGTGCATTATGAGCCTGAACCAGTTAATACACACGATGTGTCCCTCTCACTGGGGCTCTCAAAAGATGTCACAAAGTGCTATCTACTGTGTCTGCACGAGGTCCATAGCCTTCTGAATACCTACATGTTATAACAGCTTCCCATATGTCATGTGCATATTCTCCATTAATTATTTTTCTTCCCCCAAATAAAAATTGATACATTGAGGGTCGATGGATGAATACCGAGAAATCAAAACTTATTTCTGAGTTTGTTGATCATAACTGATTGATCTATATGATTTGGTTGCAGCCTGTCCAATCTGCTAACCCTAGAGCTACGTGAGAACCTTCTGAAGATACTACCAGAATCCTTGTCCTTCCTGGTGCGTTTAGAGCTACTTGACCTGGGCAGTAATGAACTGGAGGAACTACCTGAGACCTTAGGAGCGTTGCCTAACCTGATGGAACTATGGCTGGACTGTAATGCACTCGCTACTCTGCCACCGGTAACATTCTAAACATCACATGTTTAAACAAGTGACGTGAATTACATAAATTCTGAAACAAAAGTATAATAAGATAAGGGCCTTTTTATACTAGCTCTCTGAATAAGTATCCTGAATCAGGTAATGGTGTTGAGAGTGGAAAGAGGGCTTGGAACATGGGTATGCTCTGAGTCTAGCCACACCATCGCCTTTCATGCATTTCATCATTATTTCTTGTCATGTGCATATGTTATACAGCTTACACACTTGTTAACTTGAGTATTATGCCCACTTATTGTAAATTTCAAGCAGATCATTTGGATGTGAAAAAACTGAGATGGCACTGGATTGCACAATACGTTGTTAGAAAAAACATTTGGAATATTCATTCTTTAAATTCCCTGCATTATTTTGTTAATTAAAATGGGGATAAGAGGGATTGAATATTAATGGTGCCTGTTCTCAATCACATCTCCATTCCCCATAGTACATGTTTGTCTAGACTCAAATGCACATAATAATGTCAGTGTCTTCTTGTCCCTCCTAAACCATGAATAATTTTCCTTTTGTATGTGATCTTCCGGTTTGCAAATATGTAGGAAATTGGCAACTTGACCAGGTTGACTGTTCTGGACATCTCAGAGAACAGCTTGGAATGTCTCCCTGATGAGATTAGTGGATTACAGAGCCTAACAGATCTCACTCTCTCACAAAACTGCCTGGAGAAACTGCCAGATGGAATAGGTAAAGAAACTTGACTAGTAGCGTACAGGAAGTAGCAAGGTTGGTGGATTGACAGATTGAGTCGTGTAGATAAAGAAAAAATGGCATGAACATGCAACAGATGCAAAGGTTTCAATTTCTTAGAAGGCTTCCAGATTTTTCAACAATGTTAAGGCCTTACGACTGTCTCCTTATCTGTTCAGTTTTTGAGAAGAAATAGGGTTTAATCATAAAATAACCCTAGCCATTTGTATTCAATTTATGTTCAATTCATTGAGATGTTAATGACCTTTTAGGGCACCTTACTGATTAACTGGTATGAAATAGAGTAACGGTACCATTAGAAATGGTATGTGTTTGGGATACGTATGCATGTCTATCACCATTTTGGGGGTTATGTCACCAAACTCATATATGAACATGGACATCCTAACATTTTCATTTGAAATTTGCACATTGCCCATAGTGCGCCTGATGAAGTAACCATGCACAATGGGGATTTGACAAGCACCTGTTTTTGCTGAGTCTGCATACACGTACCATTTCTAACGGTCCCTCATTTGGGTTAACCAAGTGAGAATCCATTAAGATCATACACCAGATCTCAATTACTGTACATGTCATTTCCTTGGGATATCAGGCAGGCTCAGAGGCCTGCGTGTTACCCTGAATAGCCTGGGTGTGGGATATGAAGAACATGACACACAACCTTGTTTCCATGGGTACGATCTTGCTGCGCCATGTTGGTTCCCATCATGCCTTGCACCATCTTAACCCCTGGAATTGTGTAATTTAAATGTGCCACCATTTGGAACATTTAAATTAGGACTGCAGTTGACGTATTTAACGCATGGCCCAATGCTTACAGTTTTAAAAATGATGTGACGTTCAGGAACGCGTTTTTGAAATACGTGCGCAGCATGCACTGAATAGCCGGTCAGCGTCGTTTGCGTATTCCTCATGGCCAGGGGTCCAGTGAAGGAACGTGCACGTGCCCATGGAGTCCAGGCTGCATGACATAACCTGGGTTATGTTATACCATATATATCATACGACTGATGGGTTACTATATATGGTGTACATGTACAAGCACATGTGCCAACAGGACTCTATTTTGTTGTTTTACAGTTTTGTACTAGTTTCGCAGGTGTACAACAAACACGTTTCCTTTGTTGACATCTCTCTCAGGATTCTGTACCGGTTACATTTTATGAGGACTTTGCCATAGTAATCAATGTTTTACTTACCACTGACAAACAAACATACATACTCAACATGTCTGGTAACTCTAAATACTGTAAGTTGCATGAACATATGCCATTGATCACTGTGCTCAACAACCTGTAAATGGCAACATTTCATTGCGTATCCAGTGTGCTATAAAATGCCATTTTAGATTGTAATGACACAAAATTCAAAGGCTCTTTACACATTTCAATAATAATTTAGTAAATCAAAGTAACTTGTTTTCCTTTCTCTCGTATTTTTGTAGGTAAACTGAAAATGCTGAGTATCCTCAAGTTAGACCAGAACCGAGTTATAGCACTCCCTGCTTCCATTGGAGGGTTAGTATAAGATTGCCTCATGCAATGCACTCATGAACTCAGGCTGCTAGTACAGTCTGAATACATACATGTAGTACTTACAATTTATACCGGTATTTATGAGGTCAGCTGTGTAAAGTGTGTGATGTGTGATACAGATTATTCAATTCGGGCGTTTCACAATGCAGTGCGCCACCAAGAGTTTGGCACAGAGAGTTATTTTACCCAGTGCATCGACAAATTCGCAGCGCGGGCTATTTGAAATTGTTAGGTTGTCCGGTCAGTAGTTTCATAAGCGTATGATTCGAGTGTCTGTTTGCCCTTTTCTTTTTATCAATATGGTGTTATTTTGTAAGGCGGCAGAACGCTATGCCCCAATCCTTAACAAATTAGCTCAAGTTATCTACTGATACTCGTTCAAATGGGCCGTATTTTGTCGACTGTAAACTTGAAAAATGGTCTGTCCGTGGCAAACTCTTGGTGGAGCACTGCATTGTGAAAGACCCCAATTGTACATGCGTCCGGTTCAGTTCAACTTGCCCACAGTCTTTAGCGTTCTCTTACTGTATTCTGTTCATATTCTGGATCAGCTTGTATTGGCAGCTGTGACTGACCTGAATACCTGTAGCTTCTTGTTATAGTTCATAGTCATATTCTCTTACAATGGTATCCCATAATATAACTAGAGACTTTTGAGAGAGCTGTATTCTGATTCAAAAATTAAACTGACAAGTTTGTCACAATTAAAATGTTGGACTGTCTTCAATTAAATGTTTTGTTCAGTTTTTCCTTATCTACATAGAGTACAAGCAAAAAGGTTTTATAAAATTATAACAAACTTTAGGCACATTTTTCTCATTTCTACTTTTATTGTCATTTTTCCAGATGTGAGAATATGACAGAGCTCATCCTTACAGAGAACATTATTCAAGAACTTCCCCCAACGATTGGTAACATGTCCAAACTGAACAACCTGAACGTAGATCGCAACAGACTCCTGCATCTAATACCCGAGGTGAGAATACTAAAGGGAATCGAAAGTGGACGAACTATTCAATTCAATTTTTCAAATCAATTCTGGTTTATTTGATAAAAAAAACACCAAATAAAAAAGGCAAAGACTTAAATAATTTGGTTTACAAAAATTACATTAAAAATTACAAATTTATACAAAGCATAAACATAAGCATTCCAGAATTCTTATTAAGTTCAAATTTAAGATTAATCAATTAATTAAAATTTAAGTAAGAAGAAGACATTGTTTAAAAAGGGGATGCATGTATTTGAACAGAACAGTGTATAGAATGGTTGTATTGTCTTCTTGTCAGTATTGAGGGATGTGAATTCTAATTTGTTAGGCAAGCTAGCATGGCTGGGGTTGATTTCACCAGACCCCTCAATAATCAGTAATCAGCACTAAGGGGAATTAACATCTATATTAGATTCTCTGACCTGACTAGCTTGCTCAGGTAATATGTCCTCCATCATTTGCTGTACCTGTGTGTTACAGATTGGCAAGTGTGTACGTCTTGGTGTTATCTCTCTGCGAGATAATCGTCTGACCAGGTTACCCCCAGAGATCGGCATGTTGACTGAGCTACATGTGCTGGATGTGTCTGGTAATAGATTAGACTGGCTTCCCATTCAACTAGCCAACTGTAACCTGAAAGCTCTATGGCTGTCAGAGAACCAGGTAGGTTTGAAGTAATAACAAGGGTTTACTGACTGTGAGGCATTGCAATCCATTTCATATCGGGACTTTTTGGGGGGGGTAACTTGCATGTAAATCATAGACTGTTTGGAGAAACTTGATTATGCGCATATTGCTATATAGACTGTTTAGAGAAACTTGATTATGCCCATATTGATGAGCTAATTATACTGGTTTTAATTGCCAATGTTGCAACACATCATGGCGGTAAACAAAGCTCACTACTGGGTGGGATGTATGCTACCTGTATGGTACTCATGCCAAGCTGGTTGGTTAGTTGTACTATGCAACTGCAAAGTATGCAGTTGTTATCAAAACATTCTCCAACATAAGTCAGCTTCTAAACCCCCAGCCACACAGGTTGAATGTGAAACAAATACTACAGGGTTCTTTCACTACCTAGTCTAATCCGGGTACTCAAAAGTCAGCATCACTATTGTAGTAGGCACAGATTGTGAGTCCGTACAATTATGACAACCGTTCAATGGCACAGGTAGTGAACATTATGCCGTTTGATAAAGAATTCACGGCTATTTAATGTGATAATAAGCCCTACTGTCACAACATGGCGCAGTGGTGGTCGATCATGGAGAAACTGGATAGTCACGTAGTACTTTGACGTCATACAATCAGAACCTATAAGATATATATTTGGAATGAAGTGCAACACTAATTGTATCTTGTTGGCAGATTTTGATTTTAATTTAGTGACATATGTTAGTATTATACAATTACAACATAGTTTGAGGGGAAGAAGTGCGAAATAACTGGTCCTGAGGTGTTGGCTGATAAGGGAGGGGTTGATTTCTAAACTGAAATATTGCAAGGGTGACAAGTACACATGCTTGGTATGGATACAATCTTGAGATTTCTGAGGAGAATTGTGAGTAAGTCTCCAGTCATGAGTGTTGTTGAGAGTACACAATTCTAATCATTACTTGTGTTATTTTCTGACTGCAGTCTCAGCCATTACTCAACTTCCAGACAGACGAGGTTGGACCTCAGCAACTCAAAGTATTGACTTGCTTCCTGTTACCACAACGAGGACCCTCAGAGAGCATGGGTAAGACGCCAATCTGCAGTATGTAGGACACATTACAGTGGGCTGCATATGTTACAAGTTTCTGTTTTTACAGTAGCATTTCGGTTTTTTTTTTTAACTATAATGGGCTGTTTGAAAGTTTGGATAACAGTGCAATCTCAAAGCCAAACATTAGAAGTCCATCAGTCAAAGCTTTGGCTTGTAAAATTAGTGATATGATTGGGCTGTCTTGATTGGATTACATGATAAATCTAATGGCTTTGAATGGTCCAATTAAGAGTGTTTTTATTACGACTACATTGCGCACTGGTGAGTGAATGTTTTGCTCTATTTTGGCAGAGAACCTTCTGGCTGGCAGTGTGGCTACTACTGAAGATGACAACAGAGTTAGCTGGACTGAGAAACCAGACAAGGAGAAAGCCATTAAATTCCATGATGAAGGAGTGGACTTTGAGGAACATGAGAGACCGGTAAACCGTGGCTCATACTTCACCCAAATACTAACGTCACAATTAGTTGGGACTTGCAAATGCAAATGCCATTACTATTTGGTTGCAAATGCACCTAAGTTGACCACATTTTACCTAAAGATAATTCTCTCGAGCAAAGTTTCATGATTTGAAATTCGTTTAGTTTTCATGTTTGTGTGAAGTTTGCATAAGACAATGGATTCCTTGCACGAACAATAGATGACACTTTGTGACTGCTAGTGGTAGCTCTGTGTGTGGCACACTGCATAGGCACTCTAGTTTGCATGCATGTACACAAATAATTTGACTCTGAAATATGCACATGAAAACTTATAGAGATTTCACAGATGAACTGTATTCGCGAGGAAGCCTTTTTTGATCGTGTTCCCTGAATTTTAGTTCACATACGCGATTTTGTCGCACGATAATGTCGCGTGTTTTTATATATATGCACAAATCAATGAGCGCATTTACATTTACGCGACAAAGTCGTGCGACTTATCGCACTAATTTCAAAAATTGTGCAACATGGCGCGTATTTGTTCATTCACACACTTGCGTGAACAGCATTGCCGTGTGACATAGTCATTGCAACAGAATCACCTGTGGGTAAATAGGCCTTGTAAGCGGTTGAATGGGATGGTGCCAGACTGTTTACATGTATGCGTTCCAAGCCTTACTTTCATTTTTTTTAAATGTGGCTTAAAACACAAGTGAATGAGTAATCACAAATTGAAATCATTCATCAGAGCAGACTGGTATTAATTTGTAATTCACTTTTTTTCATTAGTTTCATTTCTATTCGCAAGTTCCAAAAATGACGATTTTACCTCGTTTTCAATCTAATATGGCCGACTCGTGGATAAAGCCTATGGAAGTCAAGAGGTTTAACTACTGGCTGTTGCTCAGTCCAAGCAGGGCTTTGGTCAAAAGTTGTAACAACTTGTCATCCAGTTAGGCAACCATGAACATTTGCCTTTTATCCCAAGTTATAATTGATTAAACTTGCCACTGATCACTGTCCCAAGTGTCCTCTACATGTATACCAGTCTTGACAGATAAAAACACATTTTTTCAAAACCTGTTCAAAATTCATTCTATTTAAAAGTTGTTGTGACTGCTGGAAAAACCACATACCTGTAGTGATTACTGTGTGAGGTCAAAGTAGACTTTATTATTTGTTTTTATTTGAATGGTTGGTTTGTAGCTGCACATTCAAGAAATATGATTTTTTCTTGCAGTCCAACTTTGTTCGTCATGACACGCCCCACCCCAGGGAACTTAAAGCAAGACACCCTAAGTTTGCACACCAAGGTCATCATAAAAGTAAACACAACGTAAGTTATAACACAGCTGTCATTGTTTAGCTGCTTGCAATTGTTGGTGACTTTTTGTTATTATGATTATAGTGTGATTGATCAAGATTCCTGGTAGGGATAGATATTTAAGTTTCATACAAATTAGTTGTAAACAAATTGTCTTTATTGCAAGGGGCAATTTTAAAAGCAGATTAAACTCTTTGATTTTCGTTTTTGGAGAAGTACATGATCAAACTGTCAATGGTGAAAATGGATGTCGATGACAACCAAATACAACCAAATACAGCAGAGAATTACAGGAAATAAAAAAAAAGTTAAAACTCTGCATGTTGCAGAAATATCTTATTCTAAATACATACAAAAAAATCATTAGAATACATTGACCAATATTTGTTGGAGCTGAGAAACCTAAACAATTCCTTAAGTTATTGAGTTTAGTTTCAAGGTGTCCTATTTGTGTATCTCATGTTAGCGTTCCACAGATGAGGATGAAAGTCAAGTAGGCACTGATGATGAATCTGAGAAGCGGTTATCTGGTCACTTCAAACCCCCAACTGAAACAGATGCATTACTTGCTGGAGCTAGTGGTACAGTCATTGTACCTACCATGGTCACTACACAGCTAGCCTCACCAGTAGCCAATGTACAGGAGGATGATATGGAAGATCCATTACTGAAAGCTTCAAACACTGCCCCAGTCCAAGCTCAACGGACTGTACAACTTCAGTCACCAAATGATCGACGGTCTGGAGAAATATCAGAGGTCAGTTTTGCTCAGTAGGTGTTTGTGTTAATAGTAATATGGTTTTGAGAAGAAACTTTTCCCATTGAACAGTGATTGTGTGATTTCTGATTGTGTGTGTGATGATGTGGCAGGCAGATTTGGAGTTGAGTTCATCACAGGTCAAGTCACAAGTAAATCATGAATATTTCATGAATATATTCCATGTTTTCAGGAATCAGCCTGAAATGCCATGTTGACTGGCCATTCCAAGTGCATGCATGCAACCCACAATATCGTAAATAATGTGAGCATTAAAAGCTTTGACAACACATAAAAATTACCTACAGAAGGAAGGAGAAATCAAGTTTGGAGACTTAACAACAACCGGCATTTTGTATCTTGTTCCAAATGGTGTTTGCTTGGCATGCTTTTTCTTAAATATTTCATCGCCAAATATCGAAAACCATGTGTGCATTGATCAGCCATGTCAGTTGATGACATGGGCAGGGTGGCCCAGTAGTGCAGCTGGTTTCCGTCCATTCTGCCTAGGATATTTTTATTGACGAGAACCAGTGCATTATGCTGCACGAATACTCAGTATATACGATCGCGCATGGATTGAGCAATGAGCATCTAGCAAGGTGTTGTGGAAAGTACGCTTATTCCTTTCTCTACATTTGGTCTGACATGGGGATTGGGAGTTTAAAAGAGAATCACAAGCTTGTCTTTATTAATCGCAAGGCGAGAACATTGGTTTTTGGCTATTTGGTCATCAAAAGTGGCATTTTTTTCAGCGGTAAGTTTATACATTTTTTTCAAGTTATTTGAGCCAAGTTATTTAAGAGAAATTGCCTAAGTGGTGGTAGAAAGCTTCAATAGTGTATGATCCTTTAGTATACAAGAAGTGTGTGTGTACTTGTGTGTGTGCCTCCTTCCCACACAGGTTGACTTTCACCAACGTAAATTAACATGAAAGTGACTGTACATGTATGTGCGTAATAGTGATACCTCTGATCTGTAGTTGCATACTGTAATTCCTGCCCTGAATTACATGTCAAACATTGATATGTGAAATCAACCTATCTTCAATCTTACCCCCTCGTCTCCTTTTGGAATACGTCAACTTTTTCAAGACCTTACCCAGTTATCATCCCTGCTTACCCAGACTGAAATCAATATGTCATTTGACCTACATGTATCACTTCTTATTTATTCAGACTTGAGTCTATTAAGCTCAACTCCTTAATACTAACTCTACTGCTTACTCAAGTTGTCCTGAGTTCATTCTTAACTTTCTTGTACTTGTTCTTAAACCTTGCTACTTATCTTGGCCATCGGTATTCATCAGTGCGTTGTGCTATATCTCTTCAATTGTTCTGAAGTTGTTAACTCAGCCAACATTAAAGAAATGATTGGTGTTTGTGTCTTGCATGGGTATTGCATGCTGGGATAACAGTATTCCTCTTCATGTCATATGGATAGAGCACCTGTTCTTGTAAACGATCGTGACAGAGTTCATATCCCAGCACAGGATGTTTCATGTTAACTGACTGACTTACATGTACCAGACACCAATGGTTTCTTTAATGCTGACTCAGTAGAAAACATAGAGAAATTACTAGAGACGATCACCGTTTGCCTTTGTTTAATGGCACTGGACGCTGTATAAACATATGCACAGTAACACTGTTCATTATCTTACCGTAGATGAAATTTGCTTTCTTACCCGGTATTGCATAATACTGAGCAGTCTTTAATTGAAGAAATAAGAAAATGGAATGAGTTATATAAATATATACAATTACATGACGAAAATGTGACAAGTGTGTGTCATATACTTTCATAAACTGCACCCTAAAAAACCAAACATTTGGTGATTTAAACATTGAGATTCAACATTATTGGATCTTGTTGAATGGTGAAAAGTGGATCAGATTTCACTTCTCTCTTAATAGCATTTGTCTACACATTTGGTGCAACCATCTAGAACAATAACGGCTATGTCACAACAAATTATTTGATACAAGTATCACTGCAAATGAGGCAAACCCAGTTTACCCCAAATCATCTTTGCGTTTAAGCAATCTGACCATAAGCAGCATTATGTAGATTGATTCAGGTCCTCCTACATGTAAGCCCACTGAAGTATCAACCAATGGCCTCCCCCCATTCTGCAGAATGATTCCGAGAGGCACGTCGGATTCTCTAGTGATGTCGAAGACCAACCTGAACAAACGGATCTGAAATTGCATCGGCGAGACACTCCGCACTACTTGAAGAACAAACGGGTAAACTTGAATGAGGAACCAGATCAGATGACCACGCAACTATTGAATCAAGTCTTGGCTCGTACTGCAGCTGAACAGGCTAAGAGAGATGAACCTAATTATGAACGGGTGAGGGACTCGTACAAGTCTTGACTTTCTGGAGAAAGCAATCCATTTTGCTTAGCTTGGGCATTGCAACAAATTCATGTTGCCATCACAAATCAGCTTATTAGATTGAATTCAAACAGACAATAACATTAATAGACAGAAATATGGACTGAACCATCACAAGTTCCTATTGCTATTTATATGTTGGAGGTGCTCTATCCATATGATTTTTTTTGGTTTTTGTTTTGTTTTTGTTCTTGTTTCTGCTTTTGTTTTTGTATTTACAAGTTTTGTTTCATTTTCCATATCCTTGACTTGTGACTTCTGGATACATATTTGTTTCAAATTGACCATCAGGAGCACAGTTACATGTACAGTCCATAAGATTCCAGCCTGTATTAATCTAAGACACATACATATTTTGCTTTTGAAATGCAACTGACAGCGCTGTCCCACAAGTCCATCCCTTCGCAAATCCCACAGTCTGTTTGCAAGCCTAGGCAACTTACGCTCTCGGATTTGTAGTACTGAGTCAATACAGGAACAGGTACCATGCTGTCTGGTGTGTTGTAATGACTGATATACTGATCAAAGCTCCTTTGCACCCTTCAGCATATCTGTCTGAAAAACAAAGAATCAAAATTCCTTTTCCTTTTTTATTTATTTGTTTTTGCTGTGAATATCCTTGTTTGGTATTGATTTGGACTTGAATATTAAACTTTATAGCTGGAAATTATCACGTTTAAAATTTAATGGCTTATGTCTAAATACTGTATTTTTCTGTTGACCAGCTTATTCACCTGTACATCACTCTGATTCACAACTCTTTCTTTCTTGATCATTATTCACTTCTGCAGAAACATGGTTTGCCTGTTCCTTCATTATGCTAGTGCACTTAACACAAACAGTTTAGACAAAAAGTGATTGAATTCTAACTAAAACTTCTATCCTGTCTTAGCAACTTGTGGCTATCAAATTACTATTATAGGTTTTGTTTTTTCTATATCCTTTGCATGTGCTCTTGAATCCCAGACAGATAAGACCGTAGGAGCGTTACATACACTATTTTGAACATGCAAGACCATACATCCATACATATGTACATATGCAGAAAAATGACTACTATTTAAACCAAGTGTTTCCTCCAGTTTATTATGTGTCAGTCTTCGACAGAGATAAGGAATGCCATCTTGAATATAATTGTTAAACTAGAGTTAAACTTCAGTGAAGGTTTTAGGTGTTTGATTGTGAATGATTATACTCTTTTGATTTAGCTGGAGATATCCTTTTCAAGAGAAGGTGGTGGTCTTGGGATTAGCATAGCTGGAGGTCGGGGGTCAACTCCATATAAGGGCAATGACCAGGTGAGCTTAAAGTTACCATGTAGTGGTAGGAAGCAGCTTCATGGATGCGGTTATTGGCAAAGGAATATATATCATGAATGTATAGACTAATCCCATAAACATTATTCTTATAATGCATGCATTCCTAAAATTGGTGGGCACATGCAGTTTGGCAGTTTTAAACACCCTTTCAGTCTTGGAATTTAAAAACCTAAACAAACAAATGAACAAACAACAGTACTGGTAGTGGAGTATCTTGATTCCATGCCATTATCTGGACAAGATTTAAACCTTGGGTTCAATATCTCTCACCTGCAGCAAATGAACATTCTATCCAACTTCTGCCCTGCATACTTTTAAGCAATTCACTTTTTAATTAATCAACTGTTCATGATACATTACATATGAGTAGTCATCATTTTTTCTTTTGGAGAACCCCCCTCCACAAAAAGGTGCTTAGCATTCCCACAAAACCAGCCTCTTATGGAACCAATCATCCATTCTATCTTGCTATCATTCTTGTTGATAATTACATTTCATTGTGACATGCTAATTCCTGTTGTTTTCCTACAGGGTATCTTTATATCCAAAGTAGTGGAGGGAGCTGTGGCCCACACTCAGGGTCTACTGGTTGGAGACAAAGTTCTCTCGGTAAGAAGCAATTTCAGTTTACCATTCAACGTATTTCAGTTTTTGTGAATGCACCCTTTAAATCCTAAGTGTAGTAAAAAGGAAATTTGTTAATCATTGTGTGTTGTGCTCTATAGAAATGTCAGTTTTAAGATTGACTTCTGTATATGTACCCTAATCAACAATACATTTCTGGAGCGCTTGTGTGTATGGTGGCCCACGGTAGAATGATTATCACAAGGTTTTTTTTTTTTTTTTTTTTTAATTTTAACAGTTATCTACTTTTGTCATTTCATTAACCAACAATGCACTTGTCTCTTCGTTTGTTGAAAAAAAATAAACCTTTTTGTAAACATTTTAGGTCAATGGAGTGAATTTAGTAGATGCTGATCATCTTGAAGCTGTTGAAGCCTTGCGGAATAGCACCGACCACATTCATATTGTCATTCTGAGAGAGACCGACATCAATCCTGATACAACAACAGCAAATCAAGAGACTGAGGAATCCACAGCAGAGGTCAATCTACCGGTGAGTGTTAATATGAATGTGTCACACAGGCTGATGGTGACTAGGACGTGATGTTGTTGGGACTGCAATCAAGGGTGACTAGTTGGGGAAAGAGGCTAATTAATACTTTGGTGTGGGAAGACGTTTATTTGTTAAATTATTTTGTAACATTAATGCATTTACGTTGCATGTGTAGATATAGGCCATAATGTTACGTTGTTGTTTTATTGCATGTTTTAATGTGGAAGAAGCATTTTGAGTAACTAATACAAGGGTTATTTTAATAACAATTTTCAACTCAAGCATGTTATTTGTTGGTATCAGTATCTTGGTCTTGTTCCCAGAAGGCATGGTGTAGTAAATACTAAAGGCCCGTCATGCCCTGATTGACTGTCCATTTTAATCAAGGTGTTCATGTCTTGCCATTATTCACTTACACACATGTACCGGTACATGTATGTTGAGTTCCAACCAAAAATTGCACGGATTAAAAGCCAAACTTGAGTGTTAAATTTACTGACGGTGTAGCATTATTGATAAATATACATTTTACAGCATCGCATCACATTGCCTGCATGTACAATGGCTTTTTCAGATGTTAAACTCTGGGAAAACATGACCATGAAGAGATGGTAAAGTTTCTATATATTTTTGACATAAAGTGTTGTTGAGTCAAAGTAGTCCATACACTTTGCCCGTTGACTTTGGCAGAAATGAACATCAACATATATTTACCAAACAATCTTTCCTGAACCTATTTTTGTGGAATACTATAAGAAATGTGTAACTGTTTTTATGGCTTATGGTTGAGCATATGTTCACTCACTCATTTCTACACTCACTGCATAATCACAAAGCACAGTCACAGTGACTCGTAATGCACCAGACTCCCCACACATAGACTCTTGATATGCACTGGCTAGCACCTGCACATACACTCATTTAGGTACATGTACTGCATCTCACTTAACTTCAAAGTTAATGGTTTCTTTATTCCTGTCATAGAGTGAATGTATATCAAATCATTAGGTTATAGGGCCTACTGATTGTGTTGCTACATTCCACTATATTAAATACAGCATACTTCATACTTGAATTAGTAAACAAAGGTTATGATCTATTTGCGGTCGTGCCTGTGTACTGTGACAGGAATTGATAGTAACATGGAGTGGAAGCTTAGAAGAAAACAAACGTGCAAATCTCTTTCATCACTTAAATAATTATTGTCGGTATACCAAAAATAACACAGTAGACATACTACGTTGACTTGGTCATGCATACATTTTGAAGTATCAATAGTCTAGATGACTTTGTTGATGTTTACAATGTACGTCATGAATCCAACAATGTAGGTACTGTGATATGTGGATGTGGTGTTGAATGGTTCCATCCTTATCTAATGTGACCATGGCATATTCAGTGGTGGTTGGCTGGTTGGATGTGGGGCGTCACATTTTTGGACATGATAAGGAAGCATTACATAATGAATGCGCCATTGAGGGAAAAACCACATGTGTTTCAAACCATAGAAATCGAACATAGTTTTCTATATTGTGCCAATAAGTCAAAAGATTAACATTCATATTTTGAGGGGCATGTACAAGGCATGTCATGTAAAGTACATGTTCAGGCATTTATAGTGCTTTACTGGTGACTGTTGTGGTGTTTCTTCCTCTGCAATCACCCGGCATGTATGTAGTAGTAAACAGTAATCACATTTACAGTGCACAATGTTATTTCATGACATTTCATTGTGTCGTGTTTGTGTTGAAGAAATTACTCATCTTTAATAGGAAGAACTTGCACAAAATATTAGAAATAAGTAAATAAGCAATTTCAGTGATTGATTTGTAAACATGTATATCTCCCCCATACCTGCTTATGACTAACTGTTGACTTTGTGTTGATTGGCTGTTCAGCATATTTTGTTTATTATTTTGTTCTTAAGTTGTTCAAACAGTATGAAATTAATTTGAATTTTTGTTTACATGTCGCTATACTGTCTAAGTCAGTATCTTTCAAGGTGCTTAAAAATCCCCAATCCTGCTATTTTTTTGTTGAAATGATTTCTGTTAGAAGGTTTACTAAAAAAAAAGCTATAATTTCATGACTAACATTCATTCCGCCATGGCTTCCCTCCCCCGTTCCCCTTTGCCCCTTTCCAACTTTGATGACATACAGCCGGCTGCAATCCCTGATGATAGTGAACAGAACAAGGTGCAAGACAGGCCGGGTGTCAAGTTTGCACCTGAGCCTAAAGTCCGACTGGTGCAAGAGGTTAGTCTGGTGCCCAGCTTTCTGTTCTTCTCTGGCCATAGCTGTAGTGTATGTTGTGACAAAACATTCAGAGGTAGATGGCTTCTATGGCGTAGTTTTCATGTTTGTAAAAGTGAACCTCATGTAATCATCAGACGCAATGGATAATGGGAGCAAGCTTGTCATATCTGTGTCAGCTTATAGAATATGACTCTTGGGTATTCAGATTACAAGATTAGGTTGATTAGTCACCAAGTAGAAGACAAGAATAATGACCAGATGAAAATAATCCACGCTGGTTTCAAACCAGAATGTACCTTATTTACATTCATTCAGCTTTGCAGTGGAAGTTTTATGACATATTTATTAAAGTATAAAAGAATTTGGTGTGAAAAAAGTAAAAGTGGCACATAACAAAGCCACTTGAATCATGTCAATTTATTGAATAAAAGGTAGTTAGTATCAAAGCGTATAGTGACCCAAATGAAATCATCTGACATTTATGCATCAGGTCATCTTAAAATATACCCATTAAAACCATGAGTACAATGCTGCTGCTATTCTCTACCAAGCATCCTGATTCCTGTAATGTTATCACTTCTTAGATCCATAGGTTCTTTAAGCCAGCCATGATTCCAAACTGTGCATTTTGCTTTCTTTTGGTGTGTTGCTTCTTTATTTTTAGCTTGTGTTGTTCCATATTTGAGTTCAGACTTAGAGAAATGCTACGTTTCATGCAATGTATTATTCACTAACTGCATACTTGTTAATGCTTCATTTGTAACCTGGATCCAATTTTCGGTTTCAAATTTATGAAATTTTGCAGAGTAATCTTCAGAAGCAGTTGTATTATTCTTGATGATTCAGAAATTTTGCTGGACGATTTTAATATTTTAAAAATGCTCATGAAAAATAGAATGAAGGCAAATCAATCTGTTGAAAATTTAAAGAAAAAAAATTTGTCTTTAGATTGAATCTGGACTGCTTTTTAGCTTTGGAAACATTGGGAAGGTAATATTGCAAATGCCAAGGTGAAATACATGAGGATTTCAGAGAAGCATTTGGCGGTTTCTGTGTGATAGTGATTGATTGGATCCAATATCTGCTGTATTAATATTCATCTGTCATTTAGTTCAGAGAATTCTTAGTGGAGACATTCATTTCAATATTAACCCCTATGCCATTCATGAATTCTCATCCTCCATTCTTGTAATTCAAGTTTATTCCATTCTTGTAACTACAATTATGAAGTCTAAATTTTCAGAATTTGCATGCAAAAAAAATACAGCAGCAAGTTACACAGGTGACTGAAACCAAGTCCACTTTCATTGGTTGGAATATTTGGCACTCTGTGAATGTTCCAATGGAGAACACACACATGATCAAAGGAGACAAATGTTGGGAGTTGGAGGCTGTTTCTTGCTGTGGAAGCACTCGTTACATGTGAGAGTGGCTTGTCCTATTTGGAACATGATGCCAAGGCTCCTGGGGAGTGTTCCCAATGTTCCTTTAAGTTGTCTGGCTTGCTTCCAAGCCAGCAGACCCAGGTTGAAGTGATATGTTAAACAGTGTCAGTCAACACATCATGTGTCTATCTCTGCAGAAAATCTCTGTCAAGTTGTGTAAGGATTCCAATGGTCTAGGGTTCAGCATCGCTGGAGGCAAAGGCTCTACTCCCTTCAAGGGCTCAGATAATGTAAGTTGCAATTTATCATTGATAACAAATACATTTACAATGTATAACTAACAACAAATGGCTTCATTTGCCTCCGCACAATGTGTCACATACTATTAATACCGTTAAGTCATGCCAGGATCCTTTTTAACAACATGTGGGTATAAATACATGTAAGGCAACTTAATCTAGTGGCATTCAAAAACCAATGTTAAATGCTTTTCTCATAAGTGGGGACAATCAATTCTGATAAGGTTTCTTACTATAAGGCAGGTGCACCACAGCTGTGTGTTGACGTTTGAATCTACATTCTGAAAAACAAAATTGAGAAAACCCACTGGACTGCAACATACGTGTACCAAGCTTGCTTGACTTCCATTACATTGGTTCTCATTTGAAATCTCTTCAGATATGACATCTATCTAGGTTAAGTTAGTTTCCCATTCATTATTAGACATAGGCATTTGCCTGTGGTCTCCTCAAATTATACACAGTTGGGATCACTGGCTCCGCTCCCACCACAGCCCGTCTTTCCAGTGCTGCTGCTGTCGGTTCGGTGGTGTCACACCCTGACCATTCTCGGATGTTGTCCACCCAGCACATCTTTGGCCGGCCCACCCTTTTTCTTTTTTTTTAAGAATTCCATCTCCCCAAAATTCTTACAATTTTGACTGCATGTTGTCTTTAGATAGAAAAGAAAAGGTCATACATGTATAACAGTTGATTAGACTCACACTCATGTTGTTGTGTTTGCCAGGCCATCTTCATCTCCAGGATAACAGAAGGAGGTGCTGCAGACCGCATCGGTGTACTGCAAGTAGGAGATAAGGTCCTGGAGGTAAGACAATGGCACCATCATCCAATAATATCACTCCTTTAAGTCATGTGATCTGCATGAGAACTGTTTACTCCATGATGGTAGGACTATTAAAATAGAAAACACTCAGAACCCATCTAGTGGGCATGGTAATTCTTGTGATTATCATCAGCCTGCCATATCTCAACATTCAACAGCAAAACTTGAAAAAGAAATGTCATTGTTATTTAGCACTTTGTCTAAATTTTCTTGAAGCTTAAAGCATAACTTGAGGAATAACTTCAGTGGGTGTTGAGTGATATTTCTTCTACAGAGTGCAACATAAAACAATGGCTTCAGTCTTAATACCTCGTTCTTATATGAAAACTTTTGTCGTAGGCCAAAAAAAATAGTCTCCGGTTTCTGGTATGGAGCTTGCCCCAAAAGTGGTGCGGTGACGCAGGTTTTTTCCCCCTACTTTTTTTTCCTTCAAATGTTGGCTGATGTTGCAGATGATGTTGCAGATGATGCTTCGATCCCCTTATATGCTGTGATACATAATTTTCCTATACAGCATTTGAATGTTTGTTTTTTTAAAGAAGACTTTGATGTTTTTATTTCTGTCTAGATTAATGGTTTAGATATGGAGCATGCCAGACATGACCAAGCAGTGGCGCTACTCACAAGCACCAAAGTCATCTCAATGATTGTATTCCGAGAGTCTATGGAGGTTGAGCATCATGAGCCTATAGTCAGTAAGTCAATGCAGTCATCATATCACCATAGCTAGTGTCTCTATGTCTCTAATGATTGTATTCCGAGAGTCTATGGAGGTTGAGCATCATGAGCCTATAGTCAGTAAGTCAATGCAGTCATGTCACCATAGCTAGTGTCTCTATGTCTCTAATGATTGTATTCCGAGAGTCTATGGAGGTTGAGCATCATGAGCCTATAGTCAGTAAGTCAATGCAGTCATCATATCACCATAGCTAGTGTCTCTATGTCTCTAATGATTGTATTCTGAGAGTGTATGGAGGTTGAGCATCATGAGCCTATAGTCAGTAAGTCAATGCAGTCATCATATCACCATAGCTAGTGTCTCTATGTCTCTAATGATTGTATTCCGAGAGTCTATGGAGGTTGAGCATCATGAGCCTATAGTCAGTAAGTCAATGCAGTCATCATATCACCATAGCTAGTGTCTCTATGTCTCTAATGATTGTATTCCGAGAGTCTATGGAGGTTGAGCATCATGAGCCTATAGTCAGTAAGTTAATGCAGTCATCATATCACCATAGCTAGTGTCTCTATGTCTCTAATGATTGTATTCCGAGAGTCTATGGAGGTTGAGCATCATGAGCCTATAGTCAGTAAGTTAATGCAGTCATCATATCACCATAGCTAGTGTCTCTATGTCTCTAATGATTGTATTCCGAGAGTCTACGGAGGTTGAGCATCATGAGCCTATAGTCAGTAAGTTAATGCAGTCATCATATCACCATAGCTAGTGTCTCTATGTCTCTAATGATTGTATTCCGAGAGTCTATGGAGGTTGAGCATCATGAGCCTATAGTCAGTAAGTCAATGCAGTCATCATATCACCATAGCTAGTGTCTCTATGTCTCTAATGATTGTATTCCGAGAGTCTATGGAGGTTGAGCATCATGAGTCTATAGTCAGTAAGTCAATGCAGTCATCATATCACCATAGCTAGTGTCTCTATGTCTCTAATGATTGTATTCCGAGAGTCTATGGAGGTTGAGCATCATGAGTCTATAGTCAGTAAGTCAATGCAGTCATCATATCACCATAGCTAGTGTCTCTATGTCTCTAATGATTGTATTCTAAAAGTGTATGGAGGTTGAGCATCATGAGCCTATAGTCAGTAAGTCAATGCAGTCATCATATCACCATAGCTAGTGTCTCTATGTCTCTAATGATTGTATTCTGAGAGTGTATGGAGGTTGAGCATCATGAGCCTATAGTCAGTAAGTTAATGCAGTCATCATATCACCATAGCTAGTGTCTCTATGTCTCTAATGATTGTATTCTGAGAGTGTATGGAGGTTGAGCATCATGAGCCTATAGTCAGTAAGTCAATGCAGTCATCATATCACCATAGCTAGTGTCTCTATGTCTCTAATGATTGTATTCTGAGAGTGTATGGAGGTTGAGCATCATGAGCCTATAGTCAGTAAGTTAATGCAGTCATCATATCACCATAGCTAGTGTCTCTATGTCTCTAATGATTGTATTCTGAGAGTGTATGGAGGTTGAGCATCATGAGCCTATAGTCAGTAAGTTAATGCAGTCATCATATCACCATAGCTAGTGTCTCTATGTCTCTAATGATTGTATTCTGAGAGTGTATGGAGGTTGAGCATCATGAGCCGAATGTCGGACACTTCGCCCCATTTCCACGTCGCCCCATGTCACTTCGCCCCTAACCACTTCGCCCCAACCCCACTTCGCCCCATTCCTACATCGCCCCATCTCCGCTTCGCCCCATTCCCACTTCGCCCCATTCCCACTTCGCCCCATCCCCACTTCGCCCCATCCCCACTTCGCCCCAGCCGTTACATGTAAAAAAAAAATCTCATCTATTTTTTTGGCTTAAAAAAACAATTTCAACAGATTCACTAATTGCTAACCAACGGAAAGAATTAGCCCATCACTAAAATGAACAAATCATAACCAACCTCTCAAGCTAGGCTCTGCACTACCGAGAAAAAAGCTTGAAGTAAAAGATCCAACTTTGTTCCCAACCCGGCTATATACCAACCCGTCTCCCACTTATCTGAGAACGACAATACCTTTGACATCCTAATTTCACTCTTGGAGGAACCAATCTCATCTAAATGAAGTTGTAAGCCACGTCACATATCAGACAAATTTTGACGGAACATTTTCCTCAAGGCAGTGAGTTCCTTTTAACTCACTGACCCATCTACGGATTCTTTTGAATCCAGCGGCTATGATGATTTTATTCACAAGCCAATAGGAGAGGCGTCTCTGAATGGGATAGAGCCATCATTTCTCTCATCTGTGTCTCGAGCACCTCATCAGAGAGTTTGTATTTTTCCTAAGTTTCTAGAATTGGGAGCATTTATTATCTGGGGTCTTTGGCAGTTTATTTGGTCTGCACCCCTAGCCTTCACCTTTTTCATACTACATGGGGCGAAGTGGGGATGGGGCGAAGTGGGGATGGGGCGAAGCGGGGATGGGGCGAAGCGGGGATGGGGCGAAGTGGGGATGGGGCGAAGCGGAGATGGGGCGATGTGGGGATGGGGCGAAGTGTAGATGGGGCGAAGTGGTTAGGGGCGAAGTGACATGGGGCGACGTGGAAATGGGGCGAAGCGTCCGACACCCCATGAGCCTATAGTCAGTAAGTCAATGCAGTCATCATATGACCATAGCTAGTGTCTCTATGTCTCTAATGATTGTATTCCGAGAGTCTATGGAGGTTGAGCATCATGAGCCTATAGTCAGTAAGTCAATGCAGTCATCATATCACCATAGCTAGTGTCTCTATGTCTCTAATGATTGTATTCTGAGAGTCTATGGAGGTTGAGCATCATGAGCCTATAGTCAGTAAGTCAATGCAGTCATCATATCACCATAGCTAGTGTCTCTATGTCTCTAAAGATTGTATTCTGAGAGTGTATGGAGGTTGAGCATCATGAGTCTATAGTCAGTAAGTCAATGCAGTCATCATATCACCATAGCTAGTGTCTCTATGTCTCTAATGATTGTATTCTGAGAGTCTATGGAGGTTGAGCATCATGAGCCTATAGTCAGTAAGTCAATGCAGTCATCATATCAGCATAGCTAGTGTCTCTATGTCTCTAATGATTGTATTCTGAGAGTGTATGGAGGTTGAGCATCATGAGCCTATAGTCAGTAAGTCAATGCAGTCATCATGTCACCATAGCTAGTGCCTCTATTCGTCTAGGACTTTACTGTAGTCTTGAAGAGATTTTAATGCATCATATTTGGTTCTGAACAGTTTGTTTCATTTTACCAAAAAATCCCTTCCATTTGAATTTTCTTTCATACTGTGAAAAACCCTGTATACATTTTTAAAATTTTATGTAATATGTTAAAAACACTTGAAACTTAAATTTCTTGCAGTAACAGCATCAGTTTTGGTCACAATTTCTTTCTTTTCAGACAAAGGATACTGCCCAAAAGTTTTCACATTTTTATATTTTTACTGCCAAAATTTTTCACATTTTTTACATTTCCTTCTATTTTTAGTAATCATTTATGTATGATAGAGTAACACATCAACCATCATGCATGTAAAACACAAGCCATATTTGGGTTCTTATATTTTATCCTATATATCTATATATATAAGAGAGAGTTTAACTCGGCCTCCGAGACGATGTTTGCTCATGAAAGGATCCGAGAACGCGAGCTCCCGCGGCGCCAAAATCGCTCCACGTCCGTGGAAAAATGCGGAGGGTGTCTTCCGCCGGGTCGGACACTTCGGGTCGTCCTGATTTTCCCGTACGGACCGGCGATCCGTTTCGTCGATTTTTCGTGACTGCTTTTTGCGCAGGAATTTGCCGTCATGTGCGCTTTCACGTTGACTGCCTGTCCGCCCCCTGTGCTGGCTTTTTCTGCGTGTCTAGACTGTGCGAGGTCAGCGGCTTTGACGTAGGGGTTGCGTTTACGTGTTCTACTTGGCTGTTTAGCAAAAGTGTTCACCAAACGTTAGTATGGGGTGACCTTGGTAAAATATTTTTTGTCCATGGTGCGTGGCCACCAAGTGTCCCTATTCTTTCATATGCTTCGCTTGCCGCCCCTGTGCCGAGTGCAACGAATACTCAGAAGGACTACACATTAGTATGCCTAGCGCGGTCTGACCCAATCGAAAGTCTACACTGCGTGGTACTTCCCGGCTATGCGTAAAACCGTCACTGGCAACGCGTACTGCAGCCTGCTCCACACCCTGGAAACGAGGTTGAGTCTACGGTGCTCGCTATTTGAAGCACAAGCATGTGACGTCGCGTGATAGAGTGCTGTTGCTTCCATAATGTGTTTACAGCTCCATGCTTCCACTAGCTCTATGCTTCCACCAAGGCTGAGCGTTGTGAGTTCGCTGCACGTCACAGTCAGTGTCGCGTTATAATTTCGGGGGCCTGTTTGGGATCAACGAAGGGTCGATGCATTGCTTCAAATATTGCGATCTTGAACGCAGTCACAAAAAAATCGACAAAACGGATCGCCGGTCCGTACGGAAAAATTAGGACGACCTGAAGTGCTTGATTTGGCGGAAGAAATTCTCCGTATTTTTCTATGGACGTGGAGCCATTTTGGCGTCGCGGGAGACCGCGGTCTCGGAACCTTTCAGGAGCGAACATTTCTCGGAGGCCGAATAAAACTTGCTCTTATAAAGATGGTTGACCAACTTGAATAAAAGTTGAATCGACTTTTTCCTCGCAGCAGTCTCGCAAATTGTAAGAAGTTCAAGTTTACGTTTGTTGAAGAGTCCAATACTGAAACTTAATTATGACCTTCCTCCATCATTCACACCGTTTGTAATTTTATGGTAACTAACACTCAACATTTCCATTGCAAATGACAACTTCACGTTTGATTACATTACGATATATTGTCAAAACTGTACACTCAGCCTTCGCCTGTGTACTACGGTAACCTTTTCACTACGTTCTCCCGGCAATGCTACTGCCTCACAAAATGCCAATTCAACAGACCAACGGGAACATTTACAGACAGTTATCAGGGTACATAATTATCATGTGCGTAAATCGGTGGGGAAGACAAGAGGGGGACCCCCCCCCCCCCACATTTTAAAGCGGGGACATTGTTTGGTCCCCCCCCCCCACACTTTTTCTTCCCCGAATAAAAATTGTAGCCTACTATAATGATTCCATTGCTCAGAATACCGTGTAGCTGATTCAATTACCCCAAGCTCGAAAATGATGTTTAAAAGATGATCTTTTGCTGCCTCAGATCACACCACAAAAATTGTTTTTCTATAACTGCATGTCTCCTCAATGATCCCCCATTTACATTCATGACATTTAACTGCCCACATTTTCATCCCCAACACTACGCCCTACCCGATCTATGATCGGGTAAATCAGCTTGTTTATCATAATACACCCAAATAATACTGCTAAGTGTAGTCACTAAACAATCCTGAAAGCTTTAATTTCAACATTCCTCAAACTGTATGCTATTCAAATGCAAGTAACCCTTACTGTTTGGTATCCTATAGAACATGAGCCTCCTGAGTACTACGATCAGCATGCTGATGGCTACACCAATCATGTAGAACCAGTAGTAGAGGATATCCGATTGGTGCGGACAGGTGGCCCACTGGGGCTTAGTATCGTCGGTGGTATCGATCACTCCAGTCATCCATTCGGTGGTAGTCAACCTGGTGTTTATATCTCTAAGGTAATTAATTGGAGGATTGCTACTGCGGTGATATATGGGGTTAGTGTAGAGGGGGAGATATCACTCTGTCGTAACATATATATTTGCTGTACTCTGGATATTACTGTACCACAAAGTGACGTATTGTGTGCACAAAGTCTATGGGCTCCTTGCGCGAACATGCAAAATAAAAAGTAAAGTAAAGTCTGTCACGAGCCGATGTGGTCCATCGCGCCAACGTTTATCTCCAGTTTCAGGAGCATGAAACGACTGAGAATATTTCTATTCCACCTGGATGGGATGCCGGTCCATCACAGGTTACTATCCAGCTAATGCTGGTACCCATTTATACTCCTGGGTGGAGAGAGGCAAGTGGGGTGAAGTGGCTTGCCCAAGGACACAACATATGGCCAGCAGCTGGATTTGAACCCCTGACCCTCTGATCATGAGTCACAAACCCTAACCACTAGGCCACACTACCCCACATGTGTGAACATGAGAAGTTTTTTTTTTACCACGTTCGAGCGTCGAGAGCCCTGTGGACAGGACACTCCTTGTGCGCGTACTGTCTAGTATGCATGACTCATTTTATTCTGAATGTACACAAAGCCATAGCATCTTGGCATGAGTGTCGGGCATCGTCGGTGCTGCCTTCAAATGTCACTCTAAGCGGTCTCCTCCCTAACTGTCCCTTTCTTACCATTGAGGGGGTACTTGTGCACGGAGCAGATAGATGATACCTCGCTTCGTTTGTAAAACTATTGTATTGATCACTTCATGCTGCAACTTAGGATATGATGTGCAGCAAGCTATGCTGGAGTATCATTGGTGGGATCAACCTCTTTAGTCATTTGTTGAGTAGTAGCCACCCAATAGGTAAATTACAAAGATAATTGGATTTAGGATTACTGTTGAAATAGTTGATGATATTTCTACTGATAATAGACAGGGGTAATTCCAACGTTATGAAAGGAAATGTAATGTCCCTGATAGAGCCAATTTAAGCATGATATTTAATTGACGATTCAGAGTAATGATCCACAACGCCTAGTCTGTAATCTCCTTGACCATTACAAGATGATGGCTGTATTAGTTTCAAAAAGACATTTTAGGTTGATTCAAAAGCTCTTAAACAGCCTGTCTCTGATATTACATAATGCTGGAATTGTCAAAGGAAAGACTGTGACAATCTAGGGGTCAGCATGGATCATTCTTGTCATCTGACTGGCAGTGGGCCTCCACCATTGATAGGAACTCTGTGTACAAACAGTACATGGTGCTTTGTGATCACTATGGAGAGCTCTAGTGGGAGTAATTCATTGCGTATGCGTTCTAGTGCGTGCATGTAAAATACGCACAACAAATTTGATTCTCAGCATGTACAAACCCCAAATGTCTTCACATGAGCATCAGGCGCTGTCGGCATGTCACTCCCAGTGGTCTGTCCTATCTCTCCCTTGATAACGATTGATGGGGTGCTTGCCCATGCAGTCAATCCTGGATCGGAGACTTATAACTGGTAAAGGTTACACAATTCAAGTCTTGTACAAAGGATGCCATTTACGCTAGATGTACCCATCTCTATATGGGTACAGCATGCCGCACTACTCATTGACCATTATATACACTAAGCCCTCATAGTTATCTGGAAAAACCGAAAAATGATTTCTTCTGCACTCACTATTTTATTTTAGATCGTTCCGAATGGATCAGCAGCTAGGACGAATCTGTGTGTTGGAGATCGCATTATTAGAGTGAATGGTATTGAGATGAAGCATGCTACACATCAAGAGGCTGTGACTGCGTTATTGTCTAATGCTCATGAGATCCTACTCAGGGTTAGTCATGATCCACCACCAAAGGGACTACAGGTAAGAACTGTCTACATATTGCTTGTTGGGTGGGAATCTGCATTTAAGAGGTAAACGTTTAGCACGTTAAGTTTAGATAATTAAACATTGAGCAAACATCAAAGGTTGTGGCCTGGCCCAGTACTGCAGTCTTTCTTCACATAACACGACTCTCCAATTACCTAGGAAATAACTGACCTACATATTGACTTGATTGTTTAAGAATGGTTCTTATCTCCCGTTGTTGATAGGAAATCATGATCATCAAGGCCCCAGGAGAGAAATTAGGCATCAGCATCCGAGGGGGTAACAAGGGTCACCCAGGGAACCCACTGGACAAGAATGATGAGGGTATATTCATATCAAAGGTGGGTAGCAATGGGTTACTGGGTATCAACATTGGAGGGAGTAACAAGGGTCACCCAGGGAACCCACTGGACAAGAATGATGAGGGTATATTCATATCAAAGGTGGGTAGCAATGGGTTACTGGGTATCAACATTGGAGGGGGGAACAAGGGTCACCCAGGGAACCCACTGGACAAGAATGATGAGGGTATATTCATATCAAAGGTGGGTTGCAATGGGTTACTGGGTATCAACATTGGAGGGGGGAACAAGGGTCACCCAGGGAACCCACCGGACAAGAGTGATGAGGGTATATTCATATCAAAGGTGGGTTGCAATGGGTTACTGGGTATCAGTGTTGGATGGGGTAACAAGGGTCACCCAGGGAACCCACTGGACAAGAATGATGAGGGTATATTCATATCAAAGGTGGGTAGCAATGGGTTACTGGGTATCAACATTGGAGGGGGTAACAAGGGTCACCCAGGGAACCCACCGGACAAGAGTGATGAGGGTATATTCATATCAAAAGTGGGTTGCAATGGGTCACTGGGTATCAGTGTTGGATGGGGTAACAAGGGTCACCCAGGGAACCCACTGGACAAGAATGATGAAGGTATATTCATATGAAAGGTGTGTAGCAATGGGTTACTGGGTATCAGTGTTGGATGGGGTAACAAGGGTCACCCAGGGAACCCACCGGACAAGAGTGATGAGAGTATATTCATATCAAAGGTGGGTTGCAATGGGTCACTGGGTATCAGTGTTGGATGGGGTAACAAGGGTCACCCAGGGAACCCACTGGACAAGAATGATGAAGGTATATTCATATCAAAGGTGGGTAGCAATGGGTTACTGGGTATCAACATTGGAGGGGGTAACAAGGGTCACCCAGGGAACCCACTGGACAAGAATGATGAGGGTATATTCATATCAAAGGTGGGTAGCAATGGGTTACTGGGTATCAACATTGGAGGGGGTAACAAGGGTCACCCAGGGAACCCACTGGACAAGAATGATGAGAGTATATTCATATCAAAGGTGGGTAGCAATGGGTTACTGGGTATCAACATTGGAGGGGGTAACAAGGGTCACCCAGGGAACCCACCGGACAAGAATGATGAGGGTATATTCATATCAAAGGTGGGTAGCAATGGGTTACTGGGTATCACTGTTGGATGGGGTAACAAGGGTCACCCAGGGAACCCACTGGACAAGAATGATGAGGGTATATTCATATCAAAGGTGGGTTGCAATGGGTTACTGGGTATCAACATTGGAGGGGGTAACAAGGGTCACCCAGGGAACCAAATGGACAAGAATGATGAGGGTATATTCATATCAAAAGTGGGTAGCAATGGGTTACTGGGTATTGACATTGGAGGGGGTAACAAGGGTCACCCAGGGAACCCACTGGACAAAACTGATGAGGGTATATTCATATCAAAGGTGGGTTGCAATGGGTTACTGGGTATCAGTGTTGAATTGGGTAACAAGGGTCACCCAGGGAACCCACTGGACAAGAATGATGAGGGTATATTCATATCAAAGGTGGGTAGCAATGGGTTACTGGGTATCGACGTTGGAGGGGGTAACAAGGGTCACCCAGGGAACCCACTGGACAAGAATGATGAGGGTATATTCATATCAAAGGTGGGTAGCAATGGGTTACTGGGTATCGACATTGGAGGGGGTAACAAGGGTCACCCAGGGAACCCACTGGACAAGAATGATGAGGGTATATTCATATCAAAGGTGGGTAGCAATGGGTTACTGGGTATCGACATTGGAGGGGGTAACAAGGGTCACCCAGGGAACCCACTGGATGATAAGGTTTATTTATAGCAATGGTTAGAAACATCTGATGATTGATCTGATTGCCTTTTTGTTCTGAAGGTTAATGAAATTGGAGCAGCTTCTCGTGATGGAAGGTTACACATTGGGATGAGAATATTGGAGGTAAGATTGGGTTGAAAACAGTCAAAACAATCAAGATTTTGTAAGTTTCCAGACGTTGAGTTCAGTTAGTGTTTTTTGCAATCTGAATATGAGAGACGAGACAGTATGTGGCTTTGGTCACACGCATTGCAGTATTGACGTGCCTCTTACATCTGCAATGTATCCATGTATAAAGTTATCAATGGTTGTTAGATCTTGTTGAATACGGTAGGCTTCACCCATAAAAGTGTGAGGTAGATACGAGTCTGGCAGGATATGGGTAATGGAAGCAGGAATGAGATCTTCAAGATTTTTCAGGATTTTAGTATTTTAAAAAAATCCCTACCGAAGTTTGGAATTCCTGAAATGTTACCATAAAAGTGTCATTAAATATAAAGGTTTATGGAGAACAAAATAAATGGATACTTTATGGGGAACCTTTAGGTAAATACAAACATACATGTATATATCATAGACCCTGTTTTGCGGTGGTCCCCAAACTCTGCCAATTATTTTGTGGAAGGAAATACAATGTCAGGATTTATTGGATCTACTCAATCTTGTGCATACTTTGTATAGGTGAATGGTCAAAGCATGCTAGGTGCCAGACATGGGGATGCAGTGCGTGCATTGAGGAGTGCTGGTGATCGTATTCAGTTGTTTGTATGTGATGGCTATGACCACAGTGAAGTCGCATTCTGGCAAGCACGGCCTGGTGTGGTTGGTAACCCACTACAAAACTATGACAGTAACAAGAGAACCAGCCAAGAGAGTATATCCTCCATTGACAGGGAAATGACAACTGAGGAACTCAATAGGCTGAATGAGGTAGGTTCAAACTTTGAACTTTGACCTTGGTGTTGCATACAGACTCATGTCATTCATGAGGAGTGGTTTGACTGTGATGCACCATTAATGTTAGCTAATGTTTTAGATCAAGGTGATGGATTACCCTCAATATAATTCTTGAAGATAAATGTGAGGCATTCTGGTAAAATGAGACAGCACTGGGCGAAGGGTGAAATCAGGGTTTGAGGATATTAGAAAGAGACTCAAATTCCCCTTGCAATAGTGTTTGTTGCCCTTCAATCAGACGTTCCGTTGACAAGTTATTGCTGTCTAGAGTTCAAAGTTATCAACATGTCAACAAATTGAATACTGAGAAAAAGGCCTTTAAAGTTTTGAAGTTTGTAGAATGTTGGGAGTTGTGAGCTGCAGTCTAATTCCATGACAAGTTGCACAAATTTCAGTTTGCAGTGCATGAATATTACTTTATTACAACATTTAACAGCTGTAAAGAAGAAGTGATTTTGATATTAAAGTATGAGGTTGTGTTACCATGCTGAAGGTCATTCATTATTAATCAGCACATAATTACATGTACCGGTACGTTCTAATTGATAATCTAACAATGCATCTTGGCATTTCACTAATGGCATGGATTTTGGACCACACCCTTCTTGCCAACCACATCTACATCTCTCCATCTTGTATAATCTTTTCCTATATTCTGTTGCTAAACCTGTCTTTTCTGTCTTCAACTTAACTGCATTTATTCTGAATTTCTCTTATTTCCTTTATTTGTTCCCTTGTCTTGTCTTCAATTTGGCACACATTTCCTTGTGAACATCTTTGTCCACAAATTGTGACTTTCAATTGTTTCTCTGTTTCTGTGTGTTATCTACCTCATTCCTGTTCTCACCTTGTCTCTTGCTTACATCTTTGCTGTCTTGTATTTGTTTCCTTCTCATCATGTCTTGTTTTGTCATTGTTTTCCGTCTACCTCTTGTTCTGTCCTTGACAATCATTGATTCGTCTGTCACTGTGTTTGTCACCCTGTTTGTCACCATCCAACTGCATGCTGTCCATCTTGATCACAGGAGAGTCAATACCAACAAGAATCGGAGCAATGGGAGAAGGAAGAACTTGTCAAACTGGTAAGATCTCTCTCTTACAATCACCGTTTCATTTCTGCAAATCCTTATTTTGTTGTTCAGTGTTGAAATTGGGGTGTATTTATAAAGAAATTTAGTGGGTTTTTTAACTTTATTTTTTTTGGTTTAATATACCTGATGTGTGGTGCTAATTCTTAGGTTGATGAAATGTTCTGGCATGATTTTTTACTGAAATAATGTATTAAGATATGTTAATGTATGTTTTAGTTTAGTATTTTCCCCCATTTTTACTGATATTTTATTAGCTTTTATTTATCCTTTGGTGGTGGTTCCTAGTCACTGCAAAGACATTTTTTGACAAACTATCATAACTTTTGGAAAATGGGTGCTTTCTACAACATTCTTTGCATTTGTTTTCCTAAACTTCTTGAGCCTCCCTTTTTTAATCAAACAGAACTGTAGAACTGTTTTTCTTTGATCCTCACAACCTTCCTTGCCTACCACGTGAAGCACTTATCCAAACCAGCCTGAAATCAGGGACGCTGGAGGGAAGATACCCACACAGTCTCATTTTGTTCAGATTGTAGCAGCTCCTTTTTGCTGTGAATTGACTCCTTTGTGCAACAAATTGTGTAGTTAACAATGTGTATAGCATCATTTCTTTCTGGTAGTGGCTTTTTGAGTTGTACTTATTTTCCTTTTATTCCTAAACTATTATTTCTGTTGTTACTTTCATTTCATTTCACTCATCCATGAAGGATTTGGCAATGAAGGTAACCTACTTTTCATTCAGCAAACTGTCATTTCCCCTCACTAATCTCTAGCTGCTGTGCTAGTAATATACACACACATTAACACTAACATTCTTTAACACTTATGCTTAGGCCTTTGGTCAGTCTTATTCATTTTTATCAGATTGAGTCCTGACTCCCAACTTCGCATAAATGTTTAGAGTGAAGCAATTTCATTAGGGTTACAGTGAATGTCAGTATACAAATAACGAATGTTTGTGAGTGCGATGGTAAGAATAATTTCATGAGGTGACAGATTGAATGTTCTATTCCACGAGGCGAAGCCGAGTGGAATAGAACATTCAATCTGTCACCGAATGAAATTATTCTTTCCATCGCACGAACGTAAAACATTCGTTATTTGTTTTATACAACACCTGAATAAATTCTCGTCATTTGATTGGTAAATTATAAACTACAATTTATTTTTGATTTTAAAGATGTTGAACTACCCCTACACGAAAATGTTTGAACCCAACGATGTAGCCCTGGCTCTTTGGAACAATGCGCGCTGCGCTGAACGCGCACACCAGCATGCATTTTGCACGCAAATACCGCGTCATGGAACAAGCGCAAAGTGAAACGGTATAACGCATGGGTATAACGCATGGTCGCACCGTGCATTATACCGAATAATAATATGTCACGTGATCCACAATTCACCAATCAGATGACGGGGATTTATTCAGGTGTTGTATAAAATGGAATAACAATTGACCATTCTTGATGTTGACTTGGCTTTTATTTTGTGTTTAGTATGAACCAACTCGGAAGGTTAACGTGAGATATAAACGAAACAAGCTGGTTCCCAGTAGCTCCATACATGTACATGTATATTCTAGCCTTTGAAGGGGACCGGTCATTTAGGTTGAGAAGTTTAGAAGCAAGTGGACTTATCTCACTGATGTGCTATGTTCTTATCACCCATGGACACTGAAGGATAACTGTGTACCATAGAGGGCCTTGCAGTAACCCAAACGTTTTGCATTTTACTGGAGTGAAGAACTTCTGCATAGAAAGCTATATCCAATCCTATATGAAGAATTGGAAGGCAAATAGATGATATGTGGGCATAATTAATAATAGGAAACTATAAGAATGATTAACGGACAGATGACAGTAGTGTCCTAGAAATCTTTCATGGTCAGGTCACATTCAATCAGGAAAACTCTACCAGAAATAGATTTGGCATAAAACTTCTAAAATGACACCTAATACTACCCAATGTGAAAAGCTTTCTAAAATGCTCATCATTTGTATTGCATAATTTGCAGAAATCTCATATTTTTAACATCTTGTAGGAGGCGATGAGATTACAGAGGGAGGAAGCAACCAGGCAACTCATGTCAGAAGAAAGCAGTACCAATGATAACCCAATGCAGAGAGCCACCATGAGAACACTGGAGGATATTGAACCTCCACCCCCTGTGGCAGTGGAAGAGCTGGTAGGGCAATTCACTATCAAAGTGTTACGCAATAGCGAGCGAGGTCACTGCACTTAATGCCACACACTTGACAACTGATGCAGCCAGTGGTGCAGCATGTGTATTCAAAGCAAAGTAAAATCATTCAGAAAATTGGTCAATAAATGCTACTTGACGATGGTCAACTGCAGACTGTAATCATTACAAAGCAACGTCATACGTGTGGATTCTTTCCAATTTCCTATGGAAACAACCCAAAGCTGCTCAAAAGAAAACACAAGTCCGCAGTGAGTGGCCACCATGCTTGCATTGGCGTAATCCCGTTGCTGTGCCAACAACCAGTTTCGGCAGATCTTACGTAATCACTTTGACAGGGAATGGCAAAATCACAATCATTTAGGGCCATTCTCTTCAGTGAAATTGTTCCTTTTCTGTTAAGGAAGATTTTTGCAGTATAGTCAAGTAAAGTGTAGCTTTCTTTTTATCAAGAAAATAAGATTACATTAGGCCAGTTGATTTCTTTTTTTAGAATAGAACTTTCATAGAATCACAGTTTTCTTTTTCTTAACAAAAGAAGATAAAAACTTTTTTGTGGTAATGTGTGCATGGTTGCATGTTTGTTTCTGTACCAGAGCCTGTTACTGTGTACAAGGTTAGCCGTCATGCATGTGCAGTTTGTTGTATTGTTATGTATGCTGTTTCAGAAGTATAATTTCCAATGCATCACATTCATGTGACTCGGCACTGCATCATGATTTACTTTACAATACGATCAGGATTGCCTATTTACCTCATTTTGGGAATCACAACTCTCTCAAAATTATTGTCAAAAGGGTGTATACAGCCAGTGCATAGTCCAGTGTGCTGTAATATATGTCAGTTTTAACAAGTCTGTTTTGCTGTAGTGTCATGTAATGTAGCCTCGGGTGAAGTCATTTGTTAAAATCTATTCTCATTCAGCCATGATTCTGTTTAGAATTGTCTGCAGATTTCCAGGCAAAAAAAAGGAAAATTTGAATAAAATCCATTTGTGACTTTTAGCAGTGAATCACAGTTATGAAATTATCTGAAATCACTGTTTTCACAGATGAATTTGCCCTGATCTATCACATACTATATGCTTCATAGAATTCAGTACTCCTATAAAGAATTATTGAAGAGTTTGTCTTCAGAATTGTTTGAGGCACTGCTTGAAATCTTTTTTTCCCAGAACTGCATCATAGTTGATATCTTTCTCACTGTAATAGATTAATGTATTGCTTCATATTCCATGCAGATCCATTCCCTCTCCACCAGCCAGTCCGTACATTACATGTACAAGTCATGGAAATTCAGTTATCAAAATTTGTGAGACGATATCTTAAAACCAGGGAGATTATTAGTGCAATTTTGTCAGCTTCTCCTTGCTATGGGTAGGCGGGAAAAGTTATTACATATGTAATTCTTTTTTCAAAACAGTTGTAAACTCAATCCAACATCTACATGTATCTTGAGATTTGCGATTGTGTTTCTGTCTTATATTCAGGTGCAGCCGAATCTGACGCCCCAAACTGAATCCCTTCCTTCACCCCCAGTCATTGCTAATAACTACAACAATCCTGAAGCTGAGGAAGATCTACCCCCTCCCCCTCCATTGACTAGTCCTCCTCCATTCAGCCCACCTCCACTCAGCCCTCCTGCCGAGGATAAGGTAGGTATCGTGGTCAATTTACTAGAAAATACTCCTCCTCGTTGACAGTAGTAGTGAAATAACTTGCTAAAGAAGCACACACAATAGCACCATAGCACTGCATGGTCTTGCGTGCTTGGGGAATATTCAGGGACTTCCATTTCAAAAATCAACAAAATCCTAGGTGGTTAGAACTTCTTCCGGGACACATAATGGCCTTTCACACTGCAATCTGCAATCTCCTTGTACGACCCGGGAGATTTCGGGAAGCCCTATCTCACTAACAAGAATCCAACATGGCTTCTACACGGTTCCCATGCTGTACATGGGTAAAATCCAACCAGTAGAAAGTCCAAAATGTACAGCTGAGCTGTATACAAACTGATGTAAGTATGAACGGTATACCCTGCCTTCCCATGTTCGATGTGACCCGGGTAAGCTGACAGCAATTCATGAAAGGTGAAATTGTGTTAAAGGAAATAATCTGATTTTGAGCTTGAGAAAAGGTTACACTCGAGGACAGCTATCTCTTGTTTACCACTTTGCGCAGTTCATTAAAAGAAAAAAAAAATTTTTTTTTGATGGGGGGGGGGGGGGTCTGTTATAACACTTTGATTTGACAAAATGTTGGAGTGTTTGTATTCAACGAAGTCAGACTTGAGTTAACATAGACAGATGGGCTTTCAGATGCATCAGAGTACATCTCTACAAGTGTAGAAACCTAACCTAAACAAATATTGTCTTAACATTATGTTTTTTAAACATGCCTAACTAACTCCTTGCATGCCATAACTTATAACCAAAAAAACCCACTGCATGTTGACTGATTGGAGGCAAGACCACGCAATTTATTGAGGTTACACAGAATCTTTGTGTACAAAAAAAATTAAATTGAAATAAAAAATTGTAAAATTAATTTGGCATTTAGAATTTTAGTTAATGTAGAGTTCAAAATAATTTGTGTACAAAAGACAAATTAGAGAAAAGAATTTTTTGAATTGCATGGTCTGCAGAAAACGAATGCACATTCCTCGCTTGCCTAACTCTAGTTTCCCTCAGCTACACTCCCTTCTATTGTTTCTCCTGTCCAAAACAACTGCACGCTCTCTCTCTTTTCTTTGCTTATCTACACCACCTCTTGCCGGCACAGCCTAAGAAATCGGGTCCCCCTGTGGCCCCCCGGCCTGCAGCTAAGGAGCAGGTTGGTAGGACCAAGCTAGTCTCTACCTCCAGCACTACCACAAGCCGTTCCTCTAGTACATCTAGCCCACCTACATCACCCCAGGTAACAATATGCCAAGAACAAAGCCTTTCCCTTCGTCCCTTCGGCTCCTGTTTTAGCCCTATATATTTTATTTTCTTGCTAAACCCATTCCTTAAACTGTGTTTTTCTTTTTGGCTGTTGCATTGCCCAATTGCTGCATCATAAGCAGGGTCTCAAATAACATGTTGAACCATTGTGCTACAATTCTGAAGTTAAACAAATATTATTTGCAGTAATTAGTGATAATTAGAGAGCTATGGCGTAGTACTTGAAAATACTCCCCCTCCTCAAACTTTTAATTACAATATTCTTGACCTAAGGAATGGTCCTAGGCATTTTACAGTCAAATGTCTCCCTAATGATCAATGTCTCCCGAATGTGAAATAATTGACTATAAAGTGTCCCCTTAGGTGCCACTTGATGTTGTTAATGAACGCCAAGCTGATATGCCAGCCATGGTCATGGCTCAATCAGATCAATACAGATGACTTCATAACCTATGTGTACAAATGTGTAACATGCATGGTGAATGGCGGTCATGTGCCCATGATCTGTAAGATGTTTGTTGGTGATGTACTTGAGCCATTGCTCAGGTCATCTTCACAGTATCTGCATAATCATGACCGTAAGATTAGTGAGTTAATGCTCTACTACTTGAATGTGGTCATGTTATAAGATTATTTGTGGTATTGAGTGTTTAAACATACCACTTATTTGTAAGTGGCTCAACAGTCGGCTTCTGTAGTATGTCCTTATAAATTGTACTGACTATATGGCAATGGTGACCGAGGGTTGCACAAATGGCAAGGTGTGTGTACAGGTACATGTACTGGTACCTGTCATCACATCATCATATTCTTTTATACAGCCAATTGTAACTAGCAAACAAAAACATTGCAAGCAGTTCACTTCAGTTTTGCTAACAGTCTGTAAAGATTGTTGTTTTGGATTTAGCTGTTAGGAAATCATTTCAAACTATAATTTTGAATCTTTCAAGAATTCTGCCTGTTGTGTTCAATAAATATATGCTTCACATTTTTGGTAAAAATTAGAGGTCACAAACAATAGATTTACATGTAGTTTTATTGTTAAACATGAAAATGATCATCAACTGTCAAATAAGTAATGAAACATCAATACGCAAACTTATTTCTTTATGGTTTGTTATGGTTCAAATGTTCAGTCAACGACACAATTGCGGAAATGTTGTGCTTCCCACCACTGCATGTGATATCATTCCACCACTCAGCCTGACATTGCATGTCTTGTTGACACACTTCATACTCCACACACAATATCATCCAACTTCTTTTTCTTTAATGAACTCATAAATCATGGTTAGATTTAGCCATTTTTAAATTTGCTCTAATATCAAATGTATGCTATGTGTATTGTAGCCAAATGGCAGAACACAGAAAAGTTAGTTAAATCCACATGTACACATGTAATTTTATTCTTAAAATGTGTACAGTGTTCATTCAGTAAAGAAGTTTCATTAATGGTTTAAATGCTATAAAAGTGTGCTTTTTACATCTATTAAACTGTAGAATATTGTTGATATTGCATTGGGCCGAACTGATGCAAATGATTACTGATAAATGTTTAATATCAGTGTTGCGTGCCACCAGATTCTTCATAATGAGTGCTTTAGGCCAAAAAAAAAAAAGTCTCCGGTTTCTGGTATGGAGCTTGCCCAAAAAGTGGTGCGGCGACGCGGCTTTTTGTTTTTTTACCTGATCTTTTTGCTTCATATGTGTGCTGATGACTGCAAATGGTGCCCGACTAAACTTAGTGCAAATACATGGGAGTCCAGAGAGGCCACATAAAGCTTATTCTCGACCATAACCCAATCTAAAAACACGTTAAAATTGTGCAGCAGCAGGATTCCAGTCAAACCAGTGAGTTTGGCGGTTTTGAAACATCATCTTTCATTGAAAAAAAAACGTTTTCATTTTGCCGACGCGCATGGCTACGCGCGCGCATACCAGAAACCGGAGACTTTTTTTTTTTTGGCCTTAGGGTAAATTTTTTATTTGAAAAGAGGGTAATAAGGCCTTCACTTTTTGAACCATCACTCAAAACTTCAACAACTTTTACAAACGAGGAAGCTATGTGCTGAAGACCTCCATGTTGAAGTGCAATGTGGCACTGATCCTCTGACCTGCTACTATATTGCATTCCTATCAATCTGCAAACTCGGACAACTTTAGTAAGCTCACACATCTGCAATAGTAAGGAGGATGTGCATTCAAATTAACTTAGGGAGGTAACACACTGAGTATACAGTGTTTAAAACGTCGGTGAAGGGCAAAACCTAATGTGATTTATATCACCCCGACGCAAAATTCCATCTTATAATAACTTAGTACTGTTCACATGTACATGTACTGGATTGTATCAGCTTTTAGAGTATCTACTGATTTTGTACCTGGTATATTTTGGCAGTCTCTTTGTCTATTTTAATTCAGGGTGTATTGCTTTGTTTCCCTCATAAAACAATGATATGTATTGGGATACATGTGACTTCATGAAGATTAAGAAAATGTTCTTAATCTTTGCTTTCTCATTTGCGGAGTGTTCATTACATGACTTTCTCTATTCGTTTTTTTCCTGCAATGCTTTATTAACCCCCTGATTTCCATTTCCATACTTGATGCATACCCATCAAACCGGATACAGCCAGTCAAAAAGGTGCCCCCTCCTGTCGCCCCCAAACCTCCCAAATGGGATGACAGAGACCCATCACCGCCCCCCACCCTGCCCCCGACAGAGGAAGAACGAGAAGAGATGGAGAAGTTAAGACTTGCAAAGCAAGCCAGGAAGGAAGCATTGAGAGTAGCGCGTCTGTCTGCTGGTAGTATGTCCAGTCGCTCCTCAGGCACGGCCAGCCCTGTCTTATCTCCTGAGATTATATCACCAGTCTTATCTCCACTCAATGCAACCAAGGTGCACATTGCTGGATCACTTGTACCGTTGTTGGTGATTGGAAGATGCTGTTCATTACTTGATGTTTTTATCCCTTGATGTTGGGTGTTGTCTTCTTAAGTTGCATGCTTCTTGCTTTCAGTGGTATTGACTTTTCTCCAACGCAGACCATATCGTTTCTGCTGAGCAACAATCATGCATGGTCTGCAGGTGTTTGTCAGAGTAATTCCTATGATATCCAATGCAGCTGGTGCTTCTTGTCAATATTTTGTTGGTCAACCTTTATAGGTATCAGCAGTTCACATATTTTGCTAAGATTTTTGATTGTTGTGAACTTGATTATGTTGGTTCTCTATTAATTTTTGGTTCAAGGATATATTTCAAGAGTTGCTATATTGGTGTTTTTGTTGTTTTGGTTGATTTTTGTCTGATTTTGTTGTTGATGTTGCTGTGCAGAAACTTGTTTGTTACTATTAAATATTTTCTCTTTGTTTTGAACGTTGATTTTATGGTTGTGAATTTTCAGTGCATGTCAATGTGTTGATACTGTTGAAGGCTTGTTCAGAATAATTCATGATTATTTTCAACATTGTTTGTGTAAAGAGCCTTTGAATTGGTGTGTGTTTTGTTTTTTCCCCCAAAGGTTGTTAAACTTTTGATCTTGGTACAACAATGTTGTAAGATCCAGGCAATTCCGGTGCCAGTATGAATACTTGAAGACTTCAGGCTACTGTGGTGTGCCTGGCCAATTGAGTCCATGGAAGCCAACACAAATATTGATCTAAGTCTAGTATATCACATTGAAAAGTGGGATAGCTAGTACGCTAAAGCTGCTGTGCAGCTAAATTTTTCAATAGCATTAAACAGATTCAAATTTTTGAATAAAACAGCATGAAGTCCACAAGCTTTTTTTATATGGAGCGCACACAGTTACACTGGTTCCATGGCCCAAAACAGTAGTCATTTACAGGCTTTGCCCTCATATTGTACATGTACCTGATTTGGTTTATGAAAAAGATGTTTGGGTTGACTTCAAGTTATAGTTTAATTGAAGATCAAAAGTTTTTCAACCAATCCATTGGTGAATATTGTTCATGTACATGTATACTATCGGTGACCAGAGATTGTTGAGTTTGAATGTGAGTGACTTTTGCTTTTTATTTCTGGGGAAACTGTGTCACATCATGTTGCGTTAGTTGGATTCCTTTTTGCATTGCGACATATTATTGTGTTTTGTAATAATTGGCTTGACGTTCTCTCTGTACTCCATGTAAAGTAACTTTGACATCAGGAAACAGTATACAAATATAACATGGTTTGAGGGTGGACAGTTGATATTCGCTCCCCGAGGTATTGGAGGTTGACAAACTAGTTCCCGAAGCGAAGTTTGTCAACTTCCAATACCGAGGGGAGCTAATATCGGCTGTCCACCCGAAATAAACCATGTTATATTTGTTTTACTACCTGTATACCTCATACATATTCAGTGCCACATTTTTTTTTTTTCCGTTGCAGTATGCACCTCAAATTTTTTTTGGAAAAACTTCAGTTCACCAAAAGAATCGTATTGCTCAACTTCACTAGTTCTGTTCGTTTACAATACAGTGCAGCTGTAAATACAGTAGTTTGTGAACAACATTCTTTTGTACAGGAGGCATCTTTATTGTCCATAAATATTCTCTAGTTCAGCATCATTGAGCTCGGGAAAATAACGCGCCGTGCAACCATCTCTTCGTGTGTAGCTCTTTTGGGCGATGTTTGCGGGTGCGTACTACACCCATGCGACAGTTCCACGATTGCTTTATAAAGCGCATGCGTAGTAGACTGTCGCTCGGGTAACCCGTGCGACAGTCTATTACGCATGCATATTTACCCTGTGCGCGAATCCTCGCGCGCGCGCTTGGTAAACACCAAAAATAACATCTGGCACGTGATGGTGAATTGACCAGTGAGAGTTCGGCTCTCGATCATGAATATGTATGAGGTATAGTAATTGTTTCTAAAGTTCTTCGGAGTTGAAATGAGTTCAACTTTTTGAAGTTGCAATATGTATATTTACCCTTGGCACGCAGTGTTACTGGGCATCACATTCAAGTGAAGTAGGAACTGAGATTAATATTATAAATGAAGGTTGAAGGTAATACACATTTTGCAGATCCTAAAGGCTGGTGTGGCCAACCTATTTACAGTGGATGGATTGCTCATGTCGTCAGTTATTGTAAGCTGCCTGGAACATCCATCACTGCACATTAATGATGGACTAACTTTCAGTCAGTTCACCCTATGATGAGTGAATGCAACACTACACTCATTGTACAGTCTTTATTAGAAGACATGGATCATCCTATAGCTTACATGTAACATCAGGATTTGTGATTGACCATTCCCACTTCAGTATTAATTCAGACAAGTACTCAAATGACTACCCCATGGCATGAATTTCTTTCATTTTTTGAATGCAATGGTTTGGTGTTTGATATTGTTTTGGTATGAGGCAATAATGACTGTACCGTATGTATTGATTTGATTGCATATAGCCCATGGTGAAGGCCTCCGGACCTGAGCGGCTTGCATTCAAAGACAAATGGAAGCACTTTGAGCAACAGGCTGATGAACAAGCTCACTCAACACCCAAGTCATGTAAGTCAGGATTACTCATGGTGTATGTCACAGTGTCTGTCACATGGTCTGTCAGCAGTCCTGAAGCCATAACTTGTTACCTGTCCCTACAATACAGTCACCTGTCCCTATAATACAGCCACCTGTCCCTACAATACAGCCACCTGTCCCTACAATACAGCCACCTGTCCCTACAATACAGTCACCTGTCCCTATAATACAGTCACCTGTCCCTACAATACAGTCACCTGTCCCTACAATACAGCCACCTGTCCCTATAATACAGCCACCTGTCCCTACAATACAGCCACCTGTCCCTACAATACAGTCACCTGTCCCTATAATACAGTCACCTGTCCCTACAATACAGTCACCTGTCCCTACAATACAGCCACCTGTCCCTACAATACAGTCACCTGTCCCTACAATACAGCCACCTGTCCCTATAATACAGTCACCTGTCCCTATAATACAGTCACCTGTCCCTACAATACAGTCACCTGTCCCTATAATACAGTCACCTGTCCCTATAATACAGTCACCTGTCCCTACAATACAGTCACCTGTCCCTACAATACAGCCACCTGTCCCTATAATACAGCCACCTGTCCCTACAATACAGCCACCTGTCCCTACAATACAGTCACCTGTCCCTATAATACAGCCACCTGTCCCTACAATACAGTCACCTGTCCCTACAATACAGTCACCTGTACCTATGATTTAACAATCTTTTCATGACTTGTACTTCAGATGATGTTGTGGCAATTGAATATAATTTGTAGACACGATTCTTTTGTATCATTTACCGTAAGAAACAATTTCCAACATCCCACCAAACCTGCCTGTCTGAAGACAAGATAACCAAAGAGTTTGACCGTGAGTTGTAGTCCCTCAACCATTTACACATGCTTCAATTCAGTGCCATGTGGAACATTTGCACTGATAATACAGGGAAGTAAAAATGTTCACCATTTAGGAATTAGCAGCACCAATATCTGGCTTTTACTTCACAGTGGTTTTCATATTTTCAATTTCAAGAAACATGAAGTGAGTTGAAGCTGTCAACTTCCTCATAAACCCCTTTTCAGTGATGAGGTCAATACTGCGTACAAATTTAATAAACTCTTTCTTGTCTAGCTTTAGTGTGCAATGAATATGATTGAATGATTATATTATTTGATGATCACAGCTACCAAGAAAGTGACCCTGGTCAGTGATCAGGATTTGCAGAAGATCAAAGAAGATGAAGACAGGCGAATGCACTCCATGAGTGACGACGAACGCATGAACTATTCAAGAAATATCACCATAGAAACCACACCCAATAAACAAACCACTTCAGAGGATATATTCAACATCACAGGTTCAAGGTATGCATAGCGTTGTCTGTTCATCTGTTTGTGTGTGTGCTTGTTTGTTTGTTTGTTTACTTGTGTGCACTATATTTGAGTTGTGGGTAAGGAATACTAACACATAGTTGATGCTTGCCTGCTACTTGGCTGTCCAATGGGACAAAGTAAAGGGTTTGCCTAACTTGAGCTGCTTTGGGGGTTAAAGTCAAAATGTGATTGTGATAAAAGCCGTCACTTCTTATAAAATGGGCAAGATTCTGTGTTAGTTGTCATAATGTAATACATAAGAAGAGATTGCAGTTATGGCTTGCCGACAGGCACGACTTTGTTAATCATTATCAGTAGAATTTCTGCTGAGATCATGTTGGCATCCAAGCATCAGGCTTTGCTTACATTTAATAGTTCTGAAATATCTGCTAGAAGTCAGCCAATTTCATACCTTGCCATGGAAACCACACTAGCAGACTTATTTGATGTCTGATACAAGCACTAGTTGGTTGGATGGGTGGATTGCAGTCTGCGATCATGCTTTCACATCCAAGTTTCTTCTGCTCAATGCACTGTAAGCATAGTGAACTCAGCATCATTGCCACACAATTTTATGACACTGTCATTTTCGTCCTTGAAATGTTTTCATGTTGTATTGTTGAGCCAACAATAGATAGGCATTGGGACTCACAAATGGTAGTCTGGTACCTATCAGTACTGTAGTCCAGTCCATAAGTCCTCACAAGTCAATCACAAGTCAGGCACAAGCTATTCAGTCCTAAGTCAAATTACAATCTACTCGTATGAACTCTGACAAATACTTGTGACTTGACTTGTGATGGATTTGTGACAGACACTGCAACACTGGTGCCTATCATGCAGTTGCTGTCATCATGATAATGAATGCATCATTCACTAGGAGCTAGACCAAAATGGCAGAAATGCAGAGACAAAAATCATGTACATATACGTACTATACCTTTTAAACAAATGAGCGGGTTTTTTCAGTGGAATTTTTGGTTGTTGGGAAAATGCCAAATCCCTTGTGCCTGTTGAAGTTTGTGATGTTAGGTCAAAGGTCATGCACTTGTCTGTTGTTGGATGTCGTGATGAGTGTGATACCTGATCCCTATCAGGGGATTTAACAAACTGACATGCCAAACAAATGCTGTTCTCCTTCCAGCATTAGTCCTATAACTGGTCTACCCACTGAAATTAGAACGGCAAAAGCCGAGCGAAGATACTATGAGAAATTAAAGGCAGAGGGCCAGATAAGCCCTGAAGTCAACCAAGAAGACGGGCTTGAAAAGGGGCTCTCCCCGGCGGAGATGCGAGCTAAAGAGGCAGAGAAGAGGGCAGCATGGCGTGCAGCCAGGTAGCGTCTAACCCTGCCACTCAACCCCCCACCCCCACCCCCATTACTACAACATTCATGTAGTCAATCCCTTAGCCTATTTTTCAATTCATAACTGAATTCCCACTTGACAGCAATGAGATCTGCAGCTCTGAGATTTTGTTGAAATTAATTTTGGATTAAGTTAAATTCTTGCATTATTACCTTTTTAAAGGGAATATACAACATTTGCAAACATCAAAAAACAAAAGTACCAAATTATTATGAAATACCTTACTGGACTGTAAGCAAATGACAGTCTAAAGCATCCTGTAAAATCGTGGCACCTGGTGTGGTGTATTTTCAAGAAAAGTTGTATTTTGTATCAATTTTCAACGCTGGTCGGCCGACCAGCGTTGGGAAAAAAAAATGGCTTTTTTCAAATACTGCCCCCAATTTACCATAGTCCGCATTTTGTTTGCAATCGATTACACACCTAAGAATGGGTACCTGCCAGCTAGACTGGTTCCCTGACCTTACAATTCCCCAATTTCTATAAATTGCTGTTTGGTCTTAAGTGGGGTCAGAACCAGACTACAGGGACATGCTTGGTTTTTTTGGGTTTTTTTCTCCAGTATCTATGGACACAAAACTTGAAACAAGTCAGTGTAACAATATTTGCTATCATATACTAAACCCCCAAATCCATCCATTTGTGAAAATTACAGCAAAAGCAAATGTTGTATTTTCCCTTTAATAGAGATATCATTGAGAGCTTTACATTTCTTTCATGAAGATTATGATTTTGAAAAAAAAGTGTTGATTTTGAAAAAAAAGTGTTGATTTCGAAAAAAAAACATCATTTCTAAACCAACGGTATCAAAACCTATTGAATGATTCCCATTTGAGAGATAGTTTTCCTTTTTGGTTGAAAATGTAGTATAAATTACTGAGACCCTGCATGGTTTATAATTTTGTAATTGAAGAAACACTTTTCCTCTGTTTTACCTTGAAGACATTATGCCACAATTTTACACTAGTTCTTTGCACATTCAGTAGTTCCTTGCTCATTAAACGTGCTCACAAGATTCATGTGGGTGAAAATTTGCTCATCCATGTTATGTATCTGCTTAGCATTGATAACTTGATCAAGTAGACTTGGGAATAGGGAACTTGCAGAAGCTTTCATTTACTTCACTCAGCAAATCTGCTAAGAAAATCTTCTTATTACTTCATTCTTTATTGCCATGCTTGCAGTAGCCTCTTGACAAGGCCATTGTGACTTTGGATAGTAGAACTAAGCAGCAAAACCACAAGGTGAATTGAGCAGAGACTACACAGTACAGGCCAAGTAGTATAGTCACTAGGGCCTTTTGTCCTTGGTTTGCTAGAGTGCTGTTGATATCATAAAGCTTGATGTCATGAACAAGTACTACTACAGGGTGTCCTGAAAATAATGGTGCATGTAAACTCCGCCATTTTTGCCAATTCACAACCGGAATTTACTGCAAATGTTTACACGATCTTCAAGGTTACAGATTTAGCTTGAGAATACCGTTTGTTTAGTTAAGATTGCTTTTGTAAATCCAGAGATATGTTTGAATAACTGCAAAGCCAAAAAACCACATTCTGTGCCACTTTTAGGAAGAGAGTGCTTCAAAGATCAGACAATGCCAGTATGGCTCTTTTGATAAGATTATCTTAATGGATGTAAGACAAACATTCCATTCACACGACCATATAGAGGTTTGTTCTTATGTTGAAACAATTTAATAGCACAGACAGGTTCACTTCTTTAAAATTCAATGAAACGTTCAATTAAATATAAATAAATATTGCACACTCTGCTTAAAAATGTTAAAATCACTGACAGTAAAGTGATTTGGTTTTAGACTAGGACTACTGATTTTAACTGCTTCACAGAAAGTGGCACAAAATGGGTTTCTTGGCTTTGCCGTTATTCAACCATATCTTTGGATTTACAAAAGCAATCTCAATGAAACAAGCGGTATTCTCAAGCTAAATCTTTTACCTTGAAGATGGTGTAAACATGCACCATTTTTCAGGAAGCCCTGTATAAGTTCTACCGTTTGAATGCGTTGCCTACTGGACGTTTCTACCTGTGGGCTGACACCAACACTTAGCATGTTCCCAAGGGAGTGCCTGCTTACCGACGTGTCATCCGTGTCGCACTTAAGCCAGTTCTTACCTGTGCCATGCCTGGAGTTATGCTGCGTTATGCTTTCAAACCCTAAGCTAATTTGCATATATACATGTCGCAGCTGACATAATTTCTCCACCCAAAAGGATCATGAAACTATAAAGAATAACATGAGAAATTCCTACTAGTGGAAAGGCACTTGGTCTGTGTAGTCTCGGTTCAATAGATGCCTTGGCTTTGCCGTTTACTCAGATCTTTGCGGTAGGGCAATGTGGACTTGAGTCATGATGGTCTTGTCAGAAGGCTATGTCTGCAGTAGGTGGGCTTTGCTTTATTGCTGCCAGGGCTTCAACTGCTTTTTTGTTGTTGCACAAAACAAGAAATGACAGCTGCGCTTCTCAATATTGGTTGGAATACTTAATCAGGAAATTTCCCCTCTACATTACAAAAAAAAAAAAAATCCAACCCCCCCCAAAAAAACGTAGTACTTTTAATAGACCTAAGATATAATGACGTCACTCTCTGTTTACATGTGCACTTTTCTATGAGAGCCAGGTGGGACACGTTCTCATAGGAAAGCGCACATGTAAAAACAGTGTGGCGTCATTATATTTTTTAGGTCTATTAAAGTCAGAATTGATGTTACATGTAACTATTTGGTTGCTGAAAAATGGTTTCTTTGCCTTGTTACTTTCTGGTTTTTTCCCCCTAAAGGGGCTTAATTGAGAACCCCATCTGGTGAAATTCTTAAATCATTACAAAAGTTACCATGAAAATGTACAAAGTTGTAATGACTAATCCTACATGGATCTGGCCTTTGGGTTTATTTATGGATTAAATAAGCTAAACAGTCATAATGGCTCTAACTGAAAAGGCAGACCTCAAGAAGGCTATATGTTTACTGAAGGGTTTGTCTTTACTTATTAGCTTAATTCACCAGATGGGGTTTGAAATGAGTTTGGGTATCTGGACCAAGTTCGGGCAAGGACTATTATTCGACTAGTGGTTGATTTGTGCGAACGTCTCTTGTCAAACGCTGGTCAAAATGTCATTGCAAAACTTCTGGATCCTGGCTCCCTGCTGTACGTTATGACAGCGCGCGGCTATTGGTTACCAGCGATGCAACCAGACCCCAGTAGGCTGGTTCCAAATAGTCGACTAGCGTAGTCAACCATCATCTACTAGACAGAGTTCGGGCTAACTTTAGTCGAACTATGGTTAACCAATGGTCAACAAAAGTTCTTGCGCGAACTTGCCCCAGGCTGTGCTTTTGGGGGGGGGGGGGGGGTTGGGAGTTGGGAAAGCAGGTTTTGTGTTAACTTTGAGATAACCGTGGTCATGAGAATGATCAAACCCTTGTGGTCCCTGTGACTGTGTACAGGATGAAGTCATTGGATGATGATGCACTCAGGGCACAGATGGTGCTAACACAACACAAAGATGCCGAGGATGGCCTACGTATCAATGCGCTCAGCAGTGAGTAGAAACCTGTAGCAATCAATATCTCATATCTATACAACAATAACACTTTTGTGGCAAAACATTGTCCGGGAATATGCACAGCCATACTGGAGTATGGTATTTACCACAGTTCTTTGAAGATTCTTATTGAACCATTTGTGTGGATATGAAGCAACTCTAGTTATCCCACAGTTGGGTTACATGTTACATTTTCATAAAGTGTTTGAATGTGACTATGGGCTGAACAGGGCGCTTTTGGACTGCTTTAGAGAACTCTTTGGATGGGACACACTTTCAGTGACATGAATGAATTGTTGACTTGTTTCTAGATGGAAGCAACCAACCTTCTGAGAATGGTGAGAATCCAGCAGTCAAGGTGTCGCCACTAGAAGCTGACCTGCAGTTTATTGATGATGAAAACGGTGGAGGTAGGCATGGGTGTTGTCAGACTTTGATCTGATATCACACCTTTTGAAATAAAAAAAAAAAATTGTGCAACTTTGCACAAAAAAGTGACACAAAAATATCTTTCAGAACTTGCATCCAATTTTCAGACCTTTTTTTCATTGACAATCTCATTCCTGGAAAATAAGGTCAATATAGTTATTATTATATATGCATTGTGCTGATTCATAACAATCTTGCTGAGTTGAATAGGCATGCAACGTTTCCTCGGATCCGCTGATTTCCTCGTTTTTTACTTCTCATGAATGTCATTACAAATTTAAAATACTACAAAGTCTTGGGTGATTTGGAATTTCCTCGTTTTTTCCTAAATTCCCAGTTGCATGCCTGGTTGAAGTCCATGAGCACACATATATCATTAGAATACACAGTCTGTGCTGTGGTTTGCATACATTGGAATTGGTTTAGCGCATGACTGAGGGCTACACATGAACACTAGTTGTCAGACTAATAGTTTGGATGAGGTACCTTTACCACACTAGTAGCCTACTATGTACCCGCACACATACTTGTTCCGTAGTTGTGGGGACTACACACGAGTTGTCCCATGGTACTATGGGGACCGAACATGGTACTGTGGGGACAGCAGAAAGTCCCCATACCTTGGTCCTAATTTGCCTAACAATAAAAACCTTCCCCATAACGCGGTGACAGCCACCCCAGCAGTTCCTATACATGGAAAAACTATTACGAATGATGAAATAGTCCAATGTCTCTGTCGATATTTACTAATAAACCTGATGATATGGAGAAAAGGGTTGTTTTATAGTGAAACTCTTCAGAGATTTTTGTATTTGTCTTTTCCCTGAGTGGGATATTGATAACTCACATTGAATAGTTTTCTTTTTCATTAAGGTAAGGATTATTGGATTGTTATTCCACAGATTGAGTCTCAATAGCCCCCTGATACAAATTGCATGCTTGGAGCCACTGCTCACCCCTCATGTGGAAAGTGGAATGTTCCATTCATCCGACCAATTAGAAGTCTCTCCTCCGTTTCTACCAAGGCAACGAGTTTCAGATTTGAACCGTAATGCCGCTCATTTTTTAAGCTGTTATATTTTTAACAAAGCCTTATCACATGTGGGGATAGGGAAAAGGGTTTGTAGATGGTTTAGGGTTGTAACTTGTATCAAATAAGTTGGTCAGAAATTGACGGACAAAATCTGAACATTACCTGTATCATAGTTATGCTCTCTTTTGATTATTAAACATTTATTTATTATTGCTATAAAGGAATTTTCTCCAGAGAATGTAGAGAGTGTAAATTTTGGAAAACAACAGTGTTTATAAGAACACAGTTTTCATGGATGGGACTATTTTTCTCTTAGTCTTTTAAGCAGAATTAAGAAAGAACTCAGCTTTACAGGATTTGAAGAAATAGGACATAGCAGTATTTTGAACTTGTGTAGCATCGTATCAGATTCCCTCTGTATCTTCAATGGTGATACAGTGTTTTACCATACTTTTTTATTGTACTTGATGTACAGAATTTTAACGTTTTTAATGAAGGAATGTACAGAAATCGGGAAAAGTGAACAATTTCCATTTGTTAGTCATCTCGAGTTGAAAGACATTTTGCTGGAAAAGTGGTTGGGTTATTTTTTTTTAGTTTTTCCTTAAAAAAATCAGTACAAAATCTTTCATGTTTCCTTCAAACTTGCCAAATTTGCAGATCTTTGTAATGAGTTCTTCCCAGGCTAAGGTTTTACTAGGTTTTGAGTTCATTTTTATAGAGAATTTGTTTTAAATTACTATTATTAAAAACATGCTTTTAATGTTTAAATTGGGGGTATATGGATGTTATGTAATGTTACATTGTGTTTTTATGGCATATTTTATTCTTGTGTAGGCGTTGTCTGAACACAGCACTGAGGTGCAGATCAGGAGACCCTTTTGCCATTAGCTGTTTCTTGACTTGTTTTTAAAAAGTGAGGAATGCAGCCAATTAGAAATCATGTCAGATATGGTATTGCATGAAAAGCAAAGCAGATGTACCAAGATTGAAGTATAACGTTTTTATGTACTTATTCTAAAGGGGTTTTTAATGGGAGGACAACAGATTTTGGAATTATTTGAAATTTTCTCCCAAAGAAAAGGCACCTAAGTTGTAAATAATACAAAAACGTATACCCTTCCTTGCAGTCTCCTTTCTCTTTTTGGTGTTAAGTTGCCTATCCAATAATAAATATGAACAATTATATCCATCATCCTAAAACCAGACCATAGTCTCCAGAAAGCTTTTTGAAAATCTATTTGAAATTATTGCATATAAGCAATGTGGATTGCATCTCTCTGATTGTCCTTAACTTTCAAGCTTTCTTTGCATGAAAGTGTATTTTGCAATAGTGTGAAGTGCCACAACAAAGTCTATTAGTTGTACAAACATTTATCAAACCTACAATTATACACACAACTCCTGGTTTGGGCCATTGTTTCTTTCAAAATGTTTACGTCCTTGCAGTTGCCCTCCCCAAATATCTGGTGAAGATTGTGTTTGTTTTGCATTATCTGTGATGTATCATGTTGATATTTTAAGATAATTACCCCTGCATTTGCTTGAATCAAAGGTTTCAATTTCCTGGCACTATACGACTTAATTAGGTACAATTGAAGTGTTTTGAAGGGAGTTTTGTACAAGTCTACTCATGCCTGTTCCCTAAATAATAGGTTTGTAAAAGCCGTCAATGTATCTCTATTTAAATATATGGTGCCTTTTCTACAATGCCGTCATGTTAAATATTGTTAATATTGTTGTACTTTGGGTCATAACTTCTGAAAGACAAAATTTCGCTCCCAGAATTTATCTGTGTATTGATACTCATTGAGCATCTTTGTAAATTCCTGACAATATTTTGTACATTACAAAAGCAGTGTGCATTTAACAATAACTGTAGCCAAAATGGGGGAGGGAGGGGTGTGTATTAACACCTAGACATCCTTTAAACTTTTGTTACTGTTGTATGTAACTTTTTATAATTTGCTATTAAGTTTGCTTGCTTATTTTAATACAATATTTCTGTAGGGCAATATAATATTACATGTATTTTCTGTTGTATTATACACCATTGCATTCAGTGTCATTTATTCAGACTTGTATATTGAAATCATGTAATTGTTTACAATTTTAGTTGGTTTACCGGTCACTTTTGGTTAGGAGCCATTTAACAAGCCATTTAACAAGCCATTTTAATCCAGTTTCAAGCCGGTTCATACTTGCAAAAGAGAATAGCATTGCGAAACATTTCCAACAATGTTTAGTGGAATGGAAAGTATAAGTTGCTGATGCCATCAAATTCACAACTGTTTTGTACAAAAGATGAACCGGTTGTTTTTGCTCTACAAGAAAGATGAAATAAGTACGTTTTAATTGCAATTTTCAAACTGGTTCACACTGTCAAGCAGTCCCAAGTCTAGTTGGAACTAGTGAAATCTGCCTTCATCAGCTCTTTCGGCTTATAAAAGTTGACTGGTTGGTTTAAAGTTGTTGACATTATTTTTTTACAATTTACAAAAGCTATCATTGTGTCTATATACCTTTTCCTTTGTTGTTTCAGGTTTTCATTTAAGTGGTCATTTCTAAATGGTTATCAGTTATTTTAAGCCCAAGTTGCCCCAGTCACCACAACAACAAAAAAGCCATTGTTTTTAATGCGCATTTGTTCTTGCAGGCAATGTAACATTTACTGACAAGCTTTTTTTTTAAGACATATATTTCATCCTGAGGCATACGTTGACTTCCTACATGTGTGTATCTAGCTTGTACAGTCATTATTTCAGAGTTGCATCGCACTTGAAAAAGAAATCCGCAATTTAAGGAGCAAAAAGTGTTTTCAAACTTTTTGCAAAATAGTTCTGTAATAAGCAAGGGAGCCATTTGAACATCTAAGTGCGCATGTCAAGCATCAGAAATATACTGTATGTAATACTTCCTACATAAGACTGGTTGTAAATGCTTACTGTTGGGAAACACAGACTTTTGCACTTCTATTGTATCTTATTCAACAATCCTAGGGTGAAACTTGTAATATGACTCAGTAACTTTATATTCTGCTTCAACACTGTATATATGAACCATGTAATTATCAACATACTGTATTCTGTTAGGCCAGGAGGACTCTTTGTCATTTCTGATATTGGTTAAATAAATAGTATTGGAGAATAATAGATGAAGACTCCAGCATTCATTACTGAACTGGTTGATTTTTTAAATCTTTTGAAACAGTAATATTTAACACCTTTCAAATAATTTAAATATAAATTCATTTTGAAAACAGTTTTGACCAGGTATCAGTGGCAGAATAGTACGCTAATGTACAAATGTGATTTCAGGTTTTGCATGCAAAGTGATTCAGAGAAGTTTCTTGATACACCGTGTGAAGTGACTAAATCTTGAACAAAGAATCCTGGCTTCAGTCAGTATTTCAATCAGGAGAACGGTAGTTGTAATTGTTCAAGACGTAGACAATAGCTCAAGACAAGAGACTGGGACACAGCCTCGGACTCGAGGGTTTTATACCCAAAGTTCTCTTTGCTAGAACTGTATAGCCAGACTGACTAGTATCCGGCAGCACACATTGTCGTTCAGGATGCCATAGACCCCAAGACATTCTGACCAATCACAGCCGTGACTATTGTTCGAATTGCATTTACAAAAGTCTGATGTGTACATGCACATATGATACGCATTGTAGGAACATAGAGAATGGCAATGGAAAGGCACATGGTGTTGCCCACGTGCAAATAATGGACCTACGGTTTTCCCATAGTATTTACATCATTTCATGCTTCATCCATCTACAAGGATCCTTTTCCCAACTATTGGTGCAATTCCCAGAGATGTAATGACTCGTGTCAATGACTCGACTCAAGTCACAATTTTTGGTGACGCAACTCAACTCGAGTCCCAACAGGTAACTGACTTGACTCGACTAGAGTCGAAGGCTAATAACACTAGAGTCCCAAACTGCAAAAGTATATTTGCGGTGAATATTTACGGTGACTTGCGGTACAAAGTTATTAATGTTCACGAACTTCCCGTTACTGTCAAGTTGTGGCCGCTTATCACGTACAAATATACGCCTTGTCATGGACTCTCGAGTCCCTCCTTGTCGTTATATAGTGCACAAACAACTTCATGGAACCAGACTTCAAATACATTTCCCAACTCTTGGTTTCATCATTGGCATTGGGCGATTTCTTAAGCCCTTGATGGAACCCAAGCTAAACTTATGTCCTGCTTTCAAAAAATAATTAGATATTTCTATATAATCAGAAACAGTTTCATATGTTGCAATTTGGTTCCGATGTTAACGGCGTAAAATTTATTCCAGACCTGAAGCCAAACCAGAGATAAAACTGAAGTTTCACTTAACTGTTACGTAGATTTTTGTTAAAAACATCCAGCAGAAACTGTCTGCATGTATTGGGTACCATGCAGCATAGTCTTTTCATTTTCATAATGAAGTGGTGCCTTGTTCCTTCTTCCATTCTTTAATTTGATGGTCTTTGATCTGATGGTGTTCAAATATCAGCGACTCTAATTGACTCGACCACACACCGACTCGACTCGAGGAACAAAGTTCTTCCTCCTTTTGCAAATTATAATTTTAAATTTAAGCCATCACTGGACAGAACCCAAAATACTAACTAGCAACAAGCAAAATTTTATTTACGAAGTTTTCATTTTATTTAAATTTCAGATTAAAAACACACATACATGAGTTTAAATGTGCTCTGAAGACCCACCTATTCCAAGCAGCATTTAATTAATCATCCAGTTTGATTTCACTCTCTTGTGTACTGTTTCATATTCATGTATTTGCATTTGTGCGTACTTTTGTTCCCTGCTGTTTTTGCTGTTCATGTTTATTTGTTTGTTTCTCTGCGCCTTGAGCATCTAATCAAGATGGATTTGGCGCATTATAAATGCTCTTTATTATTATTATACAATGTTTTGCCCAAACATACAAACTACCTAAATTCAAATAATTCTAATTATACAATATCTAAAAACTGAACTAAACATTTAATTTCTACTTAACTACAACAAATTAACGACTTGAGAATATTTTCAACTTGAGAACGAACCATCTGCATAAAATGAAGCACCAGTAAGAAACGAGTTTTAGCAATTTAATTAACGTTTAACATCAAAATTGGCAAAAATGTTATTAATTCTCAAATCCAATAAAAATTGCTTCATAAAAATTGAGTATTTGAAAGTACAAAAAATAGAGTTGGCAGCAAAGTATTAAAAAAAAAATACAATTTAATTTTCTGTAAAAACATCATTTTCCTTGGTAGCCATCATTTCTGCTCAGTTTTCTTCTGAGTAAGTTGATGTCTCAGGATAGGAGGCAGGACTGCTAGCAGGCGACAACTCAGACATGTCGCTGTCTACGTTGCCTTTATCCTAAACAAAAAGGAAAACAAATTAAAGGAATTGACTTTGATATACTTGTCTTCATTACTCGTGATTCATTAGTAAATTTCAAACCTCGCAAGGGAGAACGTTCTCTTATGCCCAAGTGACAACTAGGTCTAAAATGTGAATTGCTGGGGCAGATATTGGTGGATATTTTCAGTATTTGCTTTGCATTCCGAGTATGGATGTCAAACTAGGTAATTCATGCACACAACCAATGGACAAGTCGACATTGGTATTTGTATTACATACATGTAATCAGAATTTTTTAGTCATCTTTTCACATATTGTTACATGGTTGAACTTTTACACAGACACTAGAAAAGCTTTTGATGACCAATCAGAAGAGGGCTCACCAACACTGACCAACAGCTCACAACCAATCACATTTGTTCTTCGATGCTTGCTTTTCTAAGAGACATGAGACAAGCATGTGTGCTTTCTATGAGTGCCAGGTGGGGGCAACAGCCACTAACCCAGGGGTAAGATTGCGGGAAAATGAAAAATCCACAAATTGATCGGCAGAGGGTTTGAGGTTCCCCGTGGGCCACATTTAACCTTACCAGCTCACTGCCAGCATCACTAGTCTCCCGTTCTGATTGGCTGCTGTAGGCACTGTCAGACTTCTTGCTTGGGCTGTTGGGTTCAACCACTTCCCAAGGAGGTGAGGCTTGATCCTCACAGCGACGAAGTGCAAACTTGTAGACTCCATAGCCAGACAGACCAGTAGTAAACCAGTATTTCTCAACCATATACAGACCTACATGAATGCAATGTTATATTCAAGATAATTTCCATTGTACCATTATGCAATGATGAGATTCCAGCTATAATTGTCACCATCCTGAGCCGAATACACACTGGACAATCTGGTAGGGATAAGGCAGGGGTCGGCCTGGGTCTAACCCTGCGCCTCAAGGCTTGACTGTCAGGTTCCAGTCACTCCAGAGCTGGGACAGGATTCGTATTTTTCAAGATGGGCTTTTGACATTCATGGGTCAAAAAGGGTAAAGTCAACATTACAGTTTTTCGAAGTCATCTGGCATTGCCAAACGTTGGTACTCATCTGAAGAGTTCTTGATTACAGAGTGCATGCATGGTTTGCAATACAAGTATCGACAAAGCCATATCCAATGTTTGCATAACTTAGCAGCTACCCCAGCAAAACGAGTGTGAATGTGCGCTGGATTTAAATTGCTGGAACGAACTCAGACTCATTGCAATCCTGGGCCAAGAAAACCTGGCTTTTAGGGCTCTGTGTGCTAAGGCCTTTTACTCATGCTATGCAGATATACATGTACTCATTTCCCTGATGCCGAATGGTACAGTTACCTTCTCCCAACACAGGGTATGCAACTGGCACGAAACATGGACTGGCCACTGGGATGATGTAAAACACTGTGCATGCTTTGTTATTAAGTTCAGGGTGGCACAGAGATATGCACATGAACTCCAATTAAAACTCTCCCTACTTGTATCTGTGTGCAGCTTTCATTTTCCAACAAAAAAGTGAACATTTCCACAGCTCATTTCCTACTTTTCTGCTTTTCTTAAAGCTCTATACTTACCATCAAATCTATAGCCATCTTCTGGTGCATATGGACTGTCCAACTTGTAGCCACGGATGACACGCACCGGACGTTTGAATTCAACATTCCTGGTCAGTGCAAGGTTACCTGGTGACGAATGATCATTAGACATGATCAATGCAAGTGTTTATCTATGCTACATGATGAATGCCTTGCAGGACTATCACGTATACGAAACAGTCATTTGCATTTGTGAAATGAATCCTTCTAGTCTAGTGCTGTCAAATTGTATTCAGTACTGTGAGGTATGTTAAATTGTTTATTTGTTCAAGTACAAATGTTGAAATTGACATTGTCATGAAATTATACACAATGACAAAGTATCTTTGAAGTGATTTTAATGCATTATTTGGGGTTTTTTTTCAAATAGAACTTTTAAAAGATGTTCCAGAATTCAGGTGTGGTAAATAAGAGCAGTTAACATGTTTGAATTCTGGGGCAGTTTCATGTAGTTTGTGAAGTCAAGAGTACATGTAGGATAGGAGATCCAATTTGGAACATACACTGCCATGTCAAGCAAGCAGCCTATTTGAGCTATGGCAACACTATTGGAGGGCGCTATTTGGTTTGACCCAAATAAAACAGCGCCCTCCTAGTGCGTCTGCTATATTTCAAATAGGCCAATTCCGGCACACAATAAGCCATTTGCGAGTGACCTATACCCTGTTTGGGATTTAGATTTGAAAAACATCTGGTACACTGACTTGCTCAGAATGCTTGGCACATCTTAACTTTGAATTCTCCAGACCAAAGACACTGTTGCTAATCACATGATTCGGGGCAAGCTCTTGCATAGTTACGTAAGAGACGCTCAGCACCAATACATTGTTCAAAATGGGTGAGAATGGCACAAAGACACCAGACCATGCCGGAGCTGGGGGTTGCTAGCATAAGGCTTGCCCCGAATCACGTGATATAGTAACAGTCTCTTTGGTCGGGAGAATGCAAAGTTCAAACGTGCAAAGCATTGGATTAAGTCAGCGTTCCAGATTTTATTCAAATTTAATTTGTTAATGGCTTATTGGCTGTGGAGCATCTTCATGAACAATAGAAGACACTTTGTACCCTCTGGTGAGAGTAGTGTGTGCTGCACACCCTGTGTGAGTGCACCGGGTCATGTGCTTATAACGTAATGTATGCAAAACTAATTATATTCCGAATGTGCACAAACCTGCACAGTCTTTGCATGAGCACCACATGTACGCAGGCAACATGTCTTACCTCTAGACAGTGTCTGGTCCTTAGACTGTGGTGCAGTACGTAGATTCTTAGGGTTAGCCTTAGTTCCCTTCAAGTCACGTCCTCCTAGAAAAAACAACAAAAATAGAGAAGTAAGTATCTCCAAGTATTTTTTTTTTGACCAAAAAATAGCTGATTCCCAAATAAAAGCTAACCCCCTAGTAGTTCCCCAGGACTACCCTGCTAAATCCAACAGAGTCTTGACGGTTACTCATAGAGTTTCCTGCTCAATCCAACACAGTCCCACACAAGTTGTTGGGTACCTGGAACTATAAAATGACTGCCATGCTCAATCCAACAGAATCCAACAGGGCCTTATTTTTCTGTTTGCTGCTGGATCCAACAGAGTCCAACTTGGTGTTATTTACCAGTACCCAACAGAATCCGACTCTAAATGTTTTCAGTTGCCTGCTGAATCCAACAGATTTCAAAAGGAATATGTACAATGGGTTTACTACTCAATCCGAAAGGACCCAGTGTTTCTCAATTATCTTGATCTAAGGGTCTTCAACTAATTTAACATACCGACTGGATAGTACCATGCATAAAGAAGTAATGCTGCATTTCAGTCACGTTTTAGGCCTTCAATGGCCACTGCTTGGTATGTACAAAGCATACAAAGTACATTTGTTTGATGCGGTTTGAATGGATGCGTTTACATGATTTTAGGCCTCTCAAGATGGCCCCCTAGTGACTTCAGCCCATAATCCGGATGCTCTATCCAGCCAGTATATATCAATCAGTAAGATCTACAGTCCACACACCTTCCCCTGTATATGTGAAGCTCTCTCCCAGGTCTAAGTCATCCTCGTATCCACCTGACAATGCCAATGAGTAGCATCCTTCCTCCTCGTTGCCATGGATACCAGCTACCGTAGGGCGATGGATACCATCTCGGGAACAGTCAATTCGCATCATCCATTCCCTACCAACCTCAACACCTGATAAATAAAACAATCAAAGTTCACTTCATTTTGTTGCCACATATTTTTATATGGGCAACTATGTGCAATTAACACACAAAGGGCTTATATGCAGGTTTGAATTCACAAGCTTGACAAACCATTTTCTCTCAATCATCATTTAAATTTGTCATACAAATATGCATTCAATGTGACTCCATAAGGGGTAAAGGAACTAATAAGCTTCTGTGTGCATTAATGCCACAAATGTTTTTGTGTGGAAAACGCTCGTTGGTCTAGAATGACCAGAGTTCACACTAAGGGGTGTGATCGGACAAAAATGAAAAATCCACGAACTTCGGTTGACATGTATACATGTACATGTACAGTATGTATTATTGTACATGTACTTGTATAGATGTACATGTATACATATACATATGTCCATATATAGGGCATGTACATTTTATGTACTGTAATTTCTGTAATGTTTGCAAATTTTGTCACTTTAGTAAAGAAAACAAATGGGGGAAAATTAGAAAAAAATGTCTGGTCATTAAATAATATAATCCATATGTGATTTATTCAATAATGTCTTTTTCTGTGTGTGATGTTATTACTTCTGCATGTTTGCAGAGAGAAAGAAACGATTCACAAAAAAAAAAATATGAACGGTGCTTAAAAAGTTTATAGTAATCTTACTTTAAACTCCAGTCCCAGGCTTCCAAAACATTTTTGAAATTTTGTGTTGGTGGTGGCTATTTTTTCAAAGCACTACTGCAGCTCAAACTTATTTCCATCCACAGTGACACTTATTACCAATTCTTCCAACCATACTCTTAAATTCCTTGACAAAATCGTGGCAATATTGACACCAATGTGTTTGCAAATTGCTAGCTCACGATCGTCACTGCACAATACATGCACAATACACACACATCCACACGCAATACACAAACACGAGGTGCAATCCCATTGAAAATTATTTTTAGTCTGGTCCTCAAGTACTCCACTGCGCACACTGCATTGATGTCTATCAGGTTCTTGACTGCACTGCTTATTAGACTTGTGTCACCAGTCCATCCATTATCGTAAATTAGGGCCTATTTCTCCAGAAGTTTTTGGGCGATATTACGGAAACAGAAAACGTTGGAAATCCGGAATCCGCATAAAATTCCGGAATCCGCATAAAATTCCGCGGACGTTAGACTAAAAATCCGGAAATCCGGAAAAATCACACCCCTGACACACTGCATTGCATATAAATGAGCTCATATACACTGTGATGTATATATATTACCTCTGCGTTGCGTGCGCTTGTAGGGCCGTCCCGCATGTCTCCCTAATGAGAACTGCAACTGATCAGTCCCATGACTGGCCCGAAAGCTTGCACTTATCAAAGGTTATACACCCCAGTGATTCCTTTATTTCTTGCATAGTTATTGGCACGATATAAAAGAAACAATTGTTGACTGCTGTGATGTGGGATATGCTGTATATTACCCCTTCGGGGCACATTGCACCCTCAGTGATATCCCACATCACAGCAGTCAACAATTAGCCAGTCGGTATTAGTCTAGGTCAAATGTCATTCAGGATAAAATTGTTGCTTATTAACAGGCATGTGTCATGCGCCTTTGATGCGTGTTCGATTATCCAGAATGACCCGTGACCCATATCATTGTGTGCATACACAGTTGAAATACCGAACTGGCTTATTGTTACATAGCCATGTTCAAAAGATCGACCCAAGATGGTAATCCTGACCTTCAATAGCACCGAATGTATTCTCTCTTCTGATTGGCTTAGTGGGTGTGTAGTCAGCATCAGGATCAACCTTAGACAATTCAGCATCAACGTCATCAGCACTTGGAGGTTTCTGTAATAGAACCACAAGCTTATGTGACACTTGTCTACAAAACTTTAAAAAATAAGACGACATTTCTTTGAAATGATGGCGATTTAAAGCAGGAAATTCTTAATCTGAAGTGTGAATCACCATTCCAAGCACTCTGGTAAAATTGAACTGATCCACATCTCTAAAATGAGTGATGCATTTTCTACAATGTGCTGCTACAGAATTGACAGATTCAGCCAGCAACCTATAGTCAAGTATTGAGCATATCATAACCCCTAGTAGACAAGTTCGTTTCTTATTTGTCTCTTTGAGAGAAACCAAGCAATGTAAGCTTGCCTAGTTGTCTCGAGTCAATTGCCAATTCTAAGTTCCCATCATCAGACTTACCAGGCCAGTCAACCGTCTTGATTTCCTGACTCCGTATGTAAATGAGCTTCCTCCTTCCTGGCCCAGACCATACACCTGCTGCTTGGGCACAGGGCTCTCTGACTGCTGCTTACGTTTGCGTGTGAGTTGCCTGGGTCGCTTTTTAATATTCTTTGGCTCAAGCTGAAACTGTTAATACACGTTTGAAAAAAAGAGAATTGCTTTCTGAACGGAACAATATGGGTGGGATGAAATGCAGAAAGTTAGAAAGGAAACTATTTTATAAAAATCTGATTTAGGATTTGTCCATTCAAATAACAGGACATTTTCAAAAAGTTATGGTTATTGAAGACAACTTTAAATTTCCAGGAAAACTGAATTTTGCTTAAAATTAAAGAAGATATTTAGAGGTTGGGGATGGGGGGGATAAGGAGAATTTTGTTTTTTAATCCTCTTGAATAAAATGATGCATACAATTTATTCCAAAACCTTACTGTATGCTCATATGAAGAAATCATGTGCTATATACAGCTTTAGTATAAGCTTTTGTTTACTTTTGTTATAAAATGAATTATAAAATTTTAACAAGATAAAAATATACCCAAACTAATGGGCATGGAATCTTATTATATATCAATTACTGCATTCTTTTACCGGTTTATAAAGTCCTAATTCTTTCAAGACTCGCTTGTTTTCTTCAATGTTCTTGAGACGTCGGACCTCATACGGTGACAATTCAGCAGGCATGGTTGCTATCAAGCTAATTAAATATAGAATGCAAAGAAAGTATAACAATTGTGTAACAAAACAATTGTTGACTGCTGTGATGTGGGATATGACATATTGATCACCCTTGGGGTGCATAGCACCCGAGGCGAACGCCATGTTTATGGGTCTAGTACCAGCCTAGTCTTAGGCTTCAAATTGAAATCAGTTTGCATCACTCTCAAGTGCAAAATGTTGAAGAAAAGTCTCCTTTAAAAATTGAATTGAGACATCAAACTTTGGCTGATAAAATACTGAGGAGCTTGTCTTTGCCTTATTACAAACAGTCAACATTTTGCATCTACTTCAAAACAAGAGCTTTTGTTTGATTTCATTTTCTATGAATACTGATAGGTAGAATCATCAAATAGTTGTAGAATTTACTTTATCTTAAAGAGCTTTCAAAATACAATTAAACAAATGGTTTCCTAACTTCATAGGGCAAACAGTTCTGACATTATTGCAATTTTAAATTTGCTTTTTTTTGCCTTAAAATGATGCTCGATTTGGCTGAAATAAATGTGACCTCGTCAGTTGATTATGTGTACAAACGTATGGGAAATGTACACATAAATAACGGCATCGCTGTTTTGGGGAATCCACAACTTTTTTTGGCAATGTGATTTAAATTAATAACAAACCAAACTTTTTAAGGTCAACTACACCCTGCAATTCTCTTTTATTGATGTTTGGAGCTAAGCGAAAGTATCCCTGTATCTGATACTCCATGTCAAACCTTTCCAAAAAAGGCGGTCACAAAAAATTAGGTCATTTTGGGCATGAAAATAGCGCCACCAATGTCCGTGGCGGTGGTTCAACATAGCTATGAGTTTGCGAATTGTTTATCTCTCAAAACTAAATCGTTGAATCTGATGTGCGGTGCGCACGCGCAGTTGAAATAAGGAAAAGGCTTACTGATGGCTCAAGGTTGAGTCAAATTGGCCAGATTTATTTTGCATGTTTTTCTGCACTCAAGCTTAGTCTCAAGGTCTTGTGGGCAACTGTGTACTTAAAGCTACAGTCCATCACTTGCAGCAATCCGAAAAGTAACTGGCGTAATTATTGTTGAAAAACATACTTGGTTGAAAGATAGTAAGGGGACTAAACTCCCTGTGAAATTATTCTTTCTGGCAAGCTGTCATTTTGAAGTAATCAACGAAAGAAGGCCTTTCCAACGGTGCTTCTTAAGACGCACCGTAGGAAATTTAAATTAGTAGTTGGTTTTGTTATTCGGTGAAGCGCGCGCAAGCATTGGCACGACGCACATGCACGTGCGGTTGCTACAATTTGTCAGATCAGTGCGCGACATCGCGTAGCTGCAATCGGCTCAGTGAGAATGTGTCTCAGACCATGCTCAGACGCTGAATTCAGGCCCAATTCAAAACATGATTCAGCAACTTTTGATTTGAAATTGAGATCCTAGAATGCTGTTTTTCTCGGAATATACAGCTGAAGCTGAGCTGAAACTTCATCAGGTTAGTTGTTCAGTACCTTTCTTTAGATTTTGAGCACTTTTGTTGCTTCAAACGAACAAAATGCACAAATTACAAATGATGGACTATATCTTTTTAAGTTACACAGGCCCTGTCATGCCTGTCCTATAATAAATGGGAACAAAAATCCACTTAATTCAGCAACTAAACATTTAAAATCAACAGCTGTGTCGTGGACCGACGCATAAGGTTTATCGCAAATACAAACCGCAAAGGATCATGGGGCTGCAATCGGAGCAAGAGCGCCATCACACGGCGGTGGGAAAACGTACACACGGCATGCACGGTGCGGTGTGTACGATATTTCTTGGCTGTCCATTTTTCAGACGTTTTGTGTTCGATGGACATGATGGGAGGTGATTATTGTGCTGTTCTGGTTTGCAATAACTGTTGTTATCCACAACAAAGGTATGATCTTTGTTATACATAAATTAAAGGAAAAAAAATGTTCTCACGACAAATAGTAGTATAGCGTGCAGTTCTGACCCGACGCAATCGCGATGTGCCGACGACCGGCACGCGAGCGGGGAAACACGGGACACTCTGCACTGTCATGACTGTGTCGGCAAATGCATTTAGAGTTTCTGTGCCCCTCAAAAGCTCCCTTTGATGACTCTTTTCTTATCGGAAAAATATGTGGCTTTTATAATGGTTTAATTGTTACTTCTGTCAGCGAACGATGTGTGACTTTCACAGACAATTTCATGATTTTTTATTTATAATATTCTGTTCACGAAAATGTAAAAAAAAGCAGTACTGTAGTAGGCCTAGCTAGCTAGCCTACTCCATTGTTTTACTCATAAAAATAATTGTGAAGTTTTATGTGGTTTATTTTTTCTCCGTCATCAAACAATAAATATCTCTATCTTACATTTCCCCTTCTCTTGATAGATGTCATCAAAGAGCATGTAAACACACTCGGATTCCACTCATGCAGGGATAAGAAACACTTCCCTCTCTGGACCTAACTGACCCAACAGCAGGATTTCAAAGTAAAATCATCGACTACAGTCTGAAGCAACCACTTTAAATACGGCCAGCCATATCCTGATGAACTTCACCCATCTTTACTTTTGAGAGGATACGACCTTCCTGAGACACTGAAAAGAGCACCGGTAAAGAGGCGAGCATTGGATCTCACAACACCACTGCCGGCCATCTGAGAAAATCAAAACTTTGCTGTACCTTTTCTTAAGTTTTTATTTATTTTGTTCATTCTTACTCAAGGTTTGTATGCAAAATAAACCAAATTATAAATGGCATTAACCTACATGTACATGAACGGTCTTCACTTATGATAATGATAATAGAAATTATATCAATTGTAAAAGGTTTTGCAGGTTCATAAAAATAAGAGACATGTTTAATTAAAAATAATGTAAATAAAATTTGGAACAAAGTTGCACACAATAAGGATGTAGAAAATGCAAATTGAAATGATCAAGTCATGTTTTATAAAAGTACATGAACATTGTTTAAAAATGCAATTATGACCTGTGTCTCTTGACGAGAGTTGAATTAAAAGTAAAAAAAAAACCTGGAAAATTGAAAATAAAACTGGCAAATGCAAGCCTACTCGAGTGTCATAACAAGAGTTGTATGAACAGTTGTCAAAATATCAAGGAATATGGCCTACGTCCCTCAAATAAAAAAAGCCGAGTCTCAAAACAACAGTTGGAATAAATAGGTGAAAGTAATTGGCAAATATGAGCTGTGTTTCTTAATTAAAAGCTGGCAATATTTGAGCAGATTCTCGTAAAAAGAGTTGGATAAAGTTTAAAAACTTGGCAAATATGACCTGTGTTTCTTATATAACCGGTAGCCCCAATATTGGCACAAATTTACTCGGACGAATACAAGAAAACCTGTTTAACATAAAAAAACAAACCAATTTATAAAATACACAACAGTTATTCACATGCATGTACACATGTAACTAGGTAGGCATGTTGGCTTAAAAATTTTGGCGATCGTGTATCTACGGGCCCGTGACCTGTAAGGGAACAAAATCCACTTTTAAATTATTTGACCTACCAAACAAGTTTGCGATATTAAGAACATACAGGTATAGGTATGTCATAGATAAAGAGCACGTTTTTAATTTTTTAAGGGAATTTTTTTCTGGGGGGGGGGGGGGGAGGGGAAATGAAGATGATAACGACAAAAGGCAACACGGAAATAAAGATGTACCGTGAATGGCAAGGCGCACTGAATCGCACTGCACCACTGTAAACCGCGTAGGAAAATCATCATTTCAACTCCGAGAAACTGTTCAAAAATTACACAAAAAGGTCATTATATTGAGAGAAGTCTGCTCTAGGTTGACAAGGTCATTTTGAGTAGTAAAAAACACTCTTGACTCTAATTTTATCGAAACCAAACGGGCCCTACACTACACGATCGCTGAAAGTTTTCGTGTGTGATCGCAGCCATCATTTTGTGTTGGTTGCGCGATGCGCGCTTCAACATCCGGGACTGCAAAATAGTTATGCTCCGTTTTGCATCCCATGATGCTTTGCAACAGGGCGCCCTCTGTTGGTAGCAATCTATTTGCGATAAACCTTATACATGTAGGTTAGGGTTTTTATTTTTTAATTTTTGTTTCTCTTTTTAGGGAAATTTGGGGGAAAATGACGATGAAGATGACAAAATGCAACACGCAAACAAAGATGGTGATCACATGGCATGAATTTGCAAAAGCTTGTTGATTCGCATAACATCACTTGTAAAATGTGTAAGCAAATCATATTTTCCACCGAAAGATAGGCCTACTGTTCAAAATTCCCAAAAAATTGTGTCATTTTCTAATGACACAAGTTTTTCATTTTATTGAAACTAAGAGAAATCCGCTTTAGCCTGGAATTTGAAAACAGTGAACATGGTGGAAGAGTCATTTTTTCAATGATAAAAAACACCCTCGACTCTAATTTTATCGAAACTAAAGAAGGGCCCTAGGCTACAAATACACAATCACCACGGATGTAACATGGCATGATTGATGAAAACATAGGCGTCAGTATTACGTAACACTAAACACCTAAACAGAGTTACAATACATGTCATGCACGTACTACTAAGTACTATTGAATGACACGGACACTGTGCATGGCTTATTCCTTTCCTCCATAATTATGAATGTGTGCGTGACATGTTTGCATTTCACTTCAGAAATCTCTGTTGCACTAAGACCAACAAAACGTACACTTCTGCTTCTTCATCATTACCTTAAGAAAGCCAAAAGAGAAAGCTTTCGATGAAACACACAATCACAGGACCACCACGGCACCAGCCACGACGAGTTGCACGTAGACCTAAATCACAACTTCATGAAGTGTTTACGGTAAACTAACCACGTGTGTTTTAAAGGGACGCTGTGGAATTTACGCGGGAAAACATTCGCGGGTATCCTGCGCAGCTGTCTGCAATGTGGGAAACGAGGAGTGGAGACCGGCGGATCAGATCGGAGCAAGGACCCGACGACCGTTTTATGTAACATTGGAAATTCAGGCCACACTGTCCGAGTTGAGAAGGCGATAAAGTTTCTTCACGGCTGCAATAATGCGAAGAGAATAAAAGTTTAACTTAACTTGAGTGACCGATGTGACCTAACTGAATGAGTATTTGAATCACGAGTTGTTTTTCTTTGGATGGGCCAACTATTTCCCAAAACCCGCACTAAAGCTGGATTCCTCAGTATTGTTAAAATTGGTGCATGTTTGTCAAAGCGGAATAATATATGTTTTCCCGGCTATTTTAAAACATTTTTCATTCAAATTCACCAACTTTAACATTCAATTTCGTCCGAGAAAAATTTCGCACACTTTTAGTCATTTAGGCCATATACCATTCAACAGAGGTGGCAGCAAGTCATTTTTTGCAAGTCCAAGTCAAGTCACAAGTCATTAGGTCCAGTCACAAGTCAAGTCACAAGTCATTTGGTCTAAACACAAGTCAAGTCACAAGTATCTTTGTCCAAGAACACGTCAAGTTGCACATTATTTTGTCCAGCTGTAATAAGCTAAAAGAACCTGGCGTCAACTTACGAGTTATTTTGAACATGCCTCCTTAAATCCCCTTTTTCAATGTGTTGCAATTACTATTCAGGTAGTTTATCACATATCTGTCGGATAGTAGCCCTTTGTATACTTTAATAAATTTACTTAACATTGTAGAAATAAATGTTGAGATGACATGAAAAAAAAACTTCACTCACTCGATTACATGTAGTATACTAACACTTTATTGTTCAATTTTCATGTATACTAAACGCCGACCAATGTGTTAGGCTATCCGGTATTTTACATGCAATTGACAAAGGCCTGCTTGAAAAGAATTTCATGAAAGGTTCCTTTCAAAGTTTGTTCAACCATTACATTAAGCAAGAGACTTGGTCATTGAAAACTGTAGTTTGTTGTGACAGTCTTATTGAAAACTTTTGAAACTAGTGGGAACTATTCATTTTACTGGATTCAGTCACTGAGGTCTATTTTCTGAAATGAAACTTTCTCGCTGCAACTATAAACTGCATTTATAAACACCTTGAGTGGCCTTTTTAGGCCTTGTGTTGGGCGAATTCAATTGAAAAAAATCTATTTTTTCATGTACCAACTGTTACACTTCAAATAAACAAGATTTGATAGCATAGTATCACTCAACTTTGCTCTGTGTGGCCTCATAATTATTCCTCCATGACTGAATACACGTTCGATGGAGGAGCTAGTAGCAGGAACAGACAGCACCCTCAAAGCAAGAGGAAAGAGTCTGGGGCATGGGCGTCGCGAGGGGGGGGGGGGGGGGGGGGGGGGGGGGGGCAAGGGGGGGGCACTTGCCCCCCCCTCAAAGCAAGAGGAAAGAGTCTGGGGCATGGGCGTCGCGAGGGGGGGGGCAAGGGGGGGCACTTGCCCCCCCCCCCCCCCCCCTGGAAAAGCAAAAAAAAAAAAAAAAAAAAAAAAAAAAAAAAAGGAAGAAAAAAAAGAAAAGAAAAGAAAAGAAAAGAGACTCGAAGACAAAGTGGTGTAAATTTAATAAGTTGGGGGGGGGGGCAAAATGTCCCTGCCCCCCTCTAAAACTGATAAATCGAGAATGTGTTGAGAAATACAAGCATTTTTTGGCAAATTTTTTTTTTTGCCCCCCTCTAAAAAAAATCCTGGCGACGCCCATGGTCTGGGGAGGCTGTTCTTATTTACCAACCAGAAGTGCAGGCAGGCATTACGCAACGTAACAACTCAGCTCACTGATATGATCTACAGCTGCAGCTGGGCGAAGTAGAAACCGCGCAAAGTCCGTTTTTTAATGCACGTAAGGCGTAAACCGAATAGCTAATTAAAAGTATAATAGCTTAATTAAAGTGTATTGGGTCGCTCGAGTAGCGTCTGACTTGGGTTGGTAACAAGTCATTTTTTGCCATCCCAAGTCAAGTCACAAGTCATTGTTTGCAAGTCCAAGTCAAGTCACAAGTCAAAGCTGGTATTTACAAGTCAAGTCACAAGTCACAAAAATAGCGACTCGAGTCCGACTCGAGTCCAAGTCACATGACTCGAGTCAGCAACTCTGCCATTCAAAGCGGTCACCATCTTTAGTCATTGTCATTACAGATCATGATTCGTCCAAGCGGTTGCCGAATGGCAGCATTCAGGAAAACCTACATGGGAATCGAACATTTACCGTAACGCGTACAGGATTTCCAAACACAAAGGGCATTACTTGTCACATTCTTGTGAATGGTCCGGCCCGTATAGTCGGCTACAACTTCATTCACATTCTGAGCTCAAACTGACTTTGATTTGATATCAGAATCCTTCCTGAAGTTGATACAACCGCCACTAAAAGCTCAGCACGTGAGACAAGACTATAGGGCCTAGTCTCCATCTGCCGAAGCCATCGCTCCAATTGGTCTTATCTTTTTGATATCTTTATTGTCATATAGTTCGAATGCCTTAAATCGATGTCAATGACGTCCTAATTATGGAGTCATCAAATGAATAAGCAACGTTTCAGGCCCAATTTCATTGTTTGTTGTCTGCGTAGGCCTACAGGCCTATAGGTCCTTGGATAAATTCGATGGGAGATATTTGGAGCGAGGTTTTATCGCCAAACTTTGCTCGGTTGTAGTTCATCCTCAAACGTTTCTAATCGAAAATGAAATTCAACAACACAAATCTTACTTAACGATTACATATGATGCTTATTTTGGTACAATAATGGATGTTCCTGTAAAAAAAAGGAAGTCTTCTTTTTACGGGAAACATCATTTTTAGTGAGTTGTGACGGTTAGGCCTACAAGGCCAGTTATTGTGGTAAAAAATGTACGAAAAATAAATATGGCGATCGACCATTTTGGTTTGTGTTTTCTTGTCTATGGCCTGTAACTGCATGCAACCACAAATTTGAAAATTTATCATGTCAAACACGGCCACATGCCATGATGATCAGTTTCATATCGAGTAAAAAAGTTAAGTAATGCGCACACGAACACGGAAATACATCTTGCTTTTACTTTCAGCAAGAACGCCTTCCTGAAAACGATCACCAAAAACTAAGAAAAGATCACCCAGTTATGTGATCAGTATACATGTATTTCCTTTTGCAAATTCACCACGATTATCAAACATCACCCGTTAATTTTAAGCTTAGGATTAGTGGAATTTCATGATAACGATAATAATTGTGAATGATCCAATTTTTTCTTAAATCGTTTTTTTTTCACAGTGCTTGTCAAAGAAGAATTGCCCATGGCTGCAAATCATAAGACACGTACACATGATCTCAAAACTTATCTGCTTCAGGGAATATCAAAAGTGAAAACAAAGGAAACATGAAGCAAGATCAAAATCGAAACACATTCTCTTAGCTCGTTTTTCAGGGCGGTAAAGTTTCTTTTCATTAATGTTCTTCGATATAATATGACCTTTCAATCATATCCAGGCTGAATTTGTCTTTGATATCAGAAATCTGTTGGATAAAAGAGTGCACACATTAGCAGATGACAGAATCCATGGAGGACGACTTCCAGCAAGATCTTGACAAAAGTCTTCTAACTGCAAAAATCGTTCCACCAATCGGTCTTATCTTAAATATCGTCTTCCTTTTTGTCATAGTTCGAGTGAAATCGATGCGAACAATCATTAATGTCTACCTAACCAACCTCGCAGTGGCCGACTCCATTTTTCTTATTATAAGACTGGCTTTCTCATCAATACCTCTGGATAACGAAAGGGATATTGCGATTTTAATTATATTTACATCGTTGAACGCCACAGGGCGTTACGCTTCTTTCTGTTTTGTGACGGCCATAGCAGTAGAAAGATTTGCAGGTGTGCATCACCCAATAACATTCCGATCGTCTGCTAGTAAAACAAGGGCTGCCAAGATATCTGCAGGACTTTGGGTTCTATCATTGTTTTGGGGAGTGATTACATCCCTTCTCGTGAACCACTTTGCATCATCAGCGTATAATCCAGTTAACTACTTAATATATTACATATTATACAACACCTGAATAAATCCCCGTCATCTGATTGGTGAATTGTAGATCACGTGACATATTATTATTCGGTATAATGCACGGTGCGACCATGCGTTATACCCATGCGTTATACCGTTTCACTTTGCGCTTGTTCCATGACGCGGTATTTGCGTGCAAAATGCATGCTGGTGTGCGCGTTCAGCGTAGCGCGTATTGTTCCAAAGAGCCAGCGCTACAGCGTTGGGTTCAAACATTTTCGTGAAGGGGTAGTTCAACATCTTTAAAATCAAAATAAATTGTAGTTTATATTTTACCAATCAAATGACGAGAATTTATTCTGGTGTTGTATAAAACAAATAACGAATGTTTTACGTTCGTGCGATGGAAAGAATAATTTCATTCGGTGACAGATTGAATGTTCTATTCCACTCGGCTTCGCCTCGTGGAATAGAACATTAAATCTGTCACCTCATGAAATTATTCTTACCATCGCACTCACAAACATTCGTTATTTGTATACTGTCACTGATATTCTATGTATCAACTTTTGCAGTCACCGTGTCTATGTACACATACATTCTGATAAAGCTACACCATCAAACGACTGCCTCAGAGCAACATCAAAAGCCATTCGGCAAGGTTGCTCGTATGCTGGTGATTAACACTGCTGTGTTTTGCCTTCTAAATTTAGTTCGAATCACCTGGACAATTCTTTTGATTATAAAAAATGTTCAAGAAAGCAAAGTAAAATCTGCAGTCAAACTAACTTTATGTGCAGCCATCTTAGATCTGATCAACAGTTCCATCAATACCCTTGTCTACAGCACCACCAACTCAAACTATCGAGCTGCTGTAGTTGAAGCATTCTCTTTCCTAAAGCTTGCTCGCTGCTGCAGCAAGAGAAAAACACATAAAAGGCCAAAGGTGGTGGTGTTTGAAAAGAGAAAATTAACAGCAACCAGGCCAAAAGATGAGCGAGAACTGTCTGCAATTGGGCCAAAGGATGCTGCTCAAGAAGTTGTACAGGAGCAGATAGAACTGTCTGCAATTGGGCCAAAGGATGCGGCTCAAGATCTTGCACAGGAGTGGATAGAACTGTCTGCAATTAGGCCAAAGGATGCGGCTCAAGATCTTGCACAGGAGTGGATAGAACTGTCTGCAATTAGGCCAAAGGATGCGTCTCAAGATCTTGTACAGGAGCGGATAGAACTGTCTGCAATTGGGCCAAAGGATGCGTCTCAAGATCTTGTACAGGAACAGATAGAACTGTCTGCAATTGGGCCAAAGGATGCGACTCAAGATCTTGTACAGGAGCAGATAGAACTGTCTGCAATTGGGCCAAAGGATGCGTCTCAAGATCTTGTACAGGAGCGGATAGAACTGTCTGCAATTGGGCCAAAGGATGCGTCTCAAGATCTTGTACAGGAACAGATAGAACTGTCTGCTATTGGGCCAAAGGATGCTACTCAAGATCTTGTACAGGAGCAGATAGAACTGTCTGCAATTGGGCCAAAGGATGCTACTCAAGATCTTGTACAGGAGCAGATAGAACTGTCTGCTATTGGGCCAAAGGATGCTACTCAAGATCTTGTACAGGAGCAGATAGAACTGTCTGCTATTGGGCCAAAGGATGCTACTCAAGATCTTGTACAGGAGCAGATAGAACTGTCTGCAATTGGGCCAAAGGATGCTACTCAAGATCTTGTACAGGAGCAGATAGAACTGTCTGCAATTGGGCCAGCGTCAAAGGATGAAGCTCAAGAACTTGTACAGGAGCAGATAGAGCTGTCCTCAACTGGGCTAAGGGAAGGTGGCAATGTACTACTAGCAGAGTAGATTTGGCCAAGAGAAGGAGAATCAACACAATACCACCTGGTGTGAGGTAAACTAAACATGTTACTGTTTTCCTCTGAAATCGAATGCTGCCTTATCATTCAATAGTCAAAAGGAGTCATTTGATTGCATTTATTGACATTCTGTTGACATCCAGTTCATTGAAATCTAAAAGGTTGTCAGGTTGAATCAATTTCATCAAAGCTATGAATATTTTCATCCCTTCAAAATGTTGTTAAACCATTTTACCATGACTTTTCCTTGAATGTTATGTTTTCTGAGATTTTCAGCAAATTAAGAAATTCTTAATCAAATGCCCCCCAGATACTTTGTCGAGGGAACCGTGAACATACATGTATCCTGGCTGCATTATCTCATCCTGTCTGATCATTGTCCCCATAGGGGGAATTCGGACATTCAATCCCATGAGAAATCTCGAACATCTACCATTTATTTGTATCTTTCAATTTTTTTAAAAATAATTGTGAAGTTTCACAATTTAATACTTTTCATACAAAACTGTTGTGGAAATACATGGCAGTTGGAGATATTCACAGTATTCACACATTTTAACCCTCATCAATTCCGCCGCAATGGTTTCATGACATCAACTTCTCTTTATAGTCAGATTTTTCGTGAAATGTGTTTCCACCTTCACTTACATGCAGTTTAATGCTTGTAGAAAATTTATACATTGTAAGTACAAACAGTGTGCACTACTCACAAAATGCTCAGGTAGTTAGGACTAGTAAGTGGCATGCTCACCTACACAAGCCTTATTGCAGGCAATGGAATATTCACTGTAAGTAGTATAGAGATATTTCACATTAACATTGAAATGGACGGCTACAGTGCTCTCATTTTTGGTTAGGATTGAAGAAGGAAGAAATTCCCAGTCTCATAGTAAGCACTGCAGCCGCAGCTTGGTTGCTTGTTTGAAATTCATCTATTGATGCTGGTAGTAAGGGAACCCAACTTCAAAAATAAATAGCACATGACTTTGCCAGCAGTTCAAAGTAAAGGAGCACATCATGAGTGAATGATTTGAACCCTTTGGTCACTCCACTATCCAAAACTGCTCAAGATGTTGGGCATCAAGGTAATATACATGTACATGGTAGTTTTGGGTGGTGCAGTGGACTCGGTGTATCAACACAAATCATTACAGTTACTTAGGGGGGTGTGTGGCCTAGTGGTTAGGGTTCGTGACTCATGATCCGAGGGTCCCGGGTTCGAATCCAGCCGCTGGCCATATATTGTGTCCTTGGGCAAGGCACTTCACCCCCACTTGCCTCTCTCCACCCAGGAGTATAAATGGGTACCGGCATTAGCTGGGGAGTAATCCTGCGACTGGCATCCCATTCAGGGGGAGTAGAAATATTCTCAGTCGTTTCATGCCAAGGAAACCGGAGATAAACACCGGCCTGATGAGCCACATTGGCTCGGGACAGACTTTACTTACTTTTTACAGTTACTTAAGTACTTAAAGGCATACATAGGATCAGTCGCTTCTCATACGTTTTGTTCGTTTCCAATAAGAGCACCACTCAAAATCCGAAGCAGACTGTTCAAAATGTAACCTGTTGAAGTTTAAGCACAATGGATATTACACTTTTTGAGAAAACATTGAAAACATTTTCACAGCCTTTTGATCACGTAACAGGATTTTGTCCATATCACTCTTTATTTCCAAAAACCAGTCAATTGACTGAGTGGTTGTGCACATGTTTCTCTGTTTACTCTGTTTTCAGTTGTCACGGAGCTGTTATATGCCCCCTCTTAATATTTTGAGCAATTTGTGGCTCCAACTTAAAAAAGTGCACAAATAACATACGATTGTATTTCCTTTCACTGCAAGAACTTCCAGGATGATGATATTGTATGCACAGGGATCAGCTCAAATAATGACTAGACATGATTTCAATGGCAACATGTCATATCAATCAATGCATGATAAGACACACCCTTCCATAGCAAGACAACTGTTCAGAGACTGAGCAGACTTGCTAGTCTGAGTTCTGTGAGTCTAGCAGCTTGTCGTTCAGACTCCATAGCCAATGTTAAGTCTTGAAGACTTTGCTCCAAACGTGGTGGGCTTGCTGGGGATTTAGACGAGGAATCCGTTTCAGTCCTGCCATCTTGTGATGTCATTTCATTTGTGCCATGAAGCCACTGCTGTAGTAGGTCATCAAACCTTTGGGGAAAAGACCAAAAAGAATGTGTTAAGTCACATTTTGTTATGATATCAAATCATGAGTTATTAAAATGGCCATTTATTATAGATTCTTCACACAGATATGCCATATCTGTACACTGTGCTTTATTGAGTAGACATTCAGTTGGCAGCCAAGTGCATAAATTTGGGGGGGGGGATTAAAAAAAGTGGATCACTTTTAGGAAATAAATCACCATTTTGCGCACTGGTCTCAAGACAAAGTTTTGTTCAAAAATTCAGTGATGAACTGGTGTATTTTTAAACACTTAACTTAGCATTGAGTAAACCAGGTTGAACAAATTTGGAATTCTCAATCACTTGAAAGTTTGTGACAAAAATCAACACAAACTTTTTAGATTATTGAAAATAAATTGGCATCTGAAACTACCCTACTCAATAAAAATAACTCTGATTTTCAGCAAGACTGAAGGTTCAATGATCTTACATTTTGGATTCTTCTTTTGCAGATGACAGCACAGTCTTGACAGCTTGAGCTGACTCCTTGGCATCAACAGCATACAATGGCTCCCTGTCCAAGACACTGACTGCTGGTTTCCTGATGTCCTTCATCTCAATCATTGTTGCTTCCAGTTGCCTCTCCATAAACTCTGTCTGCTTTTGTTGAACTACAGCGGCTACCTGGGATGCAAATCTAGACAATATCATGGGCAAAAGTCATCATAATCCAGATAAAATATAAATCAAGGTTTTGAGAGACTCTGACTCAAAAGTAAGGTTATATGTCCCATTGTTCTATACATACAAGCAATGGTAACTGTCATGAATCTTAATTGCAAATAGACACTTTTAGTAAGTACGACTATTCATAACATCAAACAAAGTTTGTCAGCTTTTCAATAACAGAACTATTAAATATAGGGGTTGTGATTGATGGTAACTTTGTCATTTTGTGAAAATCCTGCTGTCTTAATATATATAATCAACGTGAATGCAATATAATCAATGTGCACTAGTGAATCACTTAATTACAAGCAAAGTATACAATTGTAAATTTTGTAGATTATAATAATAATAATAATAGTGGATATTTATAAAGCGCACGTATCCACCAGGACTGGTGCTCAAGGCGCTACATCATTATTACCCCTGCTCATTGGGCACATGAAACATTCCAAATACCATCTCAGCTCCCTGGGGAGTATACAGCTCGATGCAGCCTGTTAGGCGCAAGGAAGCTAATTCAATCGCAATAACCATCTCTGCCCTCACAGGTACCCATTTACTCCTGGGTGGAGAGAAGCAACGAGTGACAAAGTGCCTTGCCCAAGGGCACACGCACCATTATGACAAGATTATGACAAGCATTTTTTCATAATGGGTATTTCTTTAAAAGTGGTAACTGCAAACAATTGCTCTTCCATTATACATGTGTCATCTGCATGAAATTCCGCTCAATATATATCACTAAAAATCATAAATGTGATTAAAATGTGTGGGCTTGACCTTTTAAGGACATACAGTTTCTGACAAGGTTGATTTCCTACCTTGGAGGTTGAAGGAAGCTGTCTTCTGTCGTTGTATGAAGAGCTTCTTTCCAGGTCTGAGGGATCTTGAAACTATCAAACTCGCTCTGAATGTAGTAAACAGTCATTTGCTTGCCTTCATCACCGTCTGCTGAACAAAGTAAACAGTGAATTCTGGTTTGATTTTTGATTCTGCACTCATCAACACTTTTATTCCTCACCACAAAATACGATCAGAAGTTATGGGTGACAGATTTGAATATGTTTAACCAGTTCAATAAAGAGGTTCATTTTTAAATAAAAATATATCAAGATGAAAATTTCATTTCATTTCATATCATTTTTATTTTGCCAACTGATACAAACAACACAAAATATATAACAACAGTATAAAAATACAGTACACTAATAATACCAAAAAAAAACCCAAACAAAACAAATCAAAAACTGTAAAAACTGATACTAAGTACAAGATAGCAAAGTGACAAATGGGAGGGTGACAGCTGAGGAACAGTATACAAATATTGACTGCTTCGAGTGGTGCAGTAAAACTAGCCTCCCGAGGTGATCCATGAAGCATTCTTCGCCTCGGGAAAATAGAATACTCCATGGATAACAGAGGGAGGCTATAGAGCTTTACAACACCACGAGATAAAGCAGTCAATATTTGTTTTATAACACCTCTCCCACAGATTCTGCTTGATTTTACGCGATAACTGATTAATTTAATCAAAAATAAAATTAAAATGTACTTCAACTTGAATACGAAATTAGTTGAAAGTTTACTTGCAATGTTCCAAACTACCCCTTCACAAAATGTTTGAACCCAGCTCTGCAGCGCTAACGCTTGGGACAAATATACACGCAACGCACACACCCATGTATGCAATTGACATGGTGTACACTGCAAACGAGATGAACATAGATAAACAGCTGTCTGTTGTTGCTATGCAATATATGTGGTTACTATGCCCCAATAGACTGATCCACTGACCCTCCTATTTTAACAGTCACAGATAGCCAAAATGTCCTTCCACTTCCCCTTGTTATACTTTTAACAAAGGCTAGTCACCAGCAGTCAGATCATATGTCAAGCAAGCACTGTGACTAGTCAAACTCAGTCAACAGACCATGAACAGACAAAGCAGGCAAGTTGTGGTCACAACTGTTCTATCACTAACCTGGAGTTAATAGCTGTATCAAGTTACTTAAACAGTCCCAGCTACATGTAGTCAATCCTGCTTTCTGTAGGCTGGGAATTTTTAACTGTTGAAAACAGTCAGTTGATTAATTTTGACTGAAAGGACAACTTGAAACAGAAGTATGTTTGCATAGGAGGGTTAAGAGCCAGCCACTGTGCAAGTGAGTAACAACATGTGCAGCTATTCAATGCCACGCTACATGTGCCAGCCACGCGTGTCGTACACATGTGAATGCATGTCACATTGTTGTGTCACTGATCACGACTGTGTACAGTCATAATCATCTTCTGGCTTACAATACATGTATATCAGTCTATTGGGTTGCTGTAGAGAGGCAGACTTCAGAGGATTTGGGAAGGTTTCTGCCCAAAGTACCCACAGAGTCAGATTGTCTAGTACTTACTAAGGTCATGTGACTGTACAGTAGACATAACATAGTCGATACATTCCTGTATGATTCTTGTCCATGGTACGTGGCCTGCCATTGGCTCACAGCCTGGTGCATCATAGGCTAGGTAGCAGGTATCTTCAAAGCTACGACGACATTTCTCAAGTAGTCTCTGAACTCTGTCAATTACAAAAAAACACCCAAGGTACAACAATGTGCTATTCAGTGCTAGTCTATCACAAATCCACCGTAAGTCCAGTCCAAAGTCAATCATGAGTCAATTCACACGTCTGTTAAAACTAGCAGGGGAGGAACAGTTACAATGGAATGCTGTTGTCACAGTCCACATAAAAAACCTGTGATTTGACTGAGATGGACAACCTGTGATGGACTGGTGAGAACTTGTTATGGCCTCGACTACAACAATGGTTCAGTTTTTAAATATGGTGTTTAAGAAACAACTAGTTCAAAACAGATCTGTTCAGGACGTTGGTGTCTGGCCATCTGAAAAATTCATCTCAACATTTCTAAGGCTTTGGAGAAAGTAAAGAACATTTTATGTCATGCTAATACTACATGTACATACCACATGATGTAATAAACAGTAATTTCAGTGAAGATATACCGTTTGATAAACTTATAATAACTCCTTCACTTGACTTAGCACATTGTTACTGTAAACAGCCTACAAGCAAGAACCAAATGACTGAATGAACTTTGATGCCTGACATTTATTTGTTTATGATCGAGGCTGTAAGAAAACTGAAACAAGCACACCTTTTTTTCACATTTTTTGTTTATTTCTATTCTTACCTTGCGAAGAGAGGTGCTTTACCCCTATGACTGCCAGGAATGGTGGCAAGGTATCCATGACACAGATCACACACACGCTGCCATTCATCTGTTGAAAGTCAATAATGATTTAACATGTTCAGAGGTGTAGTCTGAAATTCCACAAACAGTTTATGGGATAATCAAGCCAATCTAATTTGAAATTCATTACTGATGTGATACCCACGCTTGTACAAATTATCTGAGATGTAGTTGAGTTCAACACAAGTCCATCACAAGTCCTGCAGTCCCAATTCAACTCACAAGCTAATCACATGCACTGTGACAAGGTCATTCCTTATTTATCGTTCATCCATTGTTACTTGTGACTGATCCATGAACGGACTTGTGATGGACTCAACTACATCCCTGCAAATTATAAGTGTGCATTCCATAACGCAGTCACACCTTAAAATTTAAGAATGCATGCTTCATGCACTTGAGCATGAGAGCACCCCAGTTATGGGGCACCGAAGTGTGACGTCATTTACAACCAGAAAATGTAGTGCAAACGAATGGAGTACGCGCGCGTGTTGGTTCATGTTCTAAATAACGCCCTTAATGTCTTTCACACAAATTTTGTGCGCGTGACCTATTCATTTCAGTACTCCATAGCTACAAAATGTGTTGATGAATAGTTTATAGCATTAAGCATTAAAAGTTGTTTGAAACTGGATAAATATATCCAAAAGAATTCTTGTCCTTGTCAGATACAGCACAGAAAGAGTTTTGCCTAATTTTACAAGTTTATATGAAAAATGCCACACTTCAGTATTTCGTAACAGATGATACTAAGTTAGTGAGGTTTTGTCATCATTTACTCTTTGCTAGCATATTCAGCATGGATCTAGCAGATACCCTGTGGTTTGTAATACTGCTTGTTTGGCCAATCCTGGCTTAACCCAAAGTCCATGTCCTGCCGGAAACCACCTTGCCTGTTACTCCTTATACCGCCCAAAATGGCTAACAGCACTCTATGGTATCGTTTCGGTTTGCGGTAACACCATGTTGTAATAACTACCGCTTAGAAGATATTAGTTCTGAGAAGAACTTGTCCTGCTTATTATCAACTTTGCTAAGTAGTTTTATTGTTCTGATAAGAATATCTTCTAAGCAGTAGTTATTACCACATGGTGTTACCGCAAACCGAAACGATACCGATACCCCACCATGCAAAGCCTCAAATCTTATAGCACTCTATGGTATTTATGAATCATCAAAGAATCTATACAGTGTAGTACGATGTAATAAAATGCTACAGTGTTAAGCAAGATTCATGTCTTTACATACCATCCTCATGAACCAATGGGAGAGCAGGGAGTATTAGTGACAGCATCCTATCTCGTAGTAGCTGCATGGTGTCGGAGGCATTCCAGTCAGGATCTGGAAGCTCTGTAAATCACATCAACGAGCCAGAGTTATAATGACTCCAGCTAACAAACTCACATGACTCAACTCAAGATGTAATTCATGGTGACTCATTCCAATACTTGACTTGAATCTCAACATTCAATGGTATGTTATGACACCATACTGAGCAAGTCTGGAAATTACTCAATCATATGTCATCTGGTTCTCAATCTATCTCCTCATTCCCTTCCATATTCCTTGTCATAAAGACAAAACATAATGCAAGATTTAAATATAGAAGTCCCCAATTTATTCTGGACTTTACAAATTCTTTTTCCACATGCTCTTCACTGATTATCAGGTTGGAAATGAGCTTTTAACAAGAAATTCCATGAAAAAAAATCATGCACACTATTGGTAACTCATTTGTACATCTGATGGGTAACATATTACAATAATTAAAAGGTTTAGCCTCAGGTAAGTTGATGTACCGTCCATGACATTTTAATTCTCCACCCAATCTATGTGGGGTGCTGTGGTCCAATGGTTATGGTGTTCGACTCGTGTGCCGTGGTACATGGGTTCGAATCCTGACCGTGGGAACATGGTGCTTGCGCTCCTGAGCAAGGCGCTTTACCATTATTGCTTCGTCCTTCGGATGGGACGTGAAGCCGTAGGTCCCGTGTGTTGTGTAATGCACGTTAAAGAACCCAGTAACACTTATCGCTAAGAGAAGGGGTTTGCCCCGGTGTTTCTGGCAGTGGCTGCTTAATGCGCCGCAGCACCTTGTAAACCATTATAAAGGTGCTACATAATGGTTCTCATATTTCTCATGTACCTGTCTCTAATAATAGACATAATTTCCAGCGCCTTGAGTACCTAATTGTTGGTAGATACGTGCGCTATATAAGACTTCGGTATTATTATTATTATTATTAGAAGCACAAAAATGATGGTTTAGATTGTTCGTTTAGTTATGGAATAATTACTTTATCACTTTCCAATTATTTTGCAGCCAGACAATAACGCAGTTCTCACAGGGTAGACTGGTTCTGGTCCCCTATCAGAATCAATAATGAAGGGAATGGGAACCAGTCTAGTAACAAGGTGGATATATTTATTCATAAGGTAACCCAAATCAAATAAAAAAAATTCAGAGGGCTGCAGACACTCAAAATAGAAATAAAACCTTTTCTTAGAATAAACATTTATGTGAAATTTAGTACAGGAGAAAACAAATCTATTTTGTTAAACAGCGCGGACATTACATCATTAAGTGATACAATTATCAGTATTGAATGTAGCACCATGCTGTACCTGTCTGATTATCCGTCTTGGTAAACTCTGTAGGTGGCCAGGAGAGAGAAGTCAGGGTACTACTGCTTGCTACATCAGCAAGGTGCCTGACTGTAGCATTGTACAAGTCAATCACATGATGACAACCCTTCATATAGAGAGAAACAATTGAAAATGAACAATTTAATGAAAATCAGCATCAATTACATCATGTGTAGGATTCATGGAACAGATTTGTAATGCTGCTGTGCAATGTAATGATTATTTATAGGTATAAATAATCGTTTTCACAAAACTTGATGTGGCTGTGCAAAGTTGATGGACAAGATTAATTCCAGCTTCCAAGAGCTATTGTTTTCACATCAGTCAAAAAGATAGTTTTGAAATAATTTCCTCAGAATTGGGTGGCATATTTCAAAATCATTACCCTCAGCACATAACTTTGTATTTCTTGCATAAACCTTTTAAATAATCACAATTCATAAAATGGTCCATGTTCAGTTTGCATATTATAACTTACACCAGCTAAAACATGTGTAAGGTTAAGCCAATGTTTAGCGTATCAGTTGTAGACTTGTACACTGTGCATCTTTTGTGAAACATGCCAAAACTTGTTGCACAATTGCATAAAGTTTCATAAAATTAATTGGCTGCAGGCTTTCTCATACGTGAGTTGTTACATATAACATCATGATGTACCTGTTCAGGAAGACCAGCATCCCGTCTTGTCCTGGCATCTTCATGGAGTGGTAAGCTAAAGAACTCGGTCATCCCAGTATCTAGGTAACCCTTGAGAGAGTCCTCAGATAGCTGGGGAGGCTGGGCACAACGTGAGGCAAGCCATTCTAGGCACTCACCCAACTGCAACCGTGAATGATGGACAGACATTTATTAACCAATGTCAAATGTCAAATGTTGATGTTGTAATCTGAAACTTGGTAACATGGTAAACCTTGCCACGGGGTGTTTTCCTGTGCATATTGTTTTATTCCCTATGGCTCATGGGGTGAACTGTCTTGTAAAATAGTGTTCATGGAGTTATGAAAGGATGCACAATACAAAAAGAAGCAGCTGTGATTGGACCTGCAACAAAACCCATTGCATCATTGAATTAGTGAAAGCAGTAACTGTGACTTGAATTGACAGCAGCCTTCATATATTGTCTCTGTTGAAAGTATAGATATGCACAAAGCGCCATGAGGTACGGGATCATTTGTTGTCAAAGTACCATGGGATAACAATAACAAATGAATGCCTAGTCACGGTTCATTTGAACAGCATGTGACTTGACTTGGGACTGGAGGACTTGTGATGGACTTGACTACAGCACTGCCATGGCCTGGTGTAGTGACACCCAGCCAAAATCTGTACAAATAACAGTCATGCACAAGGTGCCCTAGTTTTTTGTAAACTGGTCTAACTACAGAACTTTGATAAATTCTGCATTGAATTCAAAAAGCCAATTAGGCTTTCTTGTTGTGATAGATAGATAAATTAGGCTTTCTTGTGATAGTTGCAATAAGTGGCACTGACGTTATTATTCAAATGTGATTTACATTACCTCTTGGTTATTGACTGGATCCTCTACATCACCATTCAGCTGCATGAAGCAATATGAAGACACTAATCCCATCTGAGACAGCCTATGGAGTCCGAGCCTCTCCACACACATGCTCTGAGCATGCTCAGTAGCTGGCCAATCAAGGAGTGCGATGACTACTGGAGGAGGTGGTGATGTGGGCTTGGCTTGCAAGATGGAGTCCAGCCTGGATTTGGCTTGTTGCCAATAGTTCTAAGGTGGCAAAGTTTGTACATGATTTTTTAATAGAGTACCGAAGTGAATACATCACGTGCACAATTATGTGTGTAAAAGACATTAGTGGTGATTCAGCCCATGAACCAACACACACGCGTACTCCATTCGTTTGCACTACACTTCCCGGCTCTAAATGACGTCACACTTTGGTACTCTATAGTTAAATCCAGTTAAATATTTTGTAAGTTAAATCAAGTGACAACAGAAAGTCAAGTGAACAATACAAAGTACATAGGTTTTACTCAAAAATCTTTTTGAAAATATTCTTGTATGTCCTAAATTGTTTCAAATGGGCAATAATGACTACAAAATGCACATAAGAATTGAATTTAGGAAACCTGAATGACGTCACACTTTGGTACTCTATAGTTAAATCCAGTTAAATATTTTGTAAGTTAAATCAAGTGACAACAGAAAGTCAAGTGAACAATACAAAGTACATAGGTTTTACTCAAAAATGTTTTTGAAAATATTCTTGTATGTCCTAAATTGTTTCAAATGGGCAATAATGACTACAAAATGCACATAAGAATTGAATTTAGGAAACCTGAACATTTCTTTTACACTCTAGTTTCCCACAAACACCCCACAAAACTGATATGCAAGGTAAACTGATGTGAAGGGTTACATCATTATCTCATTGTTAACAGGGCACGCATATTGAATATACACAATTTCTGAGCGAGATTTAAGAACAATTCAGCAGTTCCAGCAAAGTATTGTTGGCCTGCACTAAGTAACAGGAATCTTTGGTTCACAGTTTTTTCCCCAACTGACCTGGTCTTGACTGGGTTGATCCAGTCCAAACAGGATCCCACTGGTTCCTAGCAGCTGATGCCGTGTTTGAGGCTGATGTGTTAGGTCTAGTGACCCTGCCATGACCTTTGTACAGATGCTGAGTGTGCATAGTTGGCTAGGTGAGATGTGGGGGACTTTGCTGGAGTATAGACTCAACGTCTCAACCTGGAGAAGAAATATCAAACAACCAATGTTATCTATAATCCAGCAATCCTAATTTCCCATGATAACATGGCAATAAAAGGAATCATGTATCACACTTTTGCTTTAATGTGATATCATGTTTTGGATCCTGCAATTCATTAGCCCAGAACAGTCAAATGTCAAATCTCTAGGAATTTGAATTTTGACACCAAGTTGAAGCTTGATGTTACCAGTTTTGTTAGGTAGGCCATTAATATTTGCAAACAATGGGATTATCATGCATAACCTGATGAAACTTTGTTTGGCCCTGCGCTCCACCCCCCCCCCTCCCCTTGAAAAAAACCCCTGATATGTTGATTCAAATTTTACCACATACCTGACTATTATCCTCAAGCTGCTTCTTGCGAATTCCTTCAGAAATTCTTCCTCTCTGTAGCTTTGCCGTCAGCCAATCACAGAGCACCTTCTTGTCATGTGACCTACCACTCGGCAAGGAAGCAACTAGTTTCCAATAATGATGCTGTTGCCTCTTGCCTGCCTGTCCAGATGCATGATGGGAATGGAAGGAGTTGCTAAGCATGCTGGGTAGGTCAAGGGGCGACCATGCTTGTTGTTGGCGAAGGTTCTTGAGGTAGTGGACTTTCAGAATGGATCTAGCGATGCTTTCTCTGCCTGTCACAATGCTAGTGGTAACAAGATTTGGGGGTTACACATTTATTGATAAATCTGATGACCACAATTAGAAGACATTACTTCATACACTGTGGCACATTTATGAACCCATCAAGTTGGGATGTCAGTGAAGTTCAAGTGCCCCTAAGTGGTTCTTACTGCTGGGCTGCAATGCGCTCCATACAAGTTTTGTGTAAATTACCAAGAATGACAAGCCTCCTCCCCAAATCCCATTGAATCCAGCCAGACATGTCTTACCCAAACGGTGAGTCCAGCGTGACGTCTCGTCGGTGGTGGCCTTCTGTGACCTCTGACCTCTCAGTTCTACCAGCCCATAGTACCTTCAGTTGCTCAGCAGCTGTTTGGTTGGGCGGTGCAGCAGGGAAGGTCAGTAGGGTGCGCTTGAGATGAATGCGTTTGGTGTAGACCCGGTACCACCTGCCAATCATACATGTTTACTCTATGTTAAAGGCATGGTGCACAAGCAAAAGCAAGTATGTGATATGGCAAAACATCATGTTGCAAATTTTCAATTCACATTTTGACTGGGGAATTGTGTAGCAATTATTTGCTCACAGAGTCTTATTTGCTTTGACCAGTGTCTGACTTACTTTGCTCAGTCTTACCTACTTTGCTCAGTCTTACCTCTATAAGTAGCTCACTGTCTGAACCCTACATTTAGCCAGTTCATTTCTGTAAGGCTGGACGTCTGGATCTATTATCTAAGAACTATTGTCTAGGTTTTTTTCACACATTACAACTACCTGGGAGCAAGCTAACAATAGACATAGTCGTAGCTCTGGAAGCCGTTTTGTGCACGACCTGAGTATCTGGCTATCTATGCCATCACCAATGTCCACACTAACTGTGAAGTATGAGATCCTGAGATCTGAACTTTGAACTATGAACTTTACCTTTGGCCAACCTTACCTCTGCAAGGCCATGTCTGAATCTCTTGTCTAGAGCATGGTCAAGCTGACAATAAACGTAGCCGCAGCTCTGGAAGCCTATTTCGTATACGGTCCAAGTATCTTGCTGTCTGCGCCATCAGCAATGTCCAACCAATCTCTTGGCTGTGAACAATGCACTCTGAACTATGAACCTCATTTTTGGCTAATCTTACTTTAGATAGAAGACTTGACCACATAATACATGTGTATACGGCAATCTCTTGCTTTTAATATCTTATTGGTTGCTATACAATGTGTCTTGGCTGTGATGCTTCCCATAGAGTTTGATTGGTCTACTTCTGCATACTCATGCGTCACGCTTAATGCAATACGTTATTGGTACACACATAGATTTTAAATTATAGGTTGACCCCTACATCACAAGTCAATCTGACAATCGACGCAATGGCCATAATCAGACGTTAAATGGCTGTCCACAATATACCATGTTGAGTCTGTGTTTACCTTTGTAAGTATCTGGCTGTCTGTGCCATCAGTACAGCTCTCTCACTCTCAGCCAATCGTTGGTCTCGTAGCTCTGTCTCTGACTGGATGACCTCAGCAGCTACATGGTGACATTCTGACATGAGGACCTCCTCAATCAGCTCATGATGCAGCTCAGATGTGGCACGCTCAATGCATTCCTGCTTCAGCTGCTGCTCTACAGCTCTGAGAGAGGAAAGGTTTGGAATATGCCAAGTAAATCACTTGGGAATAAAGTATACGTTTTACACAATGTTGTGCATATAGATTTGTATGAGGTCTACGTGGTCGATCTTCATACGCAAAACTGTGATTTCATGTTTAAACAGAAGCTTAAAAACACCCCTTGTTTCAGATTCAAAAGTTACCAGATTTTTTTTCTGTGCTCAATTCTTTTTTTTTGAAAGGAAGGGGGGGTGTTTCTTTACTTTGTTACTCTAGTTCATGTACATGAAATGTCAGTCAATGAGCAACCTTTGTGCACAAATATTTTTAATGAGCTACATGTTTATCACGCATTAATGCTCTGTACTCAAACGGCCTTAACTGTTATATGTTTATATGAGAGTGCTTAAAGTGACACTTAAAGCACCAAAAGCGCCCTCTGTTGTCAAGAATCATTCTCGGAATTTCAAATATTAAAAAACGTGAAGTGTGAACAAATGAATCAAAAAGGGTTGTCTCATTTATTTCGTTGTAACCAACCAACAACCAAGTTTTCAGTGAGTCCTAGACGTATGAGTTTCTAATTTATCTTACAGTAATTCACAAGTTTTTTAAAACAATATAATTTTAAGGCAATACGTTTTCATTATCAATCAAATTTGAGTTAATATAATTTTAAGGCAATATGTATTTTATTATAAATCAAATTTGAGTCAATTATAGTTTGGGTCAAGGTCCCGAGTATAAATTCCTTTATTTACTGGCCAGAGCACTTTCTTTTTCTTAAGTGCTTCCTTCAAAATCTCATGCATAAGAAGAAAATTCCCATCATGTATGTCCACTTTGCATTCAAACAACAGAGGGCGTTATTATGAATGTTCCTACAATCTGCTTCCCAAGGATAAAGATATAAATAGGTGTACAGAAATTACTTTAAAAAGCTCAACAGTAGAGGGCACCAAACCAAACATCGTGTTATTTACTGGAGTACAGATTTGATGTTCACTGTCTTATGACATTATTGGCTGAAATTGACACAGTTGTAAAACATATGAGGGGGATATGTCTTTTTCATCACAGAGGGGTGCAGACCAGTAAATCGGTCCGAAATTGCCTGCGCCGGCCAAATCACGATTTGCATGCCCATAAATTCTTTGGTATTTGAGCATGTTGTGGGCCATGAACTTGAGGTTTTGTACAAAATATGGGTGGAAGCTGTGCACAGGACTGCGAGCTCGTATTTCTGTGAAATGTGGATGATGATTAGGCCCTTAAATGGCTCTATTTTGCAATGGAGCGTAGGCGTCCATTTTAAAAATGGTGATGGGCTTCAGGACTGCTTTTAGGGGTGATCATCTTTGGATGGAATTTTCTCCCAAAAGTCATTGGTTACACCCCAGAAAATTGAACAGGAAATGAAAGATGATGAAATAAGCTTTAATTTGATGTATGTCTTGAATACCTCAGAGACTTGAGAGTATTTTTCCTGAATTTCTGAAGTGGGGTCATATATCATTAGGGTCTATGGAAACTTATTTACTGGTCTGCAACCAGAGAGCGTCATCATTTTAAACTTTATCTAAATTCATGATCTGAAAATTAAAAAAATGTTAGGTCCTCAGGAAAAAAACTCCAATGGTCAGTTTAGAGTAACGCGTACATCTGTAGAATTTTCAAATTAGCAAATAACAAATTAATTTACAATTTATTTACTTTATTGGCATGCCATTGTGTTGAGTAAACACCGTGTCCCATAAACACAGTGCTTTGAAAATGTCAACAAGATTAATGCAAACGTTAATAACTTTTTCTGGGGGAGGCATCTGAATACAATGCACATATAAACACACAATTCACACATGAATGGCTGTAACTTGTTGACAGATACTTCAATGTTAAGATACTAGGTGGGTTGATGAAAAATACAGAAGGGGAGAGGCAAAATCTGTTTCTTTTTGTTCATAACCATCCTTCCATCAAGCATATTTATAGCTGCACTGTACCTTGAAGCCGCCTACACATGGACATTGATAACAACTCGTTATGCAGGCCGAAATTAGCCAATTTACAGAAGTCGAACGATATACCGTTGCCAGATTGGACGGAGTCAAGAAAAGTAGACCACATTGTAATTTTATCGGAACTTTAGTTTTCAGTTAAATAATTTTAGAGTTGGGACAATTTGTCAAGATTGTACACACCAAAAATTTACCCAAAACACCCCAAAATTATGTATGATTTATTACAGTATCATTTATTTACTGTATGATTGTATGACTGTATGATATGATTGGAGCCATATGTGTATTCAACAATTTCAATTCCATTCTTGCAACAATGTTCAAAAGTTTTGATGACAACGGTGGCATATAGCTGTCTGCACACGTTACCTGGCCGCTGTGGGTTGTACCACTTGGTACTTGTTTAATTACTGTTGAAATGTCACATGAACAGAAGCTGTGACAAATGACAATTTATAGGGGTGGATCCAGGCTTAGCTGTCATGATGGGGTTCAGCAGGCATGTGCTTTTTATTTCTGTTAGTTTCCTTTCGTAGACCAAGAAGGTGGATGGTATGTGGGACGGAGGGAGAGCCTTATGTACACCTACATGTTTTTTTGCGGCCCAGGGGAGGGGATTTATCCCCCATTCTGTCACTTATTTCATTCACCTAAGTTCCTCCAAATTCCATAAATTTAAAAGGATGCAATACCCATGGCATTATGGGATTTTAATTGCCCACCAACCCTAGTAAGTTCAGTGGTTGAGTGGTAAGGTTGAGTGGTAAACTTGAGATGTTTTTCTTGTTATTTCTCACAAAAGCACTGAAAGTGTAGCGCCATTAATATAAACTGAAGTTGAGGCTCATATTAAAGCTATGCTCAACTTGTAGAGCAAGAGGTTGAATCCCTACATTACTAGACTGATGAACTAGGCCGTGTGTACTGCACATGTGGGGCAACAACACCGTACCAATAATGCAACACTGCATCTTACAGGAGTGTGCGCCATGAGCAAGTGCATGTATGTTGGACTTTTCTGCATGTTTATCGGACAATAATAATGGCTGTGATTGGCCAATGCACCAAGCGGCAGGGCTTAATAGCTTGGTCAATAGGCCCAGCCATTCATTTCAATTAGGGAGGGAGAGCCCCCCCCCCCATGTACACTTACCTAATCTCAGCAGCACTGATCATTCTAGATTGCTCATCTACTACTTCATCCACTGTCTCCTCCATGACGTTAGTCACGGTCCGTTCCAATCTCTCTTTCCTTTCCATCATGATTTGTCTTTGTCTCTCTTCTTCTCTTGCTTGTTGCTCCAGACGACGTCGATTCATCTCAGCTATCTGAGTCTCTTGATGTCTGATAAGATATAACAACTTTTTTAATAAACCACAAAGGGACTTTTTCAAATAAATCACAAAGGAAACCTGACTATGTGCGTTATAATAAATGTTTCAAAGTTGAACGAAGAAATTGACTGGAGTGGGTTTGAACCTGCATCCTTCGGATTGCCGTTCCGGTGCTCTACCAACTGAGCTATCCAGCGACTATGTTGGCGGTTCCCAAATTTGTCAATGTCTTTGTTCTAGGAGCGCTAGTCAGAAGCCATTTTAAAAAAAGGAACAACCTCAACATTAGTCTGATGATGTGCACTCATCAAGCTAAAACCTTTTCATTACCATGTTTTTTTCTCCCAGAACATTCCATCTAAACATCTCAAGTTATTAATGATAAAAGTATGGAGTTCATATAATTTTGACCACTGGAAAACAACACCCTGTGTAATTTGGGAATGCCAATTAAAAGCTGAAATCAATCCTCAGCCCAGTTCACATTGAGAGTAATTTAAAAGCAAAGTGGATTTGAAAATTATTATTATTATTATTATTAAATGGTTTATTTAAAAAACATCATATCGCAGCCTCGCGGCCGAATTGCACAATGTTTTACATGATTTACAAATATTGTTAAAAGACAATGCTTACATACAAATAAGAAACACGAAACTATGACACATACCAGTAAAAAACATTAAACATTAATAAATATTACATTTAAGGAAAAAAATACATAATCAGCCCTTGAGCTAAAATTATAAATTTCTTTGATAAAATTCAATTTAAAGAATCAATTTTGTATGAAGCAACCACAAGTGATGGTAAATAGAATGGTAAATGTCACAGCGTAACAAAATTTCATGCCATAACAAATCTACTCCTTTTATCAAATTTTTGTAAAAAAGTAAAAACTTGACGTTAAAATTCTGCTTATAACTCATTTTGCTTATAGCTTATATATAGCTTATAGCTTATATGTGCACTTTTGACATTTCATTATTTACAGAGACAGTGGGGGGGGGGGGGCCTCTTGAGACAGTTCGCTTTAAAGCAGAGAGCCCACATGATCTAAAATCGTCACAATTTGCCAAACTTTGAGGACCAGGATGCCCTACCTGTGTTGTTCTTGGTCTATGACGCCTTGTGCAATCTCCCTGATGGATGGTAATACTACTCTCTCGATAGTGCTGTGTAGAATCTCCACTGAACCAACTTGAATGAGACGTAGCCAGCCCAGGAAGCTGTTACTAAGATCTCGAACCATCTCATCAATCACCTCCAAGAACAAGCCTCGTGCAGCCTCTTTTATCTCCTGTCACAAATAATATTATGATCTTATATTTAACAAAACTGAGAAACAACTTGACACAGAACATCAAACTTTGAACTCGTTCTAAAAAGTAAACATTGAAAGGGGAAATTATGACAGGGGATGATATGACTGGTTATTGCAAACAACTAGCAATTATCTGAACTGGCAAAAAGTCAGTGTTGTAGTCGAGTACTTTTTTCCGAGTACCGAGTACTGTTGAGTACTTAGGTAGCCGAGTACGAGCTCAAGTATGAGTACTTGTACCTCTTGAGTACAAGAACAGGTCTCCGAGTACGAGAACTTGTACTTCCGAGAACGAGTACGAGTACAAGTACTGTACTTCCGAGTATGAGTACGAGTATTTCTGAATTCGGCCAACCGGCACATGGTTCATTGTGCGTAATTGCGGCCCAGGCCCAGTCAAACCGATATACAGACCATAATGGCTAGCTGTTTAAATGTGTTTGTCCGGACGTGCACAGAGGAAAATCAGAAAACTTTGATTTCTCCACAAGCCAATCAACCATTTCAAACTGAAAGTATCGATAAAATAAGGCCGTGGTATATAAAGTCAAGCTATACCATTCCCCCCCCCCCCCCCCCGAGTACCGCTATTTGAGTACGCGTACTTTGATAATCGAGTACAATTTCGACATGTCAAGTACGAGTACTTTGCTGCCCCAGTACGAGTACCGTCATTTCGAGTACGAGTACTTTGACATTCGAGTACGAGTACCAGTACGAATACTCCATAAAAAGCACTCGAGTAGTACTAGTACTCGAGTACGAGTACCAAGTACGAGTACTACAACACTGCATGAAGTGATCGGACATCAACCTCAAATCCCTACTTTGGAGATGATGTTAGTTCTATAGGATGTCGTGTCTTCATACCGTGCTAGGGTAGAGTACTTTAGTAGCTATCTGTGGGACGGCTGTCGGAATACTAGTTGGTACTGTCATGATCTGGTCATCTGCAGGTTTGAGGATGCTTTCTGCAAGCTCTGCCTTCTCTGGAACAACATCTTTGCTCTCTGGTGCTGCTGTTTCCGTAGTGACGACTGTGTAGCCCTTGTAGAGGCCATTCTCATCAAAACTTGACGAAGCTTTGTGGAGGACATCTGGTGGTAGTGGGCCGCCATTGACTACCTGTGAAAAGAGAAGATGGTTACTTGTAATTTGCTCATTTGAAAATTCTATGGATGTAACTCTAAACCGACCATCTTTTTTTTTCTTCTGAAGACCTCACATTTTTTTTTAATTTTCAGATTAAGAATTTAGATAAAGTTTAAAGTGATGACAAAAATAATCAAACTTTTATAAACTAAAATAAGGTTGATTTATCTCTTGGGCGTATGTAGTTAAAAGTCTTTTAATCTGCACTCTCTGTGATAAAACAGACAAGAAAAGTGAACTGACAGTGAACACACAATCAAGTCTTTAACTATCTGGCTATAACTGTAGGTTGGGGAAACTAGCTTGGGAACCTCTAGAATGAATTGTCACCTCTCCGATGGTCATGGTATTCTTGGCTTCAATGATCCTCAGTGATCTCTCAGGTGATGGAGTGATGTCTGGATGTTGGAAGGCAGCACGACTAAATTGAATCATCTCATCCTCTACAGCCAGGTTATGAGACAGACAGAACTCTAATGCCTGGAGGCAGCAAATATACAACCATGAGTGACATTGAGTACTTGTTTAATTCTAACAGAGGATTTGGATTCCACCTGAGTTTGGCAAAAAAAAGTATGCTCTTTAAAAAATGGAAATATATATCTAAATGAAGAATATAATGATGTACATAAATGCACAGACAACGAGCTCAAACAATATGGGTGCTTACAAAGACCCAATATAATTTTGTTGTCAAAGCAATTTACTGCTTGACTTAAATGCGAATACAAAAACACCATGGCTTCAATATTTCAATAGCCAAAACTTGCAGATATTTTGGTAACCATAATAATTTTTGTATAAAATGTATAATTTGATATATATCATAATTCGAGCCAAGGGCAGCGTGGAACGTTTTTGGTGAAAAGAGATGCATGCACAAACAGTAGATGGTGCTTTGTAACCAATGTCGAGAGCCCAAGTGCTGGTTTGCAAATGGGCAGCGCAAAGTAGGCACAACTTATTTTACTGGCCTCTTTGCATGAGCATCAGACATTATCAGCAATGCATTTGAATGTCCCTCCCAGTGGGCGCATGTCTGTAAATAGGCCAAAAATCCATCCACCGAGCTCATGAACAAAAGTTATATCCTCAAAATATCCTATTTTTGAGAGTTCTGAGAGCCATAAAATTGGGGAATTGAAGAGATATGGTAATGAACCTCTTGCCCGGACTTGGGGCTTCCAATTCTGAGCATTTTGGATGCAACCGGTATTGTGCTCGAAAGTGGTGCTATTTTGCCATGTTGTGCAGGGAATCGTTTTTCAAGATGGCTACTTTTCTGCTTTGGGGAAAATAGGGGTCGTCTTCTTTGGGTGAGAATATCTCGAAAAGTCAATGGTCAACCCACCAAAAAATGAAAAGAAAGTGAAAAATGACATGTTGATCATCATTTTTCTGGGCAGCTTGAAAACCTGAGAGAGTTCCGAGTATTTCTAAAGGAATTTTGAAGTATGGGCATTTAGCACTAGTGTCTAATTGTATTGCAGGGTTGCACCCCATTGGTTCTCCCAACTCTCCCCTTTGTAACCATTGACAGGGTCATTGTGCTCTCAGTCCATAGCCAAAAGTTGACAAAAGGTGAAGACAGAGGTAAGAAATCAAGAAAGGAGGTCTGTTCCAAGGTATTCTTGTATAAGTATTTGGTGGATTTTCAGCAGTTGTATGTTTACCTGTGATTGGTTATCAAACGCCAGTGTCGTTGTGATCTTAGCCAATGGGAAGCGAGATCCTCTGGTTTGGCTGACGGTGTAGGCTTTGTTCATCACATCTAATGCCATGTTCCGTACTTGCATGAAGTAACGATGCATGATGCAAGCATTCAGATATGTCGTAGATCTGTGGCAACAGCAAATGTTGGATATTTCATACAGCAAACAATGACAAAATGTATTACGTTATTACCCCTGAACATCAGGCTAATGATTATTTCCATAAAGTTCAGTAATTGGACAAGTAAAGCCCGTACAATATTTAGTGCATTCTGGGTTTATTCACTCCCAAGCTACTGAAGACAGAGAAGCTCCCATTATTATGCAGCCATAAAGGGGCTCATTCTTGTGTGTTAGCTCCAGCCAAAAAATAAGGATGAGATTGTTAATTTGAAAACTGTCTGACAATTGGACGGAAGATCTAAAAGATGCATTTCTTTGTATACTGATAATATCTTTCTCTCAGATTCAGAAAGTCTGCTTATAAACTTAAGTCTAAAAAACTTCAAACCTTATCCTGCTTGGCAGAGTGTGCTCCAATCTCTTCACATGATGATCAACATACCTGAGTAGTTTATAGAACTTGACATAGTTGTTGCTGCTAACAGCAGAGAAAGCTTTCAGAGCAAACTTGACTGGTTCAGAGCTCCGCACCTCCATCCTATATTGCTGCACTTGCCTGTTGAAAAAAACCCCACAATTGATGATGCAGAGATGATACTTTTACTTTAGAAGCTAAAACTAAGAATAGATTTGCTCAGTGGCAAAACGTTATTAAGAAAGACAAAATCATCCTTATCAATAGGTTTGTGAACGGACCCATGTAGCCCTACTTGAAAAATTACATTAAAAATATAATTTTGATACAAACTTTCAAGGTATGTTATACCTGCATGTAGGTATCAATGACTAAAAATAAAAATAAAATGGCACATTACAACAAATCACTCACTGTAAGGAAACATTGACAACCATTGCCCATACTGTATCAATTTCATTAGCTGTATTTACTCTTCATTGTAGAATAGCAGAATTTCTTTTCATTAAACCATTCGAAAATCCACTCATTAGCTGTTATGTAAATGGCATAAATATTAAAATGCATTTATGCCAACTGCATATGCACTGGTGTTTTTTACTGTTGACTGCAACATTGGGCTTTTTGCCCTTCACCAATGTATTTTATAAACACTGTATATTCAGTGTTGCCCCGAGTAATTGTAAAACAAAAATCACAAACTATTTGGCTGGGATTCAAACCCATGACCTCTTGCTTACTAGTGCAGACAAGTTACCACTCAAACACCGGGTTTGGCTGGCTGGTTGGCCAAATCTGATATAGCAGTGGGTACCACAACCAAACTATTCATAAGATGGAATATTGCCCTTCACCAATGCATTTTATAAACTCTGTATACTCAATGTTGTCCCCAGTGATTGTAAGAACATTTTACAAACAACTTGGGTGGGACTCGAACCAACAACCTCCTGCTTATTAGTAGTGCTGATTTTAAGAAAAAAATTCAGAAAGTACTTGGGTGGGACCGACCGACCGACCGACTGACTCCCCGACTGTTCGACTGTCTGACTGATCAAGTGACTGACTGATCAAGTGAGTGACTGACTGACAGACCTACTTTCATTTGAATATATTGTAGGATTAATACCCACTAACGCAAATGAAATGGGTAAATTAGGCCCACTTTGCAAGCCATATGCACGAAAAGATTTCCAGTGAATAGCCATTCTGAATTTTGTGCTTGCCTTGTCTTTCTATATATCCCTACAGAGTGATTATATAGAGCAGAGATCCTTCACTGTCACTATAAATAGCATGTACAAAGTATAGGCTAGAAAATTGCAGTTCAAAACAAAATTGATGGAAAACAGCATTACAGCTTTTTCACACAATTCAGATCCAAAGATCTTTGTAGACACTATTTTAATCGTGGGATTAACTCCACGACCCATTTCAAATATTTTTCAAATTTTTGAATCTTTTTATAGCATTGTTTGACGCTATTTTGTTGACATTCAGTCTGAGTGACACTCCTAGAGAACAATGCTAAGGGATTGGAAAAACCCGATCTTTACCAACAAATTGTAATGGTTTAAGCAAAAAGCGTAAACAACTTGTCAGGGCCAAAGAGCACAGTTTGACAAACAGATAAATTGCCAAAGTGCAATGCATGAATGGTGCCCAAATACGGAACCAGTAATAGTTAGCCGCAGAAGTGTTGTTGACATTCAAAAAGAAAAAGGAAAAACCCGGTAACGGTAACCATAACACATCGAAGGTGGGGATTGTTTGTTATATTTACACTACAGGATTGCCATGAACCTTAGTTGCAGAGCATCACCATTAACCTAGTTGAGTGCATCACTGGCTCAGATTCAACAAAACTCCTTCTAGGCTTGGGTATGTATGGGAAGATTGGAAAAATTCCAACAGCCACATGGGTTAGCTGGGGTGACAAAATAATTACCATACAATGAAACACTCTGGACATGCTCAGAACTTCTACTACTAGCTGCGTTGGTTCTTGGCAAGGTCCCAGATCCATCTCTCCACAATATTTACTTAACAAAGATGCAAAATAGGGATCACATCCAAGAATTCAATCTGTGCATGACTATCACCATGATCACTATATGCAACAGGGTACATAGTTTTAAAAATCCAACAAAGTCTGTAAAAAAAAACCATGCATTTTTATATGGTTGCCAGGGGTGGGAGGTAGGTTGGGTTTGTTATGTATTTTCTTTTTCTTTTTAAATTTATTTTCCTCTTTTTTTTGGTTTGACATTTCTTAATATTTTGCTCTGATTACAAGGTTCAATGCAACTTTGGAATCAAGACATTTATTACTGGTACATGAAGTAATTGCTATTTTTATATGAATTTTAGTACGAAAAAGAAAGTATTTTCATGCAACTAAATTTAATCATGAGTAATAATACCTGTGTACTCAACAATAAAAGCTCTGTTTTGATAAAAAAAATCTTTTTAGAAGCTACCCTGGATGCGCTGTGAACTTGGTAAACAACCATTCAAAGCAAGCCATTCAGCAAAGTGCACTTGAGCATAGGCAAAGTACAAGTATTGTTGAGATTGTACCACACACAAAGGAGGTATGAGCAATACGCCCATAAAAAACACCTGGAATTTCCAAAAACATGCAATGACCTGCAAGCGTAGGAGCACTTCAGCATTACTTTTCGGGTGTCTTCTGACGAATTTCTACCCAAAACCTGGATAAACACGGCAGCTGATCATGGTAAGATTTTGTCATAATGATGTCTTAGTTTAATAGTACGATGTGTGCTCTACTCAGCTACCGGTAGTAATGTATGAGTAAAATTGTCACTGCTACATGTACATGTATGTAGATTCCAAAGGAATACCAGATGTACATCTTTGTATTACTCTGTTAGCTACATGTAAAACTCTCCAGCTTTCAATTATAGCACCATTTCTTGCTGGAAAAAGGTTGAATATTTTATAATTTTTGGGAAATACAATGCAGCCAAACTTAAAACCAATTCAGTATTGATGCAAAGTAATACTTGCAATAAGTTTCAAGTTTTAAAGAGTTCATAATTAAATTTTGTTTCCCATGAACCACTTTAAGTTAAAGCCACTCAAAATTAACTCATGCTAATTTACTAATGGATCACATTAGATCACTTAAAGAATTGAAAGCCATATGATGTGTAAGGCACCGGTATTAACCAAAATGAAGGGAAATTATTAGGCAAAATAAGTTAATTGTGGATATGTGTTGACCATAATTTTGAAATGTTAGTGATAGAAACTTATTCCCGTATGCGGGTGTACACATGTACACTTCAGACTCAGACTTGCCCAACAGAAGTCTGTTTTTTATCCAAGCAACGCCCGTATTTCAAAACTTAACATGCATATGCATGACATCAGATTAGAATCTACATGTACAAATGTATACATAAATAAATCTTTTAATATTTAAATTTACATTTTACAATGAACTGACGCTGTTCAGCATAGTTGGACGTCATCAGTGTATATTTACATATTAATGAGCTGACACTGTTCAGCATGGTCATTGGTTGGACGTCATCAGTGTATATTTACATATTAATGAGCTGACACTGTTCAGCATGGTCATTGGTTGGACGTCATCAGTGTATATTTACATATTAATGAACTGACGCTGTTCAGCATGGTCATTGGTTGGACGTCATCAGTGTATATTTACATATTAATGAACTGACACTGTTCAGCATGGTCATTGGTTGGACGTCATCAGTGTATATTTACATATCAATAACACTGTATGCCAGTGCCACGCTATGATATTCATGCATGATACACCCGTAGTTGAACTGAATTCAATGGTTCACTGTAGAGTATAAAAGCAAACTATTTTTAATATCTGTACATTGTACCTATGGACCATATGTCACTCTCACAACAGGTGTGTCCTTACCTTCAGTGTACTGGGGAATATGCGTAATAGTGAAAACAATTATGTACTTTCACATACAATATTTCACATACACTATACCATCAAAGCTGCCAGCAACAATCCCTGGCATTGATAACATATCAGTAAATATCAGTCATTCAGTATTGCAACTAACAGATGCAATACTGTACTTTCCACAACAAACATGAAACATTTAAAGAAAAATCCCTACAGTTATTTTGGGGTTACTAATCCATTGCATCACCTCAGCGAAATGAAATTTATATAAAATCGAGATTGTTCCTAAAAACCACACATTCTGCAGTGTACATGTAGTTGAATGATAGCAATCAGCTGTGCAAGTTGTACAATTGTTGGCAATCCTCTTTCCTGAGATTTTCGTTGTTTTTATCACCCAACCATGAGACAGGTAACACATTTTGAATGTTCAGATTTAATTTCTGTCTACTCTCTGCATTCCTGCGGTCATCCTGCATTACTCACCATTACATTACTCTTACGTTGGGTTCTCTGATGGCTAACATTGATTCTACTTGTATGCTCATTGGAAACACTTCTGACATACACAGCATTGATAGTAATACGATTACCAAACTCATGCAAAATGGCAACAGCAAACAAAAGCTTCTAATTGGACCGAGTTCAGTGTCACGAATATTAACCCTCCTGCTGTCTGAATAGACACAGACATTAAAAATAACAGCGTTGCTGTTGAAACCCCTCAGCCAGAGTCAAGTTATCATCCGGAAACCATTAACCTTTAACTCAACGTGGTGACCTTGACCTTTGGCCTTTGACCCCAGAACCAGTCCCAACATGCCTGTACCAATGGGAAACCCCCTACCGAAGTTAGACACCAACATTTAATTTCTAACTCAAGTTATCATGCGGAACCATTTACATTGAACTCACCACGGTGACCTTGACCTTTGACCTTTTGACCCCAAAACCAATCCCAACTTGCCTGTACCCAAGGGCAAACCCCTACCTCAGTCAGACACCAAAATCTCATTTCTAACTCAAGTTATCATCCGGAAACCATTTACCTTTATCTCACCATGCTGACCTTGACCTTTGACCTTTTGACCCCAAAACCAATCCCAACTTGCCTTCTCCCAAGGGGAACCCTCTTCCAAAGTTAGACACCAAAATCGCATTTCTAACTCAAGTTATCATCCGGAAACCATTTACCTTTAACTCACAATGGTGACCTTGACCTTTGACCTTTTGACCCCAAAACCAATCCCAACTTGCCTACTCCCAAGGGCAACCCTCTACCAAAGTTAGACACCAAAATCTCATTTCTAACTCAAGTTATCATCCTGAAACAATTTACATTTAACTCACCACGGTGACCTTGACCTTTGACCTTTTGACCCCAAAACCAATCCCAACTTGCCTACTCCCAAGGGCAACCCCCTATCAAAGTTAGACACCAAAATCTCATTTCTAACTCAAGTTATCATCCGGAAACCATTTACCTTTATCTCACCATGCTGACCTTGACCTTTGACCTTTTGACCCCAAAACCAATCCCAACTTGCCTACTCCCAAGGGCAACCCTCTACCAAAGTTAGACACCAAAATCTCATTTCTAACTCAAGTTATCATCCGGAAACCATTTACATTTAACTCACCACGGTGACCTTGACCTTTGACCTTTTGACCTCAAAACCAATCCCAACTTGCCTACTCCCAAGGGCAACCCCCTACCAAAGTTACAACCCCAAACAACATTTCTAACTCAAGTTATCATCCGGAAACTAAGCTGCCCGGACGGACGGACGGACGGACAGACACACATACATCCGGACGGACGGACGCCCTAGGCGATGACAATACCCCTCGAGCCTCTCGGCTGAGGGGTAAAAAATCACTTCTCTTCCCCTGCCATGTCTTTTACACAGGCTAGTCACCACAGACCGATCATATTTCAAGTAATTGGCACTGTGAGTCAAATTTAGTCAACAGACAAAAGCAGGCAAGTGGTAGGCACAGCTGGCTTATCAATCACCTACAGTCAAAGCAAAGCTGTGTCAGGTTATACTCACAGCCACTTAATCCTGCTTTGGGAGCAAATGTATCAACCAGATGTGCCTTGATTGAAAAATGCCTCAACATTACAAGTATTATGAATAAATATGACACATCAGTTGAATGGTTAATTCTCTCAAAACCATTTCTTTGATCATTTTGTTTTCACAGCATACCAATATGTGGTACATTTGGACACTTCTCATCTGCTCTCCAAGCATTGTCTACTCACAAACAATGCAACCACCCCATGAGTGTTCTGCAGTCTGTGAGTACACTCACTGGGCCCTGGATGCAGACTGCAAGAATCGCAACTTGACCTCCATCCCAGGCCAGTGCAGCCAGGTCGTGACCTTTGACCTCCGACACAACCACATTCGAATACTTCCCGTCGGGGCCTTTGAGGAGTTTGTAAATCTTCGCTACCTGGACATCGAGATGATGGAGCTGGAAACTATCACACCGGGAGCATTTCAAGATAACATTAATCTCGTCCACATCTATATACAAATAAATCAACTCACTGTAATCCGTAGTTTCACCTTCAAAGGTGTTCCAAATCTCAAACAGCTTTTTCTGAACAGCAACAAGATCAAAGTGCTTGATCCAGGAGCATTTGAAGGCATCCCAAAACTGGAAACTCTGTTTCTTAGCGACAATGACATTTCTGAAATCTCCTCTGATCTGTTCCGTAATCTGACCAAGTTACGTTATCTCTATCTTGAAAACAACCACATTTCAGACATCCCTGAGGGGACCTTTACTGGGCTGACCAATCTCAGACACCTCAGCCTAGCTGGTAATGACCTGGTTCATATCCCAAGTGGACTGTTTGATGATTTGAAGCACCTTAGGGCCCTCAAGCTATCCTACAATCACATCATCTCCATCAATCCCCTCCCCGACTTGCCCAGACTCAATCACATTGATCTCTTCAACAACCAGCTCACTTCGGTCTCAAATCTGACAGACTTTCTCAAAGCACCCCGAAGACGGCGAAGGTCAAATGGGACAAAGAAATTCACTGAACTATTTCTGGCCAAGAATCCACTCAACTGTGACTGTGACATTGAGCCCCTACGCATCTGGTTACAAGTGCATCGTGAAGAAATTCGCAACCATCACCGCGCCAATGCAACCTGCGCCTCGCCAGCAGAGCTTAGCGATGTCAGTCTCTGCAACCAACAAACACCTTTCTGTACACTCCATACAAGCACTCAATTATCCACTGATCATCCCGACACCAAAGCCCTAACCAGAGCAGCTTCCCCGTTGATTCATATCTCTGATGAGGCTGAGTCTACCCTCATGCCCATTACCATTGTGGTTGTCAGTATCTCAAGTGTTGTCTTGGTCACATTACTCATTTTGACAGTGTACATGAAATGTAGGAATGGTAGGATTCCATACCAAAAGCACAATACCAAAGGAAGCGATGACGATTACAAACAAGCGAACATTACTGAAAATCCCATGAATAAGCATGCGAAGTACAGTGGCATGTAATTCACTGTCATGCAATAACACAATACAAGGCTTATATCTATCAAATGAATAGTACTATTGCCAAATACATGTAGGAAAATGGCTTGTACTGGTATGTTATGTGTACAACATCTTGCAAAATGTATAAAAGTGCCTTAAGTGTTACAGAGTTTTAAATGTACAAAGTTGGCAAAGTGTTTATGATATGCAGACTTTTTTAGAACTACTTTAAAAATGTATAAAAAACGTTTTTTGTGCAAGGATAATTTTTGTTTCAAGCAATACACTAAAATTGTGAAACTCGGTACATGCATATGGCTTGGATTCCCGCCCCCCCCCCAAGATCTCGGCCATCGAGTGACGAAAAATTGTGAAATTCGCTACATGCATAGAGCAACTCATCATGAACATACCCAAGAAATTTCATGCCTATAGGTCAAAGGGTTTTGGAATTTTGGCTAATTAATTATTCATATATATGAATGGTAATTCTGCTCTGTGTACACGACGTATATGGGAAAATTCAGTTTTCACGTCGCGTAGCACTGGAAAATGTTTCGCTACGCGGCAACCCCTGGTCCAATTTTTAAGCTTTTGGTATCAAAAGATGTGCAAGGCTCGGGGCTAAAAAGTCACAACAGCTTAGGTCACGACCATTTTTTGTTTAAGGCTATCGCGAATTCCACTCCCCCCCCTGCCCCCCGGCCAATAATACAGTACATTGTAAGTGTATAATACCGATGGGTCTGTGCCTTCACCAAATCAAAATTGACAATCTTCAGGAAAATATAAGTTTGAAATCAAGTGTAATGTGAATTAAAGAAACCTAAGTCTTCCAAGAGTGTATAGTTTTTTGAAAGTATTCCAGGAGTGCTTTTAACTGAAATAAGCAAATATTCTTCCATGATTTGTTTTTATTGAGTACATGTAAATAATTTTAAAAGGTGTTGTTGCATTTAGGTCTTTCAACATTTCATAATTTTAAACTGAACATTATAAATGTAACTTGAAATAATAGTTAACATACATGTATGTATTGATGATGAAACAAATAAAATAGTCTTGATGATTTGGTGTTGATACCTTTGCTCTAATGTATTCATATAACTTTATACTTTTAAAAAGTTAATGCATTCAAAAATTATTATATATTTTTTATAGGCCTACTCGTAATGTGCCAACAGATAAGGTGTAAAAGGAGAATATTAGTTACAGTGAGCTGCCAAGGGGTTTTACTATAAGTTTTCTTGTTTGTGACTTGCTTTATCAAAGTAGTCTTCAAGTTTGTTTGCTTAAACTTGACAGTTGAACAAAACAAACTAAGACCAAATTGAGCACCAACTAAGCAATGGATTTTAATTCTACGTGAGAGTGGCAATAAACCATAAATCTGAGAAGTTTGCACTGAACTGATACCACCTTGTGTCACTGATGATATTACTTGCTGCTTCGTGTCTATCAGATTTTCAACTGACCATGCAAACCCTTAGCCATCTGGCTCAGACATCGGTACTAGTCAGGATGTTGGTTTGAGTCCTACATGAGCAAGATGTCATATTCCCTCAGACTCTAAGAATGTAATGAGTATTGAATGCTTATTGTTATTGTCAAACCAAATCAAGCAAATTGTAGAGAATGTAGTCAGCTGACTGGCTCTGATTTAATGCAAGTTGTCTGAATATCTCAGTGAATGGAAGAAACGTAACTTTGATTCAAGCTGCGTCATCAGATGTTAAAACACATAACAAGAAAGTTACACAAAAGGAGGATTTAATCGGCTAAGCAAAAAATGTTTTTACTTTCTCATAGCGTACAAGGGAAGTAAAAATCAAACTTTACAAAATGAAAAAAAATAAGGAAATATGCTGATCTGAGGAAGGTTGCAAGATACAGCTGATCTGTCATCATTCAAACACCATCTTAAGACTCATCTTTTCAATCTTTCATTTGAACCAAAGTGACGTACAATGTACTAGTGACCGGCACCTTTGAATGGTCCTCTAGATAGGCCCTACTGTGCGCCTTATAAATTCTCTGTAATTATAGGTTTTCTCGGCCAATTTCCTGAAATGTTCATTCACTTCTGAAAATTGGTCATTCGTTTTCGTCAGAATTTGAATGCACGTCTTTAATCCCATTTCAATTCGGAGAAAGTTCAATCGTATTCATTGTCCATGCATTCGGTTTTGATAAACAAACGGCCAATTACGTTACCTGGGCATTCATTTACGCAAGCATACCTTTTCTAAATCGATTTCAGGTACAGCTTATTTGATTTGATGGTTAATGAAAATAAAACCCCTAATTGTATCTGGTGCCGAAAGCATTAAAAACTAAAAGTGAAATAGAATGGTGAATGTTTGAAATCGCCCTCTAAAATCAAAAAAGAATTCTTGTAAACGAATCTGAATGGACATCAATGAAAGGTGCTGCTCAATCACTTAAATGATTGAACTGATTCTCAAATTCAGACGAAAACGAGTGACCAATTTTCAGAAATGAATGAACATTTTAGGAAATTGGCCGGGAAAACCTATATTATTATTATTCTTATGCCTACTGCAATTAGACACAAAATCTCCTTGCACAAGTGCATACATGGTGCCAATATGTACTTTTAGAAAAAAAATCTAAAACAAGGCAATTGCAAGAGGACTTACATACAATCCTGTTCTAGAGCACGATCGATTGTTTGAGCTATCACACACCTACGTGTACTAAGAACAAGCTGATGTACCTGATCATGATCGGCTGGGGCGGATTTTTGTTTGGGTTTGAAATGTCGGGAGGAGTAATGTCAAATGGGTGAATTGGGGGAAAAAACAACAACCCAAGGCTATAGAAATAATAAAGTGCAAAAGACATGAAATACGAAATATCAGCCACAATAGGCTGACAAAACTGACAGATTACCCTGTAAGGCTGTAACAGTCAAATTGAAAGTTTGTTAAGAAGTGTCATCTCCGGGGAAATGGGTGTTGCAATTGGAAGAGTAACTGCAAATCCCAAGAGATGCAGTGAAGGCCTAGTCCCTGAACTGTCCCTTAGGTTTTGTTAAAGCAGCCCCGGTACACCCTTCCCACTCCTTTAAACCCCCCCTCAAAAAAAAAAAGGAGGACGATGACAAATATGGCCCATATATGCATTTTCAGGTACAATCTTTGAAACTCTCGGGATCACTACCTCAACAATTTCAAAGAAATTGATGCCATTTTTCCTGATCCTTTTATGGGCTAAGATAATAAAAAAATGATATACATGTAGATCAATTCCACGTTTCTTTTTTGTGTATGGACAGCTCACCCAAGTGCTACTCACGAGTGTAAACAATTACAGAATTCTGCCTCTTTTGGGATGGGGCCATTTTGTTAAAAGGGGGGGGGGGGAATGGTGTTAACAGACAATCTAGCCGTTACAGGTACATGTAATACTGGTTTGGTTTTTCCTCTCAGTATAGTGAACAGGGGTGGGCAGAATGTGTAGATGTCAGATCATCAACTTTTTGTTCCCCTTTGAGGCCATGTCACTTTTTTCATAAAAAGGGGGCACATCTTATGAACAAAAAATCAACAATCTAATCCAACTTTTGACTTTTTAAGACAGTAACCAAACAAACCCATGAAGCGCATTACTGTCTCTATGAAAATGTAACTGGTATTTCACTGTTTTTAGGTCTAAAACTCCAAAACTGTTACTGGAAAGAGAGTGATTTCACATAAAAAGCCAACTTATGTTTTGTCTGATATTGGCGAAATGCCAAGTGTATGTACATACATGTACTCTTCTGGGGTAGGAAAAATGGTATCAAGTGGATTTGGGAGTCATCCTCCCAACTCCATCAAAATCCATCCCCCCCCCCCCCCCCCCCCCATTTTCGGTGGAGTTTGGGGGACTTGGTCCTGCGCAGGCCTGGTTTGACTAAATATTGATGGAGTATGATAGACTTGGGGGCCTGAAGCAAAGCCTGCATCGGAAGCAGTGTGATTGATGGATTTTGGCGGACTTGGTCCAGTACTTAGTGAAAGACAGTAGGGAGTTAGGGTTAATAATCACTTAAATTTTCAAATAATTTTCTCCCAAAATTGCATTTGGGTCAAGTGACTATCTGCCCAGATGAGAAATCCAGAGCATATATATGGGTAATTCCACAAAGTTGGGTACAGAATGTGTGACATGAGGGTGAGTTTTTCAAAATAATGTGAAGAGCACTAAAATAACTTTTTTAGGTGCTGACATATATGTAGTGTCTAAAATAATAAACCATTTTGAGACATCTTGTCAAACGTTTTATTTTTAACAGTGTTGTTTATTAACAGATGCAAAGCAAGTTTCACATGTAACATGGACACCAAACATGAGGAATCACCTTTCCCATTGTTATTTTATAGAATTGATATGCTCCAAGTATAGAATGTATTTAAAAGGGCTTGATAAGTACATTAATTAAATTCATACATTTTTTGGCTAATCGTTATGAGATTATTGAAATCAGCTGTTGTTCACTCACATGAAATGGGCAAATTATATAAATTTGGCCCTTCATACATATTTTTTCTTGTATTGTCTGTTCCAAAAATGTTTGTCTACACCAAACGTGTAAAACACAAGGAAGCAAACCCACACGTTCAACTTATTTTGCCATGTTACCATTTCTTTTACACAAGACAGTATCCATGCAAAATAATTTTGTGGTTTCACATGTAACAATGACACCAAAATATTGGTGTCCTGTTACACGTGAAACTGATATATGGATTATAAGGTAATAAGCTTTAAACTTGATAAAAAATGAGTAAAACTTCATTTATATTAGTTAAAAATGAACAAATTTGAAACATCAGCTGAAGATGTGAGTGTGTTTAGCTTTGAGACTCCCATATTGGACAGGGTTGGGTTTCACATGTAACATGGATGCCAAATTATTGAACGTTCTGATTACATCTCAAGATGTGATGCCTAAACCATTTTGCCGTCCCCATCCTTCCCGTATCCCGTCCCTACCCTCCCCTACCCCACCCCACCCTCCCCCACTCCATTCCCACCCTTTTAGTACCCATAACATATTGGACAGGGTTGGGTTTCACATGTAACATGGATGCCAAATTATCGAAAGTTCCGATTACATCTCAAGATGTGATGCCTAAACTATTTTGCGGTCCCCATCCTTCCCGTATCCCGTCCCTACCCTCCTCTACCCCACCCCACCCTCCCCCACTCCATTCCCATCCTTCTAGTACCCATTACATAACAGTGTTGTAGTCGAGTCCATCACAAGTCCCTGCAAG